CTACGTGAAGTCCGAGCTGCAGAAGAAGAGACACACGTGCACAGACCTGGGTGAAGTGCGCAGCTACCTTGGCTTGCAGATCATCCGGGACAGAGCACGCCGCACCATTACCTTGACTCAGTCACACATGGTGCAGCAGGTCCTTCAGCGCTTCGGCTTCACGTACTCCTCGCCTCAGGCCACTCCTCTGTCTACTCGCCACTCGCTCTCAGCTCTGCCTTCGGATGAGTCCGTAGAGTCGAGTGGCCCGTACCAAGAGCTTGTTGGCTGCCTCATGTACCTGATGACCTGCACACGACCTGACCTTCCATACCCTCTTAGCATTCTTGCACGCTATGTTGCTCCTGGGAGACACAGACCAGAGCACATGGCTGCAGCGAAGAGGGTGTTGCGCTACTTGTGCAGTACTTCGGGCATGGGGCTAGTGCTTGGAGGGCGGAGTCCAGTGGTCCTCACTGGGCACGCGGACGCTTCTTGGGCTGACGACCAGGCTACTCAGCGGTCGTCCCAGGGTTACACCTTCAGTCTTGGTTCTGGCTCTGTTTCGTGGCGGGCTACTCGCTCGTCCTCTGTTCTCGGCTCCAGATGTGAGGCTGAGATCTACGCCGGGGCCATGGCTGCACAGGAGCTTCGCTGGCTCACCTACCTGCTGACCGACCTTGGAGAGTCGCCTCGTTCTCCTCCAGTGCTGTACGTAGACAAGAAGGCCATGCTGGCCTTGTGTCGTGAGCAGCGCCTGGAGCACAGAACGAAGCACATTGCTCTCCGCTACTTTCTTGCTTGTGAGCTGCAGCAGCGCGTGGTCAGTTGCGACTTGCGTACGTGGCCTCTGAGGCCAACACTGCTGATGTTTTCACCTAGGCACTTCCGCCTTGTGATCATCAGCGCTTCTGCACTCAGCTGGGACTTGTCCCAGTCTTGCCTCACTTGCTCACCTCTTGACCTTGCTTGTACTCTTGCATATATATATACCTGCTCTGCTTGTTTAGCATTATATACATCTGTCTACCCCTTCATGTGAACTGGCCTTGTGGCCTTGACCTTGTGCTCGGACTGTGTGGTGACTTTGTGATCCACCTTGAGCTTGCTTTGCTTTGCTTTGCTTTGCTTTGCTTGACTGGTCTTGTGACCCCTTGTTCTCCCCCACTTTGCCTATGGGGGTGTGTCAGAACATATAGCTTTTGCATATTGTGTATGCTATAGTGGGGTAGTCCACAAGGGGTACAACCCAATTAGGGTTAGTATTTGTACTCAGTTCATTCATAGTTCATTCATTCTCGTTCTCATTTTCTCATCTGTTGTCTTCTGATGGTCGAACAAGATGTGAAAATCGGGTGAAATGTGACAGGCTGTCACGTCAGGTGACAGAGGTGATCGAACACGCGACGTCGCCCAACAGACGACGTCCCACAACCATCGCTAGATGGTTTTGATTCATGACGAGAGAAACTTAGGAATCGCCAGTTACAAAATCAGTTATTCGTTTTTGGTCGCAGGCGTCGCAGGTGCTCTATATCATTCTGTCCGAACGGCCTCATTCGAACAGCAAACGATGTTTCATGCTGGACGTGACAGATCTGTGCAATTTAGCGACTTTTTGCCGAGCTAACGGAGACTTGGCGAAGACCTCACAAGAAGCCGCGAAGCGTGTACCTATTGTTTGTTCGAACCAAGATTTTTTTTGATTTTTGAGGTAACACGCCCTTACTTCACGTACCTCAGTGTATGAAATTTGCGAGTGAGTACAACATTCGCGTCGTGTATGCAACACTGAGGGGCATTTTGTACAGAGTCGAGATTCTCTATCGAGGGGAAGTTGGTGCAGTTCGCACAATTCATCCCAGCTGACGCTGGCAGCCGAATGAACCTTCCAGAAACAACCTTGTGCAATGCAAACCTTGATCCATATTCTGCACAGTTTTTCGTAATGCCCAGATGCACTAGGGGTTTCGTGGTCTCAGTGCTTCGCAAGAATACTGTACACCCTCATTTGCGCTAGCAGAGCTTATGGTTGCACAACGTAAACGAGTTGCAGAACGCCACCACCTTCAGAACAATTTGTAGAAAAACGGTTAATTGAGGTGATGCACGTTACCCAAGCAGCACATTAGCGCTGAAAACAACGGTTGGAAATGGTATCCGGCGATAAGGGTAATATTATGCCCCAGAGCCAGTCCGTCACCCGATGCGGCTTTGCCTGTGGGTTCCAAGGTACGCTTTATGCCACCTGCATGCAATAAACAAGTAATGTATTCAGCGATTGCGAAAGGTGAGCAGGTTGAGAAATGAGTGTACAATATCATGCCCCTGCTGCGGAACAGCTTAGGGCGGGTCCGAAGTGAAGTTGATATCCGTCGACATCCGATGTCGGTAAATCTTGACGGTTGGAACTCTCGATCCGAGGGTAGAAATTAACCGACATCCATCGACATCCGTTCGACGCTTCATTTCGGACACGCTCTTATCAGCAGCAGTCAATCCACGTGGATATTACGGAGTCCAGCGTGGTTTGCGAGGCCTGCCATTCTCCTGGTTCCAAAATGACGCGAACGTATCCGAACCCGCAAACCAGAATCCCCAGCACATTATCATAATATTTTTGTGTTCACGTGCGAGCTCATATTAGCCTATCACTAACAGTGTGTCACGTGGTAGTGACGTCACGATGTTCGTGATCTGATCGCCTGGAGTGCTCTCTGATGCATCTGTGCACCATGCAGCTGTACACACCCAGCTATTGTCAAAACATTAAGTACTGTAGCGTGTCCTCACAGAAATATCACATGCCCGGGGTAGGGTGGTGTTGGAAAACCATTTGGCTAGATCGCGTAGAACTGTTGTTTCTTTCTGCTTCTAGGCTACACCTGGTGTGCAGAGACAACGCAACACCACCCACCAAGCACATTCTGAAGTGCTTCCACCCAGAAAATACGATTCACAGTTCCGAGCTTATTGGACTGCGCACTCTAAACAAGACTCGTAGAGCATTGATTTTCTTTTGTGAAAATGGAACCGAAACTGATGCGCAGGGGTTTCGGGTTTCGGGTTCTTCAAATTTAGCTAAGTCGAAAATCCCTTTCATTTGCCTCCCACCTCCTGCACCTTGCCTACTCACCTTCCTACACCGTTATTTGCGTGTGTCACGAGGTTCTACCTCATAAGACAGCATCGACAGCCCATCGCAAGCGTTAAAAGGCGGGGTGCAACTTCTTAGGAACAGTAGCAGGACAAACATGGAGTGTGCGTAACGAGACCCTTATTGGATAAAAAAAGATGGACTCTCGTTAAAGACAAACTTCTCGCCACAGAATTGCCTGGGACAACCAAGCTCCAAGCTATAACACTTCGAAGTTGAAGCTGATAGTTGGGCCACGGCTTTAAATCGACAACGCGATTCCTTTAACATAAATCTCTCCAAGCCAAGCCAGCGTGGTGATCGTTAGAACAGCCAAGCGCCGCTGCTTGCATATCCAACGCTCCTCATGCTACGAGCAACACAGTGGGTGTATGTACACCCTGTTTTGCGCATCACTGACATTCGCTGTATTGACAAGCCGGTTAATCTGGAAGCAACGCGTCTAAAACGGTCCCATAACAAACGCTTATAAACACACAATGTCGCACTCACCTGTAGCGCACTAGCGATTTTCATTCTCAGCACGGTGCTGTACATGTACAACCAAGTCTAGGCAGTGTCAAATTTCTTACTTGAACACCGTAACCACATCTATGCATTGTGGAATATGTAGATGTTGCAGTTTGAAGGACAGACTTTCACTAATTATGCATTCAACTCAGGTCATAGAAACAAGAACACTCTAAATTGGCAAAGCCTTCTTTCACCTCCTACTGACCTTTTATATATTGCTGAATTTCATGACATTGCATAAGGCTAATCTCGAGAGTCAGAAGCATACTACGAGTTCTGCCTCTGCCTCGTGTTTAGCGAACCTATCCCTGCTTCCTCTTGTTTATTCCCAGGGATGACATTCGCAGTGTTGACATTCTCGGCATTTGCATTCGCAGAGCTCTGTGACGCAGGTCTCATTAGCAGAGTCAGCTCCAATCCCTCCAGATCCTCACCCTGTCTCACCCCAGTCTGCAAGGCCGCATCAGCATGACTGATTTGAGTCAGAGTATCCACAGTAGCTAAAGCAGGAGCTACTTCTGTATCCATTGCTCCTCTTGTGCTCCCGCTCCCTCTCCCTCTCCCACTCCCACTTCCATTCCCTCTTTCGGCACCCCTCCCAGTCTCTTCCCTCCCTCCTCTTCCTGTAGCTTCTTCGGTAGAAGCCATTCCAGTGTATGCCTTATTAGCGTCCTCGTTAAAAGCCCTTTCAGTGGAGACTGTTCTTAGGTGTAACGGAATTCCCATTGCTGCAGTATGAAGAGCCGTAGCTAGAAATGTGGAAGGCGGGATTGTCATCTCCGTGCTCACTATAGCAGTTGAAGGGGGTGCTAATAAAGGAGATATTGATGAAGGAGGTATCAGAGAAGGAGGCGCGAACAAAGGTGCTCTAAATGAAGGTGATTCTAACGAGGTTGGCTTCAGTGAAGGCAGGGCATCACGACGAGGCAGTGACCCAACGTACTGCAACAGGCTCGGTTCTCCGTCTGCCAGGCTCGGGCGTTGGCCGAGGTTCGGACTGAGGTTAAGACTTGGGTTGCGGCCCAGGCTTGCGCCCCGGATTGGATTACGTTCCAGTAGCTCCGGAATCGATAAAATAGCAGCAGCAGGAGCAGAAGCAGAAGTAGGAGCAGCAACAGCAGTGGACACTCCACGCTGTGATGCTTCTGTGAACCGAGATCGACCCCTCGCGAGCAGCAGCAGAACTGGCAGCAGCAGGAGTGCCAATACTAGCACCAGCACTAGCAGCAGCACTAGCATCAGCACTAGCAGCAACCACCTGCACTAGCAGCGGCACTAGCACTAGCAGCACTAGCAACCAGCAGCAGCAGCAGCGCTGGCACTGCTGGCACAGAAGTGGAAGGGAGGTGCATCACGGTTGCATTGCGCTTGGAAGGGGAGAATGAAGCGGGTTGCGAGGGAAGAGTGGGGAGGGATTGGAAAGGACTGGCTTTGGCACTACCACCAGCACCCCCTGTTGCTTTCTCAAATAGCTTTTCTGGAGCTCCTTTGCCTCCCCATCTTTCCCCTCCTCCTTCCCTTCCCTCTTCCCTTCTGCCTTCCCCTCCCCCTCTCCTTCCCTTCCCCCTCTCTCTCCCCTCCCTTCTCCTCCTCCCTCCCCACCTCTACCTACTCCTCTCAGTCCTCCTTTCCCTCCTGCCAGTCCTGCTTTAGCCGCCGATGCTGCTGCTGCAGCAGGCTCCCCCTTTCGAGACGTCCTCTTACGTCGTGCCACGTGGCACGTCATGTGTCCCCCAAGCGCCTGCGACGTGGGGAAAACGTTGCCGCAGACAGGACAAGAATACCCGCCCGGACCGCTGCCCCGGCATACCAGGAAGACGGTCCAAGGGAAGCTGAGCTGGATGCTGGGCGGCAGCATGAGGCGGGGCATTGAAACCAGCACCAGATGAAACTGAAACGGTCCCACCACCAGCACCACCACCAGCACCAGCAGCAGCAGCACCACCACCACCTGAACCAGTGGCAGCAGCATTTGACCTTATTGTGAGTCCTGGGATTGAATCAACTTCTGCTGCAGTGGCAGCAGTGGCAGCAGCAGCAGTGGCAGCATTGGCAGCAGCAGCAGCAGCAGCAGCAGCAGTGGCAGCAGCGGCAGCAGTGGCAACAGTGGCAGCAGCGGCAGCAGCAGCAGCTGCAGAGGGAGCGAAATTTGATACTCCAAACCAGGAGGAGAGGAGGGCCTGAGCGTGCTCACTCAGAAGGACCTGAGTGCGTTGATGCTGCTCAACTGATTGAATCTGATGTCGCTCAGCCGATTGCACTGGAAATTCTGCCTGCTGTTGCTGCTGTGCTTGTTTCTGGGCTTGCTGCTGTGTCTGCTGTTGGGCCTGCTGTTCTGCTTCTTGCTCCTCCTGCCTCTGCCTCGCCTGCTCCTCCAGTTGCCTCAGAAGAAGCAGCTGCAGCTGTTGCTGTTGCTGTGCGTGTGATTGTGCTGCCTGTTGTTGTGTCTGTTGCTGTGCCTGCTGCTGTGTCTGCTGCTCTGATTCTTGCCCCTGTTGCCTCTGCCTCGCCTGCTCCTCCAGTTGCCTCAAAAGAAGCAGCTGCAGCTGTTGCTGTTGCTGTGCGTGTGATTGTGCTGCCTGTTGTTGTGTCTGTTGCTGTGCCTGCAGCTGTGTCTGCTGCTCTGATTCTTGCCCCTGTTGCCTCTGCCTCGCCTGCTCCTCCAGTTGTCTCAGAAGAAGCAGCTGCAGCTGTTGCTGTGCGTGCGATTGTGCTGCATGCTGTTGTGTCTGTTGCTGTGCCTGCTGCTGTGCCTGCTGTTCTGCTTCCTGCCCCTCGTGTCTCTGTCTTGCCTGCTCCTCCAGTTGTCTCAAAGAAGCAGCTGCAGCTGTTGCTGTTGCTGTGAGAGTGATTGTGCTGCCTGTTGCTCTGCCCGTTTTTGTTCCTGTTTCTGTGCCTGCTCCAGACCTGCTGCCTGCACCTCCTGCCGCTGCTTTTCTCGCTCCTCAAAACCCTGCTGCAGAAACAGTAGCTGCTGCTTCATCAGCTGCTGCTGAATCCCCAACCTCTGACTCTGCTCCTTCTGCAATTCCTCCTTCTCCTGCTCAGCTTCCTGCCGAGCTCTCTGCATCAGGGCTTGGTGCTGCTTCTGCTGCTGCTGCTGCTGCTGCTGCTGTTGTTGTTGTTGCTGCTGCTCCAGCCACTGATTCTGCTGCTGATGCTCCAGCCTTTGACTCTGCTCCTGCTGCGATTGTTCCTTCTCCTTCTCAGCTTTCTGCCGAGCTCTCTGCATCAAGGCTTGCTGCTGCAGCACCTCATGCTGCCTATGCTGCTGTTGCTGCTGCTCCTCCTCCTGCTGCTGCTGCTGCTGCTGCTTCTCAGCTTGCTGCTCGGCTTGCTCCTGAGCTCTCTGCATCAGGGCTTGCTGCTGCTGCTGCTGCTGCTGCTTCTCAGCTTGCTCCTGAGCTCTCAGCAGCAAGGCTTGTTGCTGCTGCATCTCATGTTGTTGTTGCTGCTGCCCTTGCTGCTGCTCTTGCTGCTCCTGCTGTTGCTGCCTCAGTTGCCGAAGCAGCAACAGTTGATTTCGCTGCTGCAGGTACGACAACCCTGCAGAAGCAGCCACAGCAGCAGCTTCTGCTGCTGCCTTAGCATCACCCTCAGTCATTGTAACACCTCTGCCCCCCATCCCTGTGACGTCTCTCCCCATGTCTCTCCCCATGCCCGTGCCAATGCCTGTCCCCATGCCTGTACCCATGCCAGTACCCATTTTTTCATCCATCCCCATGCTCCCCCTCATGACCACTCTCCTATCCTCGTTATCCCTCCTCGCAGCACCCTCCCAACCTGTCTCATCCGTCCTCTCTTCATCATCTTTAGAAACACCACTACCCCTGAACCTTTTCCTCCCCTCTCCCTCTCTTGTCCTCTCTTCCCCCTCGCTTCTCCTCCCTTTTCTCTCCTTTGCCCTCCCTTCTACCCCCCTTCTCACCCCATCTCCTTCCCCTTCCCTTATCCTCCCCTCCCCTTCCACATCCCCCGCCCGTATCCTTCCTTCCCCTACTCTTATTCCATCTCCCCTTTGGGTTATACAGTCTTCGTCTGACTGGGTCCCAAAGAGATTCAGCAGGCGAGGAGAAGGAGCGTTTCTGGGTACTGCATCATCCCTTCCCGAGTATGCTTCCAACACTGCAGGTACTGTCTGTGACTGTAACGAGCGTCCTTGTAACGGGGCGGGAACTGCAGCAGCCGCAGCAGTGCCATCACGAGAGATGGGAACAGTGCCACGTGCTGGGCTGGGCGGCAGCAATGATAGTGTCTCCAAACGATGCCGCCCGGAACCAGAACCTGCCGAGGCCTCGCCGCCTGGAGCAACCTCGCTCTCTGCCACCCAGCACCTGGATCCAACACCTGCTGACGTGGCCAGACGTGTGTCAAGGAGAGGGAAAGCAGTTGGAGGGGGAGGGGGAAAGGTTGGAGGACGGGGAGGAGGAGGAGTAGGCTGGCTGAAATCGTGGTTTGTTTTTTGGGTCGTTTGCGTTTTCGGGATAAACTCAGGGGAATGGAGGAGAGGGAAAGGAAGAGCCCCTGGGGAAGGGAGGACTGGGGAGGGGAGGACAGGGGAAGGCAGGATAGGAGAAGGGAGGAGGAAAGGGGAAGGAAGGAGAGAGGCCGCTGACGTCACGATGTGCATGGTGGAGAGGGAGGAGGAGGAGGAAAGCCATCCGGTTTGCTCCGGTAAAGGGAGATCCGTTAAGGCAAGAGGGTCTCCCAGTGGCCGCGGAGCGGATTCAAAGAGAGATTTGAAGGAGAGAATTGGCGATTCTGCAAAAAATCGCTCCCCCTGGCTGGCCCGACGGCGGGAGCTGCGCTCGCGGCGGCGCCCGCGGAGCCCGCGGCTGCGGCGGCGGCGGCGGCGGCCGCAGAGGCGGCGGAGGAGGCGGCAGCGTCCAGATAAGGGTCCACAGAGAAGAGCGCCGACTGTACCACGGGGATTGCGCCGGCGATGGCGGTAGAGCCGGCGCCAGCGGCTTGGTTCCGCTGCTGCTGCACTGGCAGTGACTCGTCGTGCAGCTGCAGCGCCGCCGGATTACGCGCCGCTAGTAGCGGCGCTGGCAGCGGTTGCGCATCGGATCGGACATAATGATCATGCGATGATGACGGTGATGATGGTGAAGGAATCACCATGATTGCCAATGGTGTGGTGGTAACGCCGCCTGCGGCCGGCTTACAAACGGCAAGGGCACGGCGCCGTTTGGTGATAACGCGCGCGCGGCGCCTCTCTTCATATAGATCTTGTCACGCAGAAAGCTCCCGCGGCGCTTGTTACGTCTGCGTGACGCCGTCACGGTTGGGGATGATGCGTCGCAGTCCAAATGTCACTGCTGTGAAAATTTGGCACTGGAAGAGTCTTCGGAACTTTTTGGGATCCAGATCAAGCACATGCCAATTAATAAACTCTATTTCCTCTGAGGACTCCTCTGAGGACTCTATTCCCTTTCAGCCTGAGTTACATTCTTCGGTCTTCGGCTCACTTCTTTTATGACAGAATGGCGAAGAAAAAGAAAGCAAGGACTTCTATAGGTTTGACGACGCCACGGAGATGCTGGCCACGAGAGATCGCGGAAAAAACAGCTATCAGCTCCACTATGACATTTGCACGCTGACTGAATGATTTTGGCAGGCAAACAGAGTCTATACGGCCAGGCGATGCAGCTTGAGAGCTCTCTGAGTCCAACTGGCCATTCTGCTCCTCAGTTGCCACTAGTGAGGGATGAGACTCACGAATCCCTGGGGAACAGCCACAAATAGAAAAAACTGGCGCAACTTGTGTGGCCTCCTCTCAGAAACATAGAGTAGCGTTTGGGGGCTGCTGCTTGCATTGCATTTGCTGCTTGCCTGTGGTGGTCTTTCCGTTCCCAGCAGTGATTCAGTGTGGCGTACAACAAAACAAATCGCAAGTCTTAGAATGAATGGAACTGTACAGTTTAGGCTACTCTCAAATTCCAAAGGCTGACTACCATTTTCTGCCAGAGTGTCCGATTTGCTGCTATGGGTAAATAGTGAAATTATAAATCAGTTCGTGATCCGTCCGCGGGCGGATCACGTTGCTTTTTGCGAAAGCGGGAATTTGCGGAAGCCACAATTCTTTTTTCTCAGAGTAAATGTCCCTACGAGTATCATCAAACACTGCTCAGATCAAAACCCAGCGTTCGCGATGGTAGGGTGATTTGGTTTGTGTGGGAGGGACGTGACGTGTCGTGAGGCGCGCGTGCAAGCCTGGAACGAGTGTGGCTTTGAATGGTGAGGTGACAGCCTATTTCCGTGGCACTACAGTACGAGGGATCCACTTATGATCTTCGCGTGGACAACATCTGCTACACTTAGGAATGAAGGACCCACACTTCCAAAACCTTTGCTATCCACACACACTAGGTGCTGGGTTTGGATAATAATGGACAGTGAAGTGAATGCTGGTTTGGGGCAAAAGCTACTGCTGACGCAGGCAATCATTTCATGCATATTTCGCGGATGCATCCGCGTTTATTGGTCACTGCCTTGTCGAGCGTGCACAGCGGTCCCATCTCTATTTATTTTGTCCCCATTTTGGCGATTTTACGAAACAAATCCTCATAACATAGAGCGTTTCCAAGTACGTACCACACCCATGTCGCTCAGCACGCAACACCTCGTACGAGGTTCACTAGAGCCTGACATTTCCATTGCACAATTCAGCCCATTAAGTCTGGATAATCCAGAAACAACCCGGCCGACCCAGAAATCCCGAAATTCCGTGGTGTCACGAGGTTTCGCTCGCGATGCTCCGTGACAACTGTGCACTTGCTTGCCCGGCCATTATCTCCGATACTCAGATTTTTCATGAGCGCGTTCTAAGGTGTAAACACCAACAGAAACCCAGTTTCTCGATATAGTGTGAATCTATTCTGTTTCATGTTTGTATACAGTCACTCAAAAAGAGGAAGTCTAGCACTTGCAATAAATAAATATAATGCCCGTAGCGAGCCTATATGTTTTCCGGGAAGGATCAACCCTGAACACCGAAAGCCTCCAAATATTTTGGAAAACATATTGTAACCCACTTGACAAAAAATAATAATACCCACCTCGGAAAGGGATGCGACTCGGGGATGCATCAACCCTAAAAACAATTCCCACTTCCGTGTTTAGGGTTGACCCCTCTCGAAAATGCATCCAGGTTCCCTAGGGGTTTCATTTTGTTTTTATGCCATGCCCAAATAGGTCTCGGTAGCGTCGTCTAGTGCTTTCGGTAGCGTTGTTTAGCGGTCGGTTGCGCTACTAAGCACTACCAAGTGAATTCTGTGGGCTTCATTCTCTTACTACCTTAATTTCCGTACATCCTGAAGTGGTCCAGCGAGTAGCTGGTTCACTTCTGAAATATGAGGTATCGGGATCAAATCCCCCCTGCGGCGTATTCCGCCAACCCCCACTAGAAGGGGCTACATAGCTACTCATCTGGGAGTGGATAGAACAACCTCGTTGACCCAGCGAGGAGTGTAAACAAATGGGGAGGCGGGTTACGACCGACAGCCAGGTGTGGGTAACACCCAGAGGGGCTTCCCCCCCTCCTTTACCTTCACCTTAATTTCCGTACATATATCCAGGTCGGGAGGGTAAACTGGACGGTTTTGTTTTTGTTACTTTCTAATGAGTTCGACCAGCGTGAAAAATGTTACTAAAACGCGACGACCAATCAACGTTGAGAAAGTCCAGGTTGATTACACCTGAGAACGCGCTCAGGCAAAATCTGAGTATCGGAGATAATGGCCGCTTGCTTGCCCTCTGCTGCTAGGCAAGAGCCAATCAGCAGCAGTCAGTCACAAGTCCGGCGTGGTTTGAGAGGCCTGCCATCCTCCTTGTTCCAGCATGACTCACACGAACGCCGGAAGGAACGATATATCCTAACACGATGCACCGATCTCCACAGTGTACAATGTACAGTGCAATACAGACCCTTGTGATTTGGTGCTGCTGATTATTCGCTCCGAGGTGCGTGGTCAATTTTAACCAGTAATCACAGTGTTTCACGTGATAATGACGTCATGCAGTTGAGGATCTGATCGTCTGCATTGCACTTGCACAACTGAAGGCATTCTTGCTGACATGACATCCCACGCCCAGCTAAGTCACAAAATGCAGTGTCTGTACCGGGACATCTTGCGCGCCACCTGCCCGAATCAGGGTAAAAGATGAATACCACTCAGCGCAGAAACCGCACACTTATTTCACCAGCCTCACCAGACTTGAAGTGCCTTTTTGCAGTCATAAAACTCCTAGGGAGCAGAGATGCTACGGGAGGAAATGGAACCATCCTGTTGTCTAACACGATGGTCACAACAAACTGAGAAGCAAGGAGTAACAGGACTACAAAGTCATCCTAAACTGTATTTCGTAAATCGAACCAATGTTAGAAACAAACACCCCACACCCAGTTCATGTTTGTGAATCACGAGGTGCCACACAAAAGAGGCATGGACAGCCCGTCCTGGAACTGTTGAGTTCACAATCTGCATGCAAGACAGTATATCGACAGCGCGGATTTTTGTACAGTAAGCTCCCCAAGCCAGGCCAACGCGGTGATCGTTGGAACAGCCAAGTGCCGCTGCTTGCGTATCCCACGCTGTCGTTGTGTGGCGATATTTTCTTCCCTCATAGCACGGGCAACTCAAGTGGGTGTTTTTTTTAAGAAACCTGATACAAGAATTATTTCATCTCAATAGACGTAGTGACAAAGACACTATAATCTGTCTACTGGATACATTATAATAAAAATACATTTAGAGTTCCCTTTAGGTTAGTGAAGAGGGATAATTTACTTCATATTTTAGAAAAATGCAGTGATTTCGGAAGCATACATTTTGGCACATATATTACATGACAAGAGATAGAATATAAGGGGTTAATCAGAGTCACTGCACGAGCTGTCGTCCCCAAACACTTGAAACCAGCTGTGAGCTGCATCAGGTTGACAAAAAGTGGGGCTGGTAAGAGACATGCTGCTCGGTGATTGGCTGGTGGGTCGAAAGGTAGATACCTTCTCCCCAAGAGCAGTCCCCTACATACAGCAAAGGTGAAAATAGGTAAGAGAACATGTTCAATGAAAAATGATTGGATGAAAGGGAAGATGGCCATTCATCAAAATTAATTCTGATGCAGTGAGTTCGGTAGTACTCTTTCGAAAGCATGAACATACCTTTGTCTCTGATGCAAAGCATGCAGTAACGAGGGCAGCAAAAACAGGAACAAATACAAAAAGGAGGATAGCCAACTCCTGCATTAGAAAACAAAAAAGGAGGAAATACAAATAGATATGAGATGCCACAGTAAAAAAATGTCATGAAACCCGCAGGTGACGAGCATCAGCATAGAACATGAGCCAATCAAGAGGCAGACATGGTAGTGGGGGAGGCATTGAAAACAAGCAGAGAGCACATAAGAGGCCTCCTGAGTCCTGAGGCGCCTCAAAAGACAACGAAATAAAGTGGACACCAGGAAGGATGGGAGAGGTTGCAAACGGAGAGCAAACAATAGATTTTGCCAATAACACACACATAAACCACACGCAATGGGTTCCAAGATTCAATTTTTGTCGAACTAAGTGCTGGGGGCGGGGGGGGGGGTGGGGGGGGAGGGGGGAGAGGGAGAGGGGAGGGGCGGAGAGAGTGTGCATGCAAACATGCACATAAACACATGTGTGTGTGTGTGTGTGTGTGCATGTGCAGGCTCGCACGGTTAGAAAAGGGACAAAGCTGGTAACCACACGCAACAAACAAAGAGCAACCGAAACAAAAAGAAACAAAAGAATACAACCAGACCTACCCTGTGATTTCCTTCGATCAGCCCGACCGCCACAAACGGACAAAGAAAGCCGCCCAACCTTGCCCATGAGTTTGCCACCCCGAGGCCTGTAGATCTTATCTCGGTCGGGTAAATTTCCGGGGTATATGCCCAGAGCACCGCAAATGACCCCATAATTGCTGCCCGGGCAGCAAAAAGGAAAATCGTGGTGGCAGTGGGCGGCAAGGGCTGAATCAAAGGCAGCAAAAAAAACCCTGCTAAGCAGAGGAGAACCCAGAGGACGGTCTTTCGACCTAAAATCTCGACCCCGATCAGAGCGATGAGAAGACCGGGCAGCTCTGCAGCTGAAGTAACAAAAACGTCTGAATAGGTCTGAGAGGAGATCTCAGGTTGATTTTCAGGTGTGCAGCCAGGTAAGGGAGAGGGGGAAAGAGAGGAGGAAGAGGGAGAATGGGAATACAAGGAAGATGACGAGGTGGAGGAAGAGGTAGGGGAGTGAGTGGCCGAGGAATCGTCTGTGGTGGAGGTGGAGTTATCTTGTTGTTGAGAGAGAGTCAAGGAACGACGAAGAGAGGGAAGAGAGTGTTGATGGTTGGGTGTGCTAGGGCCGAGAAGAGGAGCAGGATGAGGAGGAGGTGGAGGGGGAGGGAGTGCGATCGCTACTGTAGGGATGGGATGGTCCTGTTTAGTGAGCAAGCTTCTGGAGGGAACAGGGGAAGAGCCACGGACAGGCGTTGACTCTTGAGACTCCTCAGAAATAGACTGTTCAGTGAGCAAGCCTCTAGAGGGAACAGGGGAAGAGCCAGCGGAATACGATGCATTTTCTCCCGCTGCTGCTGCTTCTACTGCTCCTCCTCCTGCTACTGTTGCTGTTGCCGCCGCTGCTGCTGCCGCTGATTCTGCATCTAATGCTGCTCCCCCTACTGATTGAGAGGAGTGCGGAGTGGTGGGTTGAAAAGACAGCTGAGTGGTGGGTTGAGAGGAGTGTGGAATGGTGGGCTGAGAGGACAGCTGAGTGGTCAGCAACACGAGCCCATAGTAGGAAAAGGCCGAGGCAAAAAAGAGCAGCCAGACGACCAGAGTAGAGCGAAGGAGGGAGGGGAAAAGGAGGCTAGTGAGCTTGTGGAAAGAGGAGGAGGAAGGGGAGGAGGAAGAGGAGGAGGGATGGGGAGGAGGAGGTAGGTGGGGATGTGAGTGGAAATGTTGGTGGTGGTGATGGTGCTGTGGGTGGGGATGGGGATGAGCATGGGGATGGGAGCGGGGATGCTGCTGCAGCTGCTCCTTGGAATGCGAATCGTGTTGACTACTTTGCTCTCTGTCAGTATTTTCAGCTGATACTGGTTGTGATGGGAGAGGCGGGAAAGAGGAGGAGGAAGAGGAAGGGAAAGACAAAGAACAAGGGGGGCTAGACGTGCGTGTGCTTCGAGGCGCTTTTCTTTGGAGCACCGTGCTTTCAAGTGCTGTGTGTTGGAGTGTTGCCGTTTGGGGTGTCCTTTGAGGCGCCTCAAATGTGTGTTTGAGTGTTGCCCTTTCAGATATTCGGCAGGGAGAGGGTTGAGAGGGCAGGGAAGGGCCGGCATCGAAATTTGAGTTGAAGGAAACGTTGTTCGGAGAGAGAGGGGTGGTGGAGGAGCAACGGGAATGAGATACGGATGAGGAGGAGGAGGAGGAGGAGTAGACAGGGTAGTGAGAGGAGGAGCGGGAGGAACGGTGTTTAGTAGTGGAGGGTGGTGGAGTCGAGGAGGTGGCATGGGCGGGAGAAGGAGAGGAGGGGTGTGGTGAAGCCAGTAGCTTTGGACCAGATGAGGCTGAAACCAGCCGCCCAGGCGGCAGGCGCTTCCCGTTGGTTCGAGCGGCTTTTTCTAGGACTGTATGTGCTGCTGACGTGTTGCCTTTGAGCTGATTGGGAAGGGAAGAGCAAGGATAAGAGAGAGGGTTGGGAGGGAGATCGAGGGAGGGGAGGAATGAGGGGGTGAGAATGGGGGAGGAGTAAGAAGGCAAGGGTATGTGAGTAAAGGGAGGAGAGAACGGGAGGAAGGGGTGGGAAAAAAGTGGAAAGGAGGAAGGAGAAGGAAAAAAAAAGGGAGAGAAAGGATATGAAAAGTGGTGGGCTGCTGACACGCTATTTGAGTGAATGGAGGAAAATGAGCAAGAAAATTTATGTGCATTTCTAAAATTCTTAATTCACACAAATAGGGGAAGAGAAGAGGAGCACAGAACAAAGGCAAAAGGAGAAGAGAAGGCGAGAGGAGAAAGGGAAGGATGGTGTTGGTTTGGGTTGGGTTGGATTGGGTTGGGATGGGTTGGGTTGGGTTGGGTTGGGTCGGGTTGGGTTGGGTTGGGTTGGGTTGGGTTGAGTTGGGTTGGGTTGGGTTGGGTTGGGTTGAGGTGGGTTGGGTTGGGTTGGGTTGGGTTGAGTTGGGGTAAAACAAAGGCAGGAGCGCAACAGGTGTGGTGGACACACGGTGTAGCTTGCAGACCCACTCACCCACACTCACCACCCACACACTCACTCACTCACTCACCCACCCACCCACCCACCCACCCACCCCATAACACGAACCCACCACCAATATCTTTTACTGACCAGGAGAAACCGAGGCGATTCGGGAAGGAAAGGGTAGAGCAGCAGCAGGAGCGCAAAGGGCGTAGCAGAGAGGAGAACTAGCATCCTGGGGTGGAGGCAAACGGAGAGGGAGGGAGGGAGGGAGGGAGGGAGGGAGGGAGGGAGGGAGGGAGGGAGGGAGGGAAAAACGAGAGAGGGGCAGTGTGGGGAAAGAGGAGAGGAAGGGGGAAGGAGCGAGAGGAGAAATGTGTATTGTGACTCGGGAAGGAAGGTAGAGCAGCAGCAGAAGAGCAAAGGTGCTGAAGAGAGGAGCACTAAAACGCTGGAAGAGAGGCAAGAGGTGGGAGGGGCATGGAGGGGAAGGGATGGGCAGGGAGGGTAAGGGAAGGGGAGAGAAGGCAAGACGAGAGGGAGGGAGGGAGGGAGACAGGACGAGACAGACACAGGGTGGGAAAAAAGGAGAGGAAGGGAGGGAGAGGAGCAAGAGGAGAAAGGTGTATTGTGACTGGGGAAGGAAGGTAGAGCAGCAGCAGAAGAGCAAAGGGCGCAGCAGAGAGGAGCACTAGGGCCCTGGGGTGGAGGCAAGAGGAGAGGAGGGGTAGGGAGGGGTAGGGAGGGGTAGGGATTGGCCGGGAGGGTAAGGGAGGGGGAGAGAGGTGCAGGGAGGGGCAGCGAGGGGGAAAGGAAGGGAAGGGAGTGGCAGAGTGGGGCCAGAAGGAGGAGCCATGGTAGAACAGGAGCCATGGTAGAACAGGAGCCATGGTAGAACAGGAGCCATGGTAGAACAGGAGCCATGGTAGAACAGGAGCCATGGTAGAACAGGAGCCATGGTAGAACAGGAGCCATGGTAGAACAGGAGAAGATCACTACGTGGGCTAGACAGGGACCTTTCCAGTAACTTTCAAACCAGGCCAACGGTACTTCCCAGAAATATGAAGCAGGTTTGGTAAATCTCCATACCTCCAGTGTAGGCTCGGCATGACTGCCCAAGCAAGCGCCGCCTCTATTAGCGACCCAATCTGGAAAGACAGGCGAGAGGCACGGGAGAGGCAAGAAGCATGGTGCGGGAGAGGCATGGTGAGAGGCAAGAGGTATGGTGAGAGGCAAGAGGCATGGTGAGAGGCAAGAGGCATGGTGAGAGGCAAGAGGCATGGGGGAGGTAAAGCAAGGGGCAGAGGAGAACTATGCACAGTGAGTGAGATGCAGGAAGGTGGTAGGACTGCTTTTGAAAAAATACCTGAAACAAGAAGGTGCGGACATAATGTAATGCGTCGTGGAGATTTCATTATTTTTATTACCTTCGTTATAATCTCAAGGAGTACCTTCATGTTATTCGTTTTCAGGCAATCTCATAAAAGTTCCAGGATTTTGCTTGAAGTAGCACTAAGCATGTCACTTACCGTCCAGAAGAACTCGATAAACACGAGCCAGAAACCCCGACAGTGGGAGGGAAGGAATTCGGAGCAGAGGGAAAAGACCACTGATGCCCCTCCAATGCCACTTACCATGGAACAGCATTAAGCATGTCACTTACCGTCCAGAAGAACTCGATAAACACGAGCCAGAAACCCCGACAGTGGGAGGGAAGGAATTCGGAGCAGAGGGAAAAGACCACTGATGCCCCTCCAATGCCACTTACCACGGAACAGCACTAAGCATGTCACTTACCGTCCAGAAGAACTCGATAAACACGAGCCAGAAACCCCGACAGTGGGAGGGAAGGAATTCGGAGCAGAGGGAAAAGACCACGGATGCCCCCCCGATGCCAAACCCCACGAGGCAGCGCGAGACGAGGAGAGTGAGGAAGGTTGGGGACCATGCACTGTGTGGTGTGGTGTGGGGGAAGGAAGGGAGGGATGGTGAGGGGATGTTCGGCAACCACCCCCCCCCCGATGCCAAACCCCACAAGGCAGCGAGAGATGAGGAGAGTGAGGACGGTGGGCGACCACGCACTGTGTGGTGGAGGGAAGAGGGAAGAGGAGAGGAGAATACTGAGTGAGAGAGTAGCACAGAAGCCCCTCCGATGCCAAACCCCACAAGGCAGTGAGAGATGAGGAGGGCGAGGAAGGTGGGTGACCACGCACTGTGTGTGTGGTGTGGGGTGTGTGGAGGGAGGATAGTGAGGTTATGGAGGAGAAGAGATGGATAAGAACGATGAGGGGGTGGAGGAGATGGGGTTACAGGGAGGAAAAAGAGGGATGGATGTGGGCTGGGCTGGGAGACAGCCAATGTGAGTGACCTGATGTGAGAAGGTTACAACCTTCTCACAAGGATATAGGATGGGAGACGTCAGGTCGCATTGGCTGTCGCACTCGGACAAGGACAAAGAGGGATGGATCAAGGATATAGCATGGGAGACAACCAATGCGACCTGATGCGAGAATCTTCGGGCCTGACTCGGACCTAAAAGTTATAAACGCAGAGATAATGAACTGAATCAGTATTTGGCCCACCTTTTCACCTGAAGAATCACCCGGAAAAAACACCTGAGGAACTACCCGACCTGAAAAATTACCTGAGCAAGCCAGCGAAGAGAGTGAAGAGAGCAGTGGCCATGAACCCCCTCCTCCTTCCGTAGGCATCTGCCACGAGGCCCCAGACATAGGAGCCTCTGATATGGACAGACAGAAGATGAGAGCATGGGAGGAAGAGAGACGAGATGCCGTTGGATTGAGGTGTTTCACTTGAGAGAGCAGAGGCCATGAACCCCCTCCTTCCATAGGCATCTGCCACGAGGCCCCACACGTAGGAGCCCCTGGCATTGCGGATGCAAGATGAGTGAAAAGGAAGATGAGAGACAAGGAAAGGCAGAGAAACACGAGGCAATTGAGTTGAAGAGAGCAGAGGCCATGAACCCCCTCCTCCTTCCATACGCATCTGCCACGAGGCCCCACACGTAGGAGCCCCTGATATGGACAGACAGAAGATGAGAGCATGGGAGCAAGAGAGACGAGAGGTGGCTGATTGTGAAGAGGGCAGCGGTGTCATGGTGAACCCTCTCCTTCTGCTGTAGGCATCTGCCACGAGGCCCCACACGTAGGAGCCCCTGGCAGGTGAAAGATGGATAAAAGGAGATGGATGGTAAGGGACACACAAGGTGGTTGAATGGATTGAAGAGGGCAGCGGTGTCATGATGAACCCTCTCCTTCTGCTCTAGGCATCTGCCACGAGGCCCCACACGTACAAGCCCCTGTCACATGACGGATGGAGGTGAGATGGAGGGAGGGAGAGGAGATTGAGCTGAAGGGAGCACAGGTTGAGAAGACTCTTTTTGTTCTTTCTGCATGCACCTGTCACGCGCTGCCACATGTGCGATCCCCTGGTATGGCAGACACATGAAGGATGGAAGGGAGATGGAGGGAGGGAGGGGAAATTGATCTAAAGGGAGCACAGGATGTGTTTCCTGACAGGAGAAAAATATAACATAGAGAATCAAGCAACAGAACACCATCACGCTGGAATGACAGTTAGGCTCTTCTCCCCTGCTTGGATGATTGTGCTAATGAAGGGGTCGACAAAAAGGGCACTTACAAAAATACACCCAGGAACACCACACTCGCTATGAGGCTCTCCTCTGCTGCTGAAAGTCCAAACTCACACCGCGCCTGGCAGGGAGAACGGGAGATTGCGTTGGTTGAGACAAGGCAGAGAAAAAACAAGGCAGGGGAAGAAGCAAGGCAGGGGAAACGACAGGAGGCAGGTGGACCAGTAAGTGAATAAAGTGGTACGATGCCTTAAATCAGTTCAGCGAGCCAGAAATTTGAGGCGCCTCAAGAGGCAGTGAAAGGGACAGAAGGCACTGTTCTGGTGGTACGTAACCAGTAAATAAAGTGGTAAGACACAATAATTCAGCTCAGCGAGCAAGGTAAGACCCAACACGTGTCAGTCAGATCAGACCGCATCAAGTTCTTGCCTCCCTGACCATAAAAAGAGCTACCAAGCACTGCAATGCAATGCAATACATGAGACCACACTCACTGGTGGCCGCACAAAGAAGAGCAGAATCATCTGCATGGCGCCAGCGAGCCAGGCAAGGCAAGGCGAATTGATTAATATATAGCTAGTATGTATGACCATGACCTGCACTCACCGCTGGTCCCACGAAGGAGAGCAGAATCATCTCCATGGCATCAGCGAGCCATGCAAGGCCAGTATAGCACACGAGGAAGAGCTGATAAGGGCCGAAACCTGGTGAGAACAGGAGGATAGGATGGAAGCGAAGGGGCAAGGAGAGGAGAGAGTGAGAGAGAGAGAGAGAGAGAGAGAGAGAGAGAGAGAGAGAGAGAGAGAGAGAGAGAGAGAGAGATTGCCACTCACCATGCCCTCCGCACGAAGACCAACGAGGCCTTGGCGGCGGACGAGCTCGGCTTTAGAGGACCCATCATCCCTCTCAGTGAGGGACAGCTGCACCAGTTGATTGAGGCCCCGTTCGACCAGTAGGGTCGGACAGAGGGGGGGGGGCTGAGTAGGTAGGAGACTTGAGGTAGTTCGGATCTCGGTTTGGATGTTTGTTGTGCTTGTGTGTTCTGCATCTTCCTTTGTACCACCCCTCATAGTAATGCAAGGACCATTCGAGAGAGAGAGAGAGAGAGAGAGAGAGAGAGAGAGAGAGAGAGAGAGAGAGAGAGAGAGAGAGAGGGAGAGAGAGAGGGAGAGAGAGAGAGAGAGAGAGAGAGAGAGAGAGAGAGAGAGAGAGAGAGAGAGAGAGAGAGAGAGAGAGAGAGAGAAGGCCCAGCACCGACTGCACCAACGGCGTTGCGACTGCCGCTTCCGCACGACCTTCCCTGACCACCGCCTTCCCAACCACCTCATGCGCTGTGAGAAAGGCGGGGGGAGGATTGCCACTCACCATGCCCTCCGAGATGAGTGTGCGAAGATCGCAGCAGAGGCAGGATACACGGTGTACAAGGAATCTACAGTTTACTCTCCGGTAGAAAACCTCAAAGCGGATGTTTGCATCCGCCATCCCGACACCGGCGAGGTTCACATGTGCGACATCACCGTGACGGACCCGGTCTCCCACCAAGATGAGCTTGCGCGGAAGGCGCCTGGGTGGGCTGCAAGGATGCAAGCCGCCTAGAAAGAGGACAAGTACGCGCGGCGGAACGCGTGGGTAGGCTTCCACGCCATGGCGGTGGAAACGTACGGCTACCCGTCCCCGGGAGTGCACGCCTTCCTCCGCAGCTGCGCCGAGCTCGCGGGCAAGCGGCGGTTCAACGCTGCGCCAAAGTCGAGGGAGGTGGCCAGGCTCCTCACGGAGTACCGTCAGCGCTGGAGTGTGACTCTCCAGCGCGCCCAGGCCAATGCCCTTCGCGACAAGACCCACAAGGCCATTGCCGCGGATGAGCTTGGCCTGCAAGGCCCGTTTGGCAGCTTGGGGGAGGAGCAGCTGTACCAGCTGCTGGAAGACCCCACAGGCCAGTAGGGCCGTGGGGAGAGGGGGTAGGGGAGGGATGAGCAGTGGTACCTTGGTGTGTTTGCTTGTTTGTTTGTTTGTTTGTTTGCTTGCTTGTTTGTTTGGTTGTTGACTTGCTTGATTGCCGGTTGATTGCTTAGACTAGCTTAGTACCAATGACTGTACCTTGATGCTATTAATACGAAGGTCCGTTCGAGAGAGAGAGAGAGAGAGAGAGAGAGAGAGAGAGAGAGAGAGAGAGAGAGAGAGAGAGAGAGAGAGAGAGAGAGAGAGAGAGAGAGAGAGAGTAGGAAGGAGCATCTTCATGGCATCAGCAAGCCATGCGAGGCCAGTGTAGCACACGAGGAAGGAAGAGCTGGTAAGGGCCGAAGCCTGGTGAAGGGAGAGAGGGGAGAGAGTGAAATGAAGGAAAGAGTATCTCCATCCATGGCGTCAGCTAGCCAGGCGAGGCCAGTGTCACACGAGGAAGAGCTGGTAAGGTCCGGATCCTGGTGAGGGGAAGAGGATGGGGGGGTAACTTATAAACTCTCTATGAGTCATGCAAGGCCAGTGTAACACACGAGGAAGAGCTGGTAGGGTCCGAATCCTGGTGGGGGTTAAGGAGGGGAGGAGGGGAAGAGGGAAAGAGGAAGGGAATGAGTGAGAGGGGAGAGGACAGGTGGTGAGACAGAGAGGAAACGCGCGGAAAGGTTACTGGAGCATGGAATGACATCGAGCAAAATCTCAACTTGGGGAGCGATCTTTGGTATTTCAAAAACATTTGGGCGGCGTTTGAGGCGCCTCGAAAAGTATCCTCCATCCCCATCACCTGGGGCGAGATTTCGAACCCTAAAGCAACAGCTGGCACAAATTCAATACAGTTAGGGCACTGAAAAAAAGCTCACCTATGGAATCAAAGGCATCGTCAACCGTCAACACCTCGTCTGCATCTCCGTCCTCCTCAACAGGAGAAAGGACTGCTTGCATATATTTGAGTTTATTACGACTCTTAGCAGAGGCTCACCTATGGAATCAATGGCATCGTCAACTGTCAACACCTCGTCTGCATCTGCATCCTCCTCCCCCTCATCTTCTTCATCATCATTGTGATCATCCACATCAGCCTCGTCAGCAGCACCATCATTGTAACGGTAATACTCCTCCCTACTGCCATTATTTTCGTCGATATCAGCCTCATTTTCAACACCCTTCTCCCTCTCCTCCTGCTGTTGCTTCTCCACTGTCTCCCCCCCTTTCTCAGCATCTACTCCCTCTCCTCCTTCTCTTCTCTCCTCTGTCACACCACCCTCCTGTGCTACTCCTCTCTCGCACATCTCCACCTGGCAATTAACAACAGGAACATACGCATTTTGAGTCGATTAATAACACCACGTGTTGTAAAATGACTCGTAACAAACAACACGAACAGGTCCAAGAAATGGCAGCTACAAGAACAGGGCATTGCCGCATGGACGGGGTTCGGCTCGGTTGAGAATTTAGGGATTGGCTGGAATCAGATAAATGGCTATAATCTGGGGATTAGATAGATAGAGAGACTCGGACCAACGTGAATGGAATCAGAGAAGCTCCGATTGTGAGATTCATTCAAGGATCATTCACACCGAGAGCGGAAACAAATGAGACAGCAAGGTGGAATCTAATCCGAAGGGAGATGGCGTCTCTTAAGAAGGCCTGTCGCAAAATCTGCCTACTCATAGGCTCTGATGCGGACCAGAAGATTTACGGCTGTTGTGGTGTGATGTTGCAGAAAGCCCATGAAATGGCAAGCTCTAGGCGCTCCGGCTATAGAAGAGCTACCAACAGCTACCGAGGGAAAAAATAACGGCTCAAACGCTAAGAAAGACGAATTAGTCGCAAAGGTTTATTGAGATTCGAGGTTCGAAATGCATCCCTTACAAGGTTCCAAGGCTTAAAATTGATGAACCATGGATTCCAGGGCTTACAATGGATGATCCATGGGTTCCAGTCCACAGCAAAGTGAGAAGCAACGAATTTTGAAGCTAAGCATTTGAGTATAAACAGATCTTGAAGCTACGAATGCGGAGCTGTTAAGAATGGCGGAACATCTAAGAATGGTGAGGCAAAATGGCAAAGCGAATTCAGCGTACCCAGGGACCAGTCGAGGAATCAACAGGCAGCGGCATTCCCCTTGAACTGTTTCGCTTATGCCGAACACCCGACGCTCGCTACAGTCGCTCTTGCTGGAACGCCGGAGACGCGGACAATCGCAGCAGCGCGTCAGTCAGCCACGTGATTTAGGGCGATGCTTCCAACTCTGGATCCATCACTCCTCTAGGGCAAACTCGCATTGCAACCGTTCGTCGCCTTTGTGCCACGCTGGATCCAAATCTATGCACAATACTATACTGTTTCCTGCCGTTGGGATTATCGTCTGTATACAGTGCTGTACTTTTTCTTAGCCTTGGGATAATCGCTTGATAGCCGGAAAGCAGCAGCAAGTCAATTACTGATAGCGACTTCTCGGGGAGGGGAGGGAGGGGGTGAAAGTTTCGGCGGAAATGGTTGGGAAAAGCCGCGGGAGTGGGGCAGTGCGCAGGTACGGGCGGAGAGAGGAACAGGGTAAGTGGGGGAGAAGGGGGACAGAACTACCTAGCAGAGAGGTCTGGGAAGCGCCAAGAAGCGGCGTGCGCGTGCGCGTACGCGCAGCAGTGTCTATGTCGCCTGGATTCTTGCGTGGGTCGCACGCGTCGCACGACGAAACTCGGGTCCTAAGAAGCAGAGCTGATCGCGTCGCCAGGAACTCGATTGGTTGTATTGAACACCTGGTCAGCCGCGACGAATCACGAGTCACGAGTCACGACGACGGCTCGAACTGACATAAGTGGTTCATGAACGTGCAGCGTGGTTCGAGATTCTCGAAATCGAAACAGCACGCAAACATCACATGGTCAAATGCGAATTGACATGCTCATATGCTACTCGAGCGAGATTATTCTATGCTAAATGACATGCATGCCTGGAGGAAAAGGACGACACACGGCTCCGTTACCCACCATACCTTGGTTCTGCTGCCTAATTATCAAAACTGCTCTGTCCCCCCCGGCCAACCTGGGCTCATAGATTCTTGTCTGCTACTGTCAGAAGGAAATGCTACCGGTATTCCAGTACAGGATGACTCGCAACAACGTAAGTGTGGCTGCCTTTATACAGTTAGCTTGCAATAAAAAGCGACTGTTTAACGTGCTGTGAACGGAAATTAACAGGAAGGCAATGATTTCTGACACTGTTCCTACTTCAAATGCATACAAGCAGTATTTGAAATACCGAACTACAAAACTCATCATAAACCAGATCAATAAAAGTATGTTAATAAACTGCAACCCGGTATAGGTGTTTACATACACCATCAGTGCTTGCCTGTTCTCCCTACAACTAGAGTTGGTCCATCCACAAAATAGTCTTGTTTCCGCACATTCACACCATACTGTAAAGAATGACAACGGATATCACATCAACAGATGGAGAACGATAAAAGACAGACACAGACACAGACACAGACACGGACACACACAAACACACACACACACACACACACACACACACACACACACACACACACACACACACACACACACACACACACACACACACACACACACAAAAGCAAGCGGACAGAGCAAACACACGTTTCAGTGGGGGGAGTAAACATGAAGGACCAAACACCTACACCACAGGTCCTTACTCCAACCTTGCAATGAAGCTATATGTTGCCATTAAGTATGAACTCACCTCTTTCAATGCAGCAGCGAGGTCCTCTGTAGTGAGTACAAGCTTCTTCTCCTTGGGCCCTTTCGCCTTCATCTCCTTGCCGCTGCCCGCCTGCCGGATCTTGCAGAACCTGAAAGGGAACGGGGGGAGGGGGGAGAAGGAATGGGGAGGGTGCAGTGGGGCAGGGTTGAGGGGCAGCATCAGCCCCAACACTCGACTTCATCTCCTTCCACTGCCCGCCTGCCGGATCTTGCAGAACCTGAAAGGGAACGGGGGGAGGGGGGAGAAGGAATGGGGAGGGTGCAGTGGGGCAGGGTTGAGGGGCAGCATCAGCCCCAACACTCGACTTCATCTCCTTGCCACTGCCCGCCTGCCGGATCTTGCAGAACCTGAAAAGGGTAAGGGGGAGGAAGGGGGGAGAACGAGGGGAGGGGGGGGAGAGAAAGGGGGAAAAAGGGGGAAGAGAGGGGGGAGGAAGGGACGGAGGGAGCGGAGAAAAGAGAGAAAGAGGGGAGGGGGGGGTTTGAGGAGGAGTGTGACAGCATTGATATGCCATTCAACTTGCTTGAGAAAGGGAGTGGCACATGCGCACGAACTTACTGTAGCGCACATTAACTTACTCTAAAACATTGTAAATTTACTGTCGCGCATCATAAGCTATACTGTAGCGCATTATAAACTTACTGTAATGCATCATGTAAACCTACTGCAGCACACATAAACTTAATGTAGCACATCATAAGCCTACTGTGCGCATCATAAACTTACTGTAGAGCGTCACTGGCTACCTCCCCTATGAACTTGTGAGCCGCAGCTGACACAAGGCGAGTGCTGGTGACATGCGTGCACAGAACGAGGTGGGTGGGTGGGGGGGGGGGGGGGGGGGGGGGGGGGTGCGGAGGGGGGGGAGAGAGGGAGGAAGCGGAGGAGTTTGAGACAGCTTATTGGCCACCTCTCGTATGAGCTTGTGCTCCTCTGAACTTGTATCAGAGGGGGGAAAGGGGTAAGGGGGGAGGGGAGGGAGGAGAAAAGATTAAAACAGCGTCACTGGCCATCTCTCCTATGAGCTTATGAACCGCAGCTGATACAAGGCGAGTGCTGGTACGCATGCATGCACAGAGCCAATATGGGTGAGAGAAACGGAGGAGACGAGAGCAAGAGAAGGGGTAGGAGGAGATGGGAGAGAAGGGATAGAATAAGCATGAGAAAAATCAATAGAAAACAATTTTGAACTTCCTTGACAGCCTTTGATAAACAACGAATTTGTGTTGTTTGTGTGATTCGATACACTTACACGTGGATGTTGGGGTTTCTGACGCCTGATTTTTGCAGATAGTATGCAGTCAGGTCGTCAGGAATCTGAAAGGAGTGGGAACGGGGAAAAGGAGGAAGCGGGAACAGGTCATTACTATCCTGAACGCGCACGTGAACGTTGGGATTTCTGGCGCCAATCTCTGCAAATAGTTTGCAGTCAGTCAGGTCGTTGGAAATCTGAAGGAATGGGAACGGGGAAAAGGAGAAAACGACTGGAACGGATCATAGCTCTCCCGAACGATTTAAACCGTTGGTAGGTTCTCCAGAAAATGAAGCTTTCTTTTTAGCCGCCTTAAAGCAATAAGGCATAAGAAGACACTTACAACGCATAAACACACTAACCAGCAGGTCGAAGTTCTCTAGATTCCTCAAGGAAAAAGGCATAAGAAGACGCTTACAACGCATCAATGCACTCACCAGAGGATCATAGTTCTCCAGGGAGCGTAAGAGGTCTGTTAGGTTCTCCGGAGGGTGTCCGTCCGACGCCATGCTCGTTAGTAGCTCGGTACGGACTTCTTCACGGGGATAATACTAGGTACAGCCAATCCGCTATCACTTATACTAGCCGTAAGGTGGGGAGGTACTGAAGACGAGGAGCCTAGGTCCACAGAGATTATTCCTTTTTTCGCTGCGCGTTTGGAGATTGTGATAATGATGATCGCGGTTCGATCTTCGAGCGGAGATAGGAAGAATTACGCGGCGTGAAACCAAACGCAATGAGAAAACTTTCCACAAACTGACGTTCGGACGTGTGTAAGAGCGAGGCGAAGCGCGCTGCGAAAGACCTGTTGAAACACGTGTGAGACCTCTACAGACAGGCCCTCGAGTATCGTCAAAACGCGGTCTCGGGCCTATGCAGTGTGTAGTAGCGAGGCGAAGCGCGCTGCTAGAGACCTGTTTAAAACGCTTCTGAAAACTCTAGACTGACCTTTGAAAATCGTCAAAACGCGGTTCCGGTCTGGTCTATGCAGCAGCAGAAGCACATGCTTTGATCATTCTGCTGCTCAACGCAACTGAAAGTTGTGTGCTGTGCAGCAAGCAAGGCAAGTTCATATCCATGGTGGAGGGTAGCACTCCCTTCCACCGAACCAAACCATCTTGAGATGCTTTGAATGCAACTGTGAATGCGGTTCATAGGGTTCTTAGTGTTACAGAAGGTTATTCGAGTGGATTAGAACGTCTGGATAGGGTCTTGAGATCCGTGAGAAGTGGTAACGAAAACGGAATTTTGCTCTGCTTGGTTGCGTTTGCTCGCATCCTCGTTTGAAGCGAGAGGGAGCCTCAGGGCGTGTCCAGCGCGTTCATTTCGGGATTTTTAGAGCCCACACACGTCTCAGGGCTCAAGACTGACCACTGTACCTCAAAACGAATGACAACTGAGCCGAGTCCACAGTTTCTGGAATTTCCAGCGCGCGGACACATTTCCACCCACACAAAGATCAACACTGCGAAAACAGCCTGGAAACCGAGGTAGCCGGCTCCCTCGTGAACAGTAGGGTTGGCTTTTTCGCACATGCGCAATGTGTGCTGCCAGCGCGCAGGTGGTTTCGGCGAGAGTCGCGCGGCACTGGCAAATTATTGCGAGCAATACAGGGGGGCACTTGCTGTAGCTTGTTGGACGCGATACTGTACCCGAGTTCGCGCGCACGCTGTATGCAGTACCGTGAGTCACACAACTCGAGGTACGTGAAGCTGGCGTGTCGTCTCATGTACAATTGTTGGTCATGTCCACCCTTTCAGTAAAATGCAGTGTTACAACTCCAAATGTGGTAACTGATAGGACTTATGAACGGTAAATGAACGCGCTGGACACCCCCTCAAACCTGGGATTGCAGAGGACGGGTTTAGGGCGTGTCCAGCTCGTTCATTTCGGGAAATCTTGTGTCCCTCACGATCCGGGGTTCAAAACTGAAAACTGTACCTATAAACGAACGCGACTTGCTCGAGTCCACCCTTTCTGTCATTCTGGCGCGCGGACACCATCCCCCCAAACAGACTTCAACAGTGCAGGGGCCGTGTGGCAACCAAGGTAACCAGTTCCCTCGTCAACCAAAGCGTAAGAATTTTCGCCAGGCCAACACTTCCACTATAGGTTTTGGCGAGTGTCAGGCGACACATGCGAAATCAAGCGCGCGATACGATGGGCACTCACTGTAGTGGGCAGGACGCGGTTCTGTACCATTGTTCGATGCGCACGCTGATTCCTTTAACGTGCGTCACACGATTCGAGGTAAGTACAGGGGGTGTGCCGTATCGTGAACGGGAGCTGATCGTGTCTGGCATTTTTGTAAAACTCAGTGTTACAACGCAATATGTGGTAACCGAAGGGCTTTAAGAACAGTAAATGAACGAGCTGGAAACCCCCTTAGGGTTCTGAAACACGTGAAAGCGTTCACAACCCTACCAAATTGAGCCTTCCTGAAACTCCCTACATAGAAGTTATTTGACAACGAGCAGTCGGGCTTACCGACACGAATCTCGCTTGCAAGAGAAGATAAATTAGCAGTGGGTCGTTCCAATCCTGAATGCAGCAGTGACGGCTGCTGCTTCCCAGTGCGTCAGCCGTTACAGAAGTGCCTAATCTTCACGTGCGTTTACAATTCGTCAATTCTCGCCTGAATCCATTATGGCGGCGGCTCGATGGAGACTTGACGGCCAGACGGCTCTTGTAACGGGCGCGACCAAAGGCATCGGGTAACCACACGACACGATGATATCTAGGCTCTCGTTTCATTCTTTCTGTCATCTTGACACCCTCGTGACGGAATCCGTCCATTTCGCACTCTCATGACGGAATCCGTCCGATCAATTCACTCCCTCGTGAAGAATTTCGCCCGCTTCACACCCTCGTGACGGAATCCGTCCCTTCCACTGGATCCTTTGGGTTTGATTCTGGCTTAAAAGCGTACCCTGTTCATTCTTGCCACCGTCCCATTCATCTCCTTCCCACCTTTCCCCCCTCTCCCTTCCCCCCTCCTTTCTCCACCCTCTCCCCCCCCCCCCCCCCCTTCCCCACATTCCGCCTCCCTTTCCCCCATCAGTCCCGTTATCTCACGGGGACTCGTATCTCTGGGCGCGCACGTGTTTGTGTGCCCACGTGGCAAGGCTGACTCTCGAGTCTGACCCAAACCCACACAATCCACCCTCCTTACCCTCCCGCTCCCCCTCCCATCCCCCTGTCCTCTCCCTCCCCCCCCTCCCATCCCCCTGTCCTCTCCCTCCCCCCCCTCCCATCCCCCTGTCCTCTCCCTCCCCCCCCCTCCCATCCCCCTGTCCTCTCCCTCCCCCCCCTCCCATCCCCCTGTCCTCTCCCTCCCCCCCCTCCCATCCCCCTGTCCTCTCCCTCCCCCCCCTCCCATCCCCCTGTCCTCTCCCTCCCCCCCCTCCCATCCCCCTGTCCTCTCCCTCCCCCCCCTCCTTCCGCGTGCCTCCCCTCTTCATCAGTCGTGCTATTGCAAACGAGCTAGCATCTTTAGGCGCGCACGTGTTTGTATGCTCACGTGGCGAGGCTGACGTGGCAGCTACAGTGGCGGAGCTACAGTCGCAGGGGTGGGCGGCGACGGGGTGGGCGTGCGATGTCAAGGAGCCGGAGCAGCGGGAGGTGCTTATAACGAAGGTGTCAGAGGCTTTTGGCGGGAAACTGAACCACCTGGTACGTAGGCCGGCGGTTGTTTGCGGGCGGTTTATCAGTCAGTGCACCTGATCAGTTGGCGGTGGGATATTTTCCCAAACCCCTGTATTAGGCGGAAGGTGGGACGGGGTGGTCGTGTGATGGCAGCTACAGTAGCGAAGCTACAGTGCAGCAAGGGGAGCGGCACCCTCTCGGGCAATGATTGGGGCTGGGAAGGCATCCGTGCGCCAGGTGGGGATGCCTATTGTCTCCCGACGCAGAATGCGCATTCGGGGCAGAGAGGGCTGCGCGGGAGCATCAGAGGCGTTGTTGATGCTGCTTCTGCTCCAACCCACCTCTCACCAAAAGGTGGCGTTTATGCCTTCCCTCTTCTCACCAACGTCAAAAGAGGAGATTACTTGTGAATGAGAGTTTACGGGATGAAGAGCTATGAGTATGCGGGCACATGTTCTTCTGTTGCAAGCTCAGAACTAGCAAGATCCTCCTCCTCTTCGATTGACTACTCTCTAGCTGACTTTCACCACGTGTGGTGCACCAACTTTGAATCCGCCTACCACCTTTTCCAACTCGCTCTTATTCCCATGACCATTCCCATCCTTCCCCCTTCCCTCCTCCTCCCTGTGCAGGTCAACAACGTGGGCACCAACAGTCAGAAGCCCACAGTCGACTATTCCCTTTCAGACTTCCACCACGTGTGGGGCACCAACTTTGAATCCGCCTACCACCCCTGCCAACCCTTACTATCCCCGTTCTCATTCCCTACTGCATCCTGGCATCCTTCCTAACACCCGCAGATCAACAACGTGGGCACTAACATTCGCAAGCCCACAGTGGAGTACTCCCTATCCGACTTCCACCACGTGTGGGGCACCAATTTTGAGTCCGCCTACCACCTCTGCCAACTCGCACACCCTCTGCTTAAAGCCGCTGCCAGCGCTGGTGCTACTGATGGTACAGCCAAGGGCAATGCGAGCATTGTGTTCAACTCGTCTGTTGCCGGGGTCGTTGCTATTCGGTCAGGCACTCTCTACGGCGCCACTAAGGGTGAGTCTCCCTTCCTAGTAATAGTGGTGTTGTTGCTGCTGCTGCTGATAGTGCCGGTGCTAGTTCTGATATCAGAGCAATGCGAGCATTGTGTTCAACTCGTCTGTAGCTGGGGTCGTTGCTATTCGCTCAGGCACTCTCTACGACGCCACCAAGGGTGAGTCAGCCACTCGACTGATAGCGGTAACTCTGCTTCTGGTGCTGCTGCTACTGGTAATTTTTTTAAGCCCCCTACCACCCCTGCCAACTCTCCCAACCTGACGTGTGAATGGGCCAACGATAGCATCCGATCTATGATTCTGGCCTCTGGCCTTACGCACCCCTACAGAAAATTGATTTTTGAGTCGACTCAAAAATCAACTCGGCCTTACGCACCCCTACTGAAAATGAGCCATGGATGCCATCAGAGTGAATGCAGCGGCCTCACGACCTCTTTTGACCCCCCCAACTCCCTCTCTTCCTGCCCTCACCATGTCTCACTTGCAGCCGCCATGAACCAAGGACGAAGAACATGGCGTGCGAGTGGGCCAAGGATGGCATTAGGACGCGTCTCCTCCCCCCGATCCTGCGATTGATCGTGCAAGATCGATCTTCCACTGCACTAAAATCCTGCTTGCTACATTTACCACTACCAAAACCGTTTCTAACCGTGGCAGAAATTGATCCTGCGCAGGATCGATCGCAGGATGGCATGGGGGGGAAGGGGATGCGTCGTTAGAGAGTAAACACAGTGACAACTGTGTCTCTTGAATACTTCTTGACCCGAACCATGCCCTCTCTTCCACCATGTCTCACTTGCAGCCGCTATGAACCAGCTCACCAAGAACCTGGCGTGTGAATGGGCCAAGGATGGCATCCGGGTGAATGCAGTGGCGCCGTGGTACATGGCAACAGACCTCGCCAACCAGGTGACTACATTCCCCCATTCCTTTCTCCCATCCTGTGTGGTACCCTTCATTATAAGCAACCTCTCTTGACTCCCCACGCATTCTGTCACACTTTGCTGTCGAATGGGCACAAAAGAACCTTGCATGTGAATTGGTCAAGCAAGGAGGGCATCCGAGTGAATGCAGTGGCGCCATGGTACATGGCAACAGACCTCGCCAACCAGGTAATGAGGGTAACCAGGTAACCACATATAAGTGCCACCCATTCAATCGCACCTCTAGCTGCTGAGTGGGTCAAGCAAGGATGGCATCCGGGTGAATGCAGTGGCGCCCTGGTACATGGCAACAGACCAAGCATTTTCTGCCGATGTCTGACGCCGATGGCAAGGGTGGGAGTCACTTTTGAGAATTCTCAAAAGTGTTCAAGGGTGAACGCTTTTATGCTGATGTCTGACGTGTAATGAGTCGAGTTTTGAGTTGACTCAAAACTCGACTCACTTTTGAGAACTCTCAAAAGTCTTCAAGGATGAACGCTTTTCTGCTGATGTGTGACGTCGATGAGGAGGTTGGGAGAGCCTCTGGAGGCAGCAGCTGCTGTGGCGTTCGTGTGCCTGCCTGCCCCTCCCCCTTCCACTAGGCCAACCAGTTCCCCCCTGTTATCTTTCCCCCAGTCCCAGTTCCTCCTTCCCCACCCCTCCCTATTGCATCGGCCAATGAGAATCCACACTTGACGAATATTGTTTGCTTTTTTTCCCGAACCACTCTTCCCCAGGTGCTCAAGGACCAGGCGTTCTCTGCTGACGTCATCAGTCGAACACCCATGCGCAGGGTGGGGGAGCCTCAGGGGGCAACCAAGCCCCAACCCATGCCTTTGTTTTCTTTCAATTCATTTGCTTCCCCAGGTGCTCAAGGATGAGGCGTTCTCTGCTGACTTCATCAGTCGGACGCCCATGAGGAGGGTGGGGGAGCCTTGGGAGGCAGCAGCAGCTGTGGTGTTCATGTGCATGCCTGCTGCTTCCTATGTGTCTCGGGGATGAATCGGTTCACCAGTTGACTCTCAATATCGGTTTGAAACAACGATTGGTCCTCTCCTCTCATCATCATCCCCACCCACCGGTGCTCAAGGACGAGGCGTTCTCTGCTGACGTCATCAGTCAAACGCCGATGCGGAGGGTGGGGGAGCCGCAGGAGGCAATGGCAAATACAGGACCACTCTTTCTTGCATACCACATCATGCCCCATTACTACTCGTGCTCCAATCGTTATTCCCAGGTGCTCAAGGATGAGGCGTTTTCTGCTGATGACGTCAGCCGAACACCCATGCGGAGGGTGGGGGAGCCTTGGGAGGCAGCAGCAGCTGTGGCGTTCATGTGCATGCCTGCTGCTTCATACGTGTCTCAAGGATGTGTCTCAAGTTGACTCACCATTAGCATTTAAACCTCTCAACATGGTCCCCTTCCCACTCAGGTGCTCAAGGACGAAGCGTTCTCTGTTGACGTCATCAGTCGAACACCCATGAGGAGAGTGGGTGAGCCTCAGGAAGCAGCAGCAGCTGTGGCGTTCATGTGCCTGCCGGCTGCTTCCTATGTGTCGGGGCAAGTGCTGGCTGTGGATGGTGCTTTCACAGTTAATGGATTCTATCCTCGGACTGATGATGCATAGGCTGCAAGGCTGCTAATAAGAGTGACGAAAATCAGATCAGGAATAGGTGAAACCATGTGGCGTGGTTGTGGTGGTGGTGGTGTCTCAAGAGGGAGCCGCAGGAGGCAGCAGTAGCTGTGGCGTTCATGTGCATGCCCGCTGCTTCCTATGTGTCGGGGCAAGTGCTGGCTGTTTATGGTGCTTTCACTGTCAATGGGTTTTACCCTCGAACTGATGAGATGATGCATAGCTGGGTTCAGCCTACAACCATGCTTACAAAAAACTAGACACGAAAACAAAAGATGGACAGGGATTGGTGGAACTGTGTGTTGAGGTGATGCCTAGAAAACGGAGCCTCAGGAGGAGGCAGCAGCAGCTGTGGCATTAGTGTGCCTGCCGGCTGCTTCCTTAGGTCGGTCGGGTTAACTGGTGGCGGTTCACGGTGCTTTCACCGTGAATGGGTTTTACCCTCAGACTCAGTCCAATTATGCATAGTTGTATGTTGATGGAGAAAAGGATACCAGGTTAGGTGGCCATGCACACTTCAAGCATGTTCTCAGAAAAGGGATGGTCACAACCATGTGCTACATCCCCACACTAAAATGGATTCTGTTGTAAGCTGGTTAGTGTAGATATGTTTTTTTAAATTCCGCCATTACTGACTCTCGCTTTATCGAAGACGTGGTACACTCGGAACCGTACCCAGCCGTTGATATTAAGAAGCAAGCCTGTTTGGAGCGCAACAAGTCTCACATCATGGGTTAGGGATTGACGGGAGAGACCTTCAACCAAGTTGCGAAGGAAATTCGGACTGCAGGGGGACATGAGCCATGGCGGTCATTCACAATCCCAATTAGACAGCGACAAGCTCCATGCATTGAAGAGCACGCAACGCACCAGTCAATCCAACTAAGCTCCATGCATTGAAGAGCACGCAACGCACCAGTCAATCTAACTAGCTTTAGCTGACTACGAGCAGTCAACGATTAGACTCTCCTCTCGAAAACCTCGCCGTCACCGTCGCTGTCACCTATCGATGCTAGTCGACTGAAAGGGATAACAAGAAGTTGTCTATCTGAGGCCTCTTTGGGATGATGAATCGTGGAGACGAGCGTTGGAGTCTCAAGCATCGCTGCTTTCGAGACTTGCTAGAGAAAAAAAAGATGCTTACGCCCTGTCCGCGTCATGCGTCACATCGTCGCAATTTCTGTGCCAGCTTACCCACGTCCCACCTCTTGTTCCTCCATCCTCGTGTCCAACGCTCTGATTGACGGCGTTTAACTGTCAGGTTTTGCAGCTGATTTTGAGTCGGCTCAAAAGCTTACCCACGCCTCGCCTCTTCTTCCTCCATCCGCGTGTCCAACGCTCCCTGATTGACGACGGGGACTGTCAGGTTTCGCAGCTCTCAAATCGTCGATGGATCTTCCTCTTATTTGCACATAGAAGAGAATTTGCCTGAGACGATTGAAGCCTTTCGTCTGAGACAAGAAACTGGCAAAACTGCAGAGTAACTGCGTGGTGCGTTAGGCAACTCGGCCTTGGTCTTGCCTTTCTCACTCCTGTCACTCTTGGCGTGATCGAAAGGAGGCACGAAATCTGGTGGGGGGACTTACATGTATCAGATTAACTGACGTTACCGAGTTACCGGGTGTGCTCTAGCCACGGGTTCTTACGTGAGCTCTAGTTACTGAGCAACTGATTCCCTACTGCTGCAGTCCTCAGATTTCATTGTTAAAGTTCTTGGTTGCACTTGGCTTGGATTGTACTACAATGCCAATGTGCGTCCACGGAGACCAAGGAACGGCGGTGCACAATGACAAGGCAAAAACCAAGATAATCAACAGCTGTTGACGAGCCTGAGTGCGCTGTTTCTGCTTAACGAATCCGCTGTGCAGCTGCGTCATCAACTTCCAGCATAGATCCGTGCATGCATCGATCCTTCAGTTTCTCAGAATTTCACTACTTTTCTCCATTACGGTCGCAACTCATCAAGATTGTCAGCCTTTCTCACTTTAAAATAAGCTTCCATTTGTCTCAGCTGCCAGCAATGTCTATCCGTCGGCATCTCTCCTCCCTCAGCAACAGCCCCTTCCCTGCCTCTCCTCCCCCTCCCTTCTCCGTTCCCATACTCGTCTTTGCCCCGGAGATCACATCACCACTGCCATCCTCCTCCTTTCCTAATACCACCACTTCTTTTGAATCAGATTTGTTTGATTCTGCAACTCTTCTCCGAGCTCTGACCATATCGGCCCTTTTGGTTGTGATTGGTGGCCTCATCGGCCTGATTATTTTCCGGCTTGCTGTGGTTTGGATCGTGTGGACGAGAACGCGCCATGTGTCGCCCTGGCGCCTCCTCGTCACACTGCCATTCCTCCACCCGTTTGGTCTGGACTCTGATCATTCAGCCTCGGCCGGACGGGCTACTTCCACTCAATCTTCGGGAGCAGCAGATACAAATGCAACAGTTGATGTGGAGACTGCTTCTACAAATGAGGTATGCAGGCTTGTGTTAGTTGACACAAATCATGATTCGACACTCTCAAGTTTGAGGTACGCAAATTTTTTTTTGAGTCTCTGTGACGGATGCAGCAGTTGATGTCGAGACTGGCTCCGTAAAGGAGGCCTAAACTCTGCGCACTGTTGCTTTCAATGTATGCCTGCACACTCGACAGTCCTTGAGAACATCGTAGCTGACACCTGGAATCTGGTAACCACCTTGCTTGATCCACTTTTTTTATCCTTTCTTTACTCCCATGGCTTACTGTTGCAGGGGCAAGAAGCGTCAGCCAGGTCAGGGAAGCTGGTGAAAAAGGGAGCAAGCACCCAACAGCTAGCGCAGCTTGTTACGAACCCCATTGCAGCAGAGCAAGAAGAGAAACAAGAGTAAGTGTGTATGTGCCCACCCCTTGATATTTCGGCCCACAATCTCAAACCACCATTTCATCTACATCTGCTATCATAGGGCCTGCCCCCTGCCTCCCGTTTCCTGTCCATCTTTCCCTCAGCATAAATATGCTCCTCCCTTTTCCTTACCACCTTCCCTGCTGCTCCCTCTGGTGTGTATGTACTCTCACCTGTGCACCAGGTGTATTGTCTGCCTTTCTGAAATGGTCGTTGAGGAATCTGCAGTCACTCTCCCATGTTGCAACAAAATCCCATTTCACCAGCAATGCATCACAGCATGGCTAGCAACAGCTGGGGCGTGTCCCCTTTGCAGGAGCTCTCCGTTTCAATGAATCTATTACCCTCATGACCTGTGTGTGTACAGTGAATGATTGGTCAAACAGTCATGCTTATTCTCCATTTTCATTGCAGCCTTCATTGCTGTGGCAATATCACACGCCACCCCCTTTCTCTGCCTCAAATTCTGTCCAATCATAGGGGGTGGGTCCCAATCAGGGCCCAAAATATCAGGGTAAAACGCCCTGATTACCCTGGGGGCCTGTCCCTTTTTCTGGATTACCCTGCTGAAATCAGGAATGCTGGTTAGTTACCCTTCTCTAAAAAGTGCATGTTTTGTTCCACCCTGATAGGATTTTGTGTTGGCCTGACGGAATCAGGGTAGGGTGTATGCTACCCTATTACCGAATCTTACGTAACGCGAATCAGACCACACTCCGCCCGGCGCCAAAATGAACCACACCCCCACAAACACCGGTTGTCCCTTGTGAGCACGCGTTAAAAACCTTGCCACGCTGTCGGCAACGCGCCATGTTGTAACATTTGTTGTTTCTCTCCGCAGGACTGCCAACTCATTCTCGAATCTTGCCATCCGTCGCCACGCCCACCGCCAACACAGCCGAATTTGCTGTCAAAGACAGCTTCAAGCTGTCCTTAACATCAAATTGCAGGAGCTGTCCTGCCTTGCTGGCCTTACACTCCCCGCCGCATGCATGAAACGGCCCTAGAGAGTTAGCCAGAGGCCCGTTCTCTACGAGGGGGTCCGTCGCTTGGCCCTCATTCTCAACCATTCTCAACTTTCAGCTCCACAATGCCCACAGGAGAGCCCGAGCCACCTGATGGCGCGAGAAACGGACTCTCTGTGCTGGGCGTTTTACCACGCCTTAGCGAGAATTACGCCGTGCCCATCGCTCAGCCGCCGCCTCGTGAGCCGTCACCAGAGTATGTGGTAGGGACTGTTTATCCGTTCGAGCCGCCAGACTCACCCACGGCGTGGGAGCCACATCCTGACATAGAATTAGTTCCCGGAGGTGGCGTGGGCTCGTCAAAGACGCCTACGGCTTCGCCATCGACGATCAGCACCGCGCCCGTCAAGCGACCGCGGGTGGGAGCTACGTACAAGCAGCAGACGCTCTGGGGCGCCCCTCCTCCCCGAAACGCTACTTCCCACAAGCGCCCTGCTCCTTCGGCCGATCCGAAGCCACCCACCGCTCTGGCAGATGCTGAGTATGAATCGGTTAAGAAGACCTTTGAGGGTCAGTGGGCAGGTAGCTTCAAGTGGTTACGTTTGCTCCGCATGTCTAACGGTCGTCCGTCTTTGAAGTGTGCGATTTGTGTGAAGCATGGAGATCCACTAGCGCACACCGCGTACGGTGCGAAGGGTGAGGGTGCTCGGGACCTCCAGATTGGCAGCATCCGCACTCACACCTCCTCCCGTGCACACAGGCAGGCGTTGGAGAATCAAGAGAAGGCGGAGGCGGAGAAGGCGAAGCAGGTCACTATCACACGATGGCAGGGCACGGACGCTTCCACTCGTCACATCATTCGGCTCCTCCACATCGCGCACTTTGTCTGTAAGGCCGACGCACCCATAGCGATGTTCGTCCTGCTGTGTTGGTTTCTGGCGAAGGAGGGGTTACCAGACCTGCCGCCCACTGGCGGCTACGGCGCGTACTACACTGAGTAAGCAGTTGGCCTGAATTGTACACTGCTGTGTTCTTTTTAAACCACACGGATATTTGACGACGCTTTTTGTCCCCTTGCAGTTACGGCTTCAAAGAGAACCCGCGCGCCCTCTCAACGTACCTCCAAGAGACACAGCGCGAGCACCTGCTCGAATCCCCGTGGATTGGGATTCAGCTCGATGAAAGCACTGATCGTGTGAATGGGAAACACCTCATTCTATACGCCATGTTCTTCCAGCGTACCACGGTGGTCACAGAGTTCCTCACACTCATTACTGTTGACCGTTGTGACACTGCCTCACTCACATCCGCTGTCGTGCAGTATCTGACAGGTATTGGGGTCGACCTCCAGAAGATATCAAGCGTCGCCTCCGATGGTGCCAGCGTCATGGTCGGCAAGAACCGAGGATTCGTGAGACGGCTTCGCATGCGCATTCCGCATCTGGCCTCAACACATTGTATCGCTCATCGGTAAGCATCACCGATGTGTGCTCCGTGCTGGTGTTCTACCATGTTTAGATTTTGACTAACTGGCCGTCGTGTTGCCATTATGTACAGGGAGGCACTCGCAGCCAGTGATGCTGCTGAAGAGGTACCTGACCTGCTGATGATCGTCGATGTCGTGCGCGCCTTCGCTGACCACATCGGCTGCAGCAGCGTGGACTACGCGAAGTTTCAGGAGATGCAGCGGATCTTCTGCCAGACGAATCTCGAGGCGCAGGGGATTAGCGACACACGATGGCTCGCCCGTGGTGAGGCGATACAGCGCCTGCTCGACGTAATCCCCGCGGCCATCGTGGTGATGAAGGATTACAAGGCGGCTATGAACGAGGTGGTTACCTCGTTCAAGTTCCATTGGCTCATCCGCTTTCTTGCGGATGTGCTTTGGGAACTGAACTGCCTTAACCAGCGCTTCCAACAGAGGCAGGTAAGGGCCTTTGTTGCTGTCGTCTATGTTGTCGCATGCAAGCAAGTGTACTAACTAACTTGCTGGGATGCCCTTGTGCAGGTGGACATTACCCTTGTTGCGCACATCGTGCAGCAGACAAGGCTGCGTCTGAAGACGCGGTATTCCCTCTGCGACCCTGCACACCAATTCGGCAGCGGCGAGAAAATGCAGCTTCCCGAGTTCATTAAGACGCACGGGGCAAAGGATAAGCGCGAGATGAAGGCGGAGGGCGTAGACTGGGATGGGAATCCCGTCACGTTTGAGTTCACGCTGCACGAGCGCCCGCTGCCTGACCATGAAACGGATAGCGATGTCACGGCGTGCGTCGAGCTGTTGATTAAGTATGTGCGCGCCATCGACAAGGAGCTTGAGTGGCATATGCGCGACCTGGAGCTGCTGGAAGGTTCGAAGCTGTTTCGTACAGCTTCGTACGTGACCGACGACACGAAGCGAGTGGAAACATTCAAGAAGTGGCTCGGCCAGCTGCACAAATTGTACCACCACAAGCTGCCGGGTATACCTTTTGCAGCGATTGCACATGTTATGATGGGTGTTGCTCGCAACGATGTCAGACATGAGGTGTAACGAATGCACATACTGCGTACTGTTGCTTGTTGGACTAATGCCCCCCATCCCTACCCGTGTCTGCGAGCATCGGCCAAGCTTTCACCCCAACCCCGCCCCACCACAGGGTTCGACTACAAGAGAGCACAGCAGGAGCTGTGAATGTTTACATCCACAATGTTCGCCCAACACAACAACGAAGAATTCCACCAGGCGCTAACGAACATGCTGCGGGATGATGCATGGTGGGTCTCCTTTCCCAACATCATGCGGCTGTGGCAGTCAGTGGCCGTGCTGCCATTGAGCACGGTTGAATGCGAGCGTGGCTTCTCGAAGCAGAATTTGATCAAGACTTGGGGACGTGGCAGCCTAGGCGACACAAGCCTGGAGCACCTCATGCGTTGCTCCCTGCTGCGGTACGATGTCGACTGGTTTGAGGTGGTCGCTACCGTATCACCCCGGATATAAGCGCCATGGCGCTTATAATAAAATCGATTTTTTTTTAGGGTGGCGCTTGTAATTGAATAATGGCCATAAGCGCCGGCGCTTATATAATGGTAAAAATAAATTTGCATAATTTAGGCATCAAATCGAAGCCCGTATTAAGGCGAACAAGACTGTGTAACGTGCGCATGGCATCATGCATGGAAACACGCCGAAAATAGACGCGCTTCGGTTTCCAACCGCACAAAGCCCGTCCAGGAGCAGCTCACCTGCCAGCGCTGATGCGAAACTTGCCTAGCGGCCCAATCAGGCTTTCGTGTGCTGGGTGGCAGCAGAATCCTCACCCGAACCATCTAGAAGCGGCCATCATGCCCTGCCAGCGCAGCATCGTGCGTGGCGCTAAACCCTCCTCTCCGGGTTCAGACAGGGGACACCCGTCTCTCCTCGACGAGGACCCCGTGGCGCTAGCCAGAAGGGGTCCCTTTGAATCCTTCATTTGTTCATTGCTTCTTTCAGTTTTTCGTTCTTGGTTCTTGATGTCTCCCGCCATGCTGCGGAAGCTATGGCGGAATTCACCGGGGTTCACTTCTTGTTCAAGAAGAAGCCTCCACGGAGGCCCGCGTTTAGAGTAGACGAAGACGGGTGGTACTCCCGCGTCCCACCATCTCCACCTAAGCCACCACAGCCTCCTGCGCCTCCTGCGCCTCCTGCGCCTCCTCCTCCTCCTTCGCCTCCTGCACCTCCTGAGCCTCCTGTTCCTCCGACTCCTCCGTGCTTGCATAGTGTTGCGCCTCCGCTACACGCTGGATCAACGCCCGTGCTGACGCTGCTGCTCCCATCGTCGTTTGACGAGTACCTCTCCGAACCCGAGTCTAAGAAGCCGCAAGATGAGTGGGTGGAAGTGGAGCACGTTCCTGGTTCACGGTGGGGACAGCCTGACGACTGCCCGTGGGACGAATCGCAAGTCGGCGCCGACGATGATGTTGAAGCCGAAGCTGACGCTGACGAAGAGGAAGCGAGCGGCACTGTCGGCGGTGAGTATGGCACGGAAGCGAGCGGCGGGGGCGGCGCCGAGGGCGGCTCCGCTGAAGATGTTTTTCCCGAAGGCGTTCCCGGCGACGATGCCGATGACGGCGTGGAGTACTGGTCACGCGACGAGCTTCCCGAGACCCTGCCGATACCTTCCTATCCCCCGATGAATCGCAAGCGACCCCACCCCTCTTCCCTGAACCGTGATGCCCGCCCCCCCTCTCCCAGGCACAAGCTCACTGAGCACAAGAGGCAAGGTTACACCGCCGCGGAGAAGTTGAAGTGGGTTGCCAGGCTTGCTGTGGCAACGTCGGTGCGCGCTTTGGCTCGCGAGAGCGGAATCCACCCCAAGTGCCTCACGAACTGGAAGCGGGCGGCGGAGTTCCTCAAAGACGTGCACTCCGCTCGGAAACGCATGCACGGCCGCGGTCGGGCGTCGTGGTATCGGCCTATGGAGTTGAAAGTGTACGAGAAGCTTCTCGAGTGGCGCCGCAAGGGAACCGCCGTATCAGTCGGCCGCCTGCAGGAGTGGTCGCGGGAATACATGAAGCTGCTGTACCCGGACAAGCCCTGGAAAGGGAGCCAGAGGTGGTCGGAGCGCTTTCGGCGACGATGGAACCTGAGTGTCCGCATGAAGACCCGGGTTGCCCAGAAAACCCAGTCGCGTAAGAGTTACCCCATGTACTTTGCCGTGTTAATGTTTACTTGTTTTACCGGTACTAACACCCGCCATCTGTGACCGTCCTGCCTTCCACCTCCCTTCAGATGTCGCGGAGCAGTGCAGAAGCTTCTGGAAGTTCGTGCGTGGCATGCGTCGTGAGCGCGGCATCGACACCGCGTGGATCATCAACGCGGACCAGACGCCGCTCTGGCTGGAGATGCCCGCCACCACCACCGTGGATGAATCGGGTGTTCGCTCGGTGCCTATCAGGAGCGCGGGGTATCAGAAGCAGCGTGTGACGGTGATGTTGGCGTGTACGGCGGACGGACGGAAGCTGAAGCCGTGGGTGTACTTCAAGCGCAAGACCGTGCGAAAGGGCAATTTCCCACCCGGTACGTCAATTGGTGCACTGCTCGTTAACTGCGGTTTGTTCAGACTGCGAATTCTAACTGCTTCTCTTGTTTCCTGCAGATGTGGTCGTGGCTGCACACGAGAACGGGTGGATGGACTCCGCGGGTGTCGTCCGCTGGCTTGAGGAGGGCGTCAAGCCCTTCTTGAAGCCCAGGTTCGGTAGATGCGCCAAGAGCTCGATGCTGGTGCTCGACTCTTACCGCGGTCACCTCACCCAGGAAGTGAAGGACAAGCTTCGCGAGATGAACTGCGTGCCGGCAATCATCCCGTCGGGCTGTACGGCGGAGGTTCAGCCCCTGGATGTCTCCATCAACAAGAGCTTCAAAGCGTCGGTCCGCCAGCAGTACCAGCAGTGGTTTGAGGCAGAAGGGCAAGAGCAGCTGACGACAGCAGGTATGGAATGAGCGCGTTGTTGTGTTTCAACCCCCCTTCCTTTTGCTTACCGTATGTATTGTTGGATTAACGGGATTCCATCGTTCTCCCGTTATTTTCAGGGAACTTGAAGAAGCCTCCTCCGGAGGTCGTCCTGAGGTGGATATCTCAGGCCTGGAAGTCAGTGCCTGCCGAGCTGATAAAGCGTGCCTTCCTCACCTGTGGCATCAGCAACGCGCTCGACGGCAGTGAGGACGGCCTCGCCATGGCGGACAGGCGGAGCCAGCTGACGGCGGAAGTGGACGTCGACGATGACATCATCGCTGATGGGTTTTTTGGCAACAACTGCCAGGAGCCCGAATCTGACGAAGACTAGACTAGTTAGCTAGAATTAGTGTTGCTAGACCTGCTGTTTCAGGTCTCTGATGTTGTAGCTGCTGTCATGATATTGTTATGAATGTGATTTCAATGTAAAACCAGCTAAGTAGTCGAATGGTGGCGCTTATAATAAGTATTCAAATCTCAGGGGGGGCGCTTCTAATCGAGGTCCGGCCATAAGCGCCATGCTCCAGATAGAGGCGCCAGCGCCTATAATCGGACGGCGCCTATATCCGGGGCGATACGGTATCTTTCGTGGAGAGAAGCTGAGGCGATCCACCAGGGAGTTCAACCCCACCAGAGCTTCGCAGACTCTGTTTGTAGAAACTGTAGGCAGTGGGGGTGGCACTGAATAGGTGTGTAGTGCATGTGTGGGTTATGTTGAGTTGTTGGACTGTGGATGTGCTACATTATTATGCGTTCAAAAAACACTTAGCTCTCAAAATGGTAATCAAAACAGGATTAGCTGGAAAGTACCCTGCTCAAATCAGGCTAGTGGTTGAGTTACCCTGCTGCAACTAGGGTACGGAAAATTTTACCCTAGGGGTCTGTTTAAGGAGGGGGTGTTACCCTGATTTGTAAGGGTAGGCCAAAACCAATTTTGGGCCCTGGTCCCAATTGTAACTCTTTCAACCATTTCTTTGACCAAGTACCGTACCATGTCTCATCTCAACCGTTGGTCATCGTTCCTGCCATGTATACCCATCTTCAGTAGGTGGGCAACCACTCCAGGCCCTTGCTCGAAGTCAGTAATCAGAGAAGGAGCAGGCTCACTATTTTGGGTACAATAAATGCATGGAAATCCTCCCATAAATGATCCACTATACACCAGCAAAGTCATCAACCATAGTTCAACCGGAAAATGTCGTTGAGGACGTAGAAGCTTCCAGCAGGTGTAGGCATCAAGTGAAACATCTGTACAATACAAACACGCCGAGGATTAAGGAACTCCTTCGTATATGAATGTCGGAACGAGCAGACGACCAATGGAGCCTAGATGACACTTAATACAGGATGTGCTTAGACTAGAGTTTCAAACGAATAAATTGCGGGAAACATGCAGATCAGAGGAAAAGACGGTAAATCCCAACCTACCTGGCTAAATTTGAGCGGATGCTCCTGATCTGCCAGTTTCAAGCTCCCACTGACAAACACGACCATTCCGCCTCCGGGACCCGACGGCTGGCAATCGACCGTACTGACGATGTGTGTGCAGGACTGGAAAGGCAGGCTCGAGATCTTGTTCTGGATGTTTTGCACTCCCTGGAACTTCTCACCCTCGAACGTCAGCATCGACTGATCCTGGTATAGCGTGTACAGGTTAGTGCGAGCCGTGTCGAAGGTGGTGTAATAGTGCTGCACGAACGCCTTGGCCAAGGCATCTGGATCCATGGCGACTGACTGATGCAGCTGAACCGGAGACGCCGCAACGACAGGAAATGAAGAAATCTAGGAACTACGTCAGTCTTGACAAGTCTCCAAGTTCGTGCAGCACAAGGTTCAACTGGAGCAAGAGATGGAGGTGGAGGGGTCACTTGCAAACGACGAAAACCCTGAAGTTTGTACGCTTTAGTAAACACAACCGCTGTAGATTTCTCGGCGTAAAACTGTACCGAGTGATAGTACTGAAGTTGGATAAGTGATAAAAGTTGTGATGGAAGATATATTTCTAGATTTTTCTTTCAGGTTCTCGTTTTTGATCGGTTCGGATGCTGACTTTTTAGCATGGATCACACGGTTTTGTTCGGTGTAGTGCATTCCGAAGCGTTACTTGATGTACTGAGGGCGGGTCCAGCGCGTACGTTTACAGGTACTATACAGTCGGGTTTTAGGGGGTGTCCAGCTCGTTCATATACTGTTCGTAAAGCCCTTCAGTTACCACAATTTGAGTTGTAACACTGAGTTTTACAAAAATGCCAGACACGATCAGCTCCCGTTCACGATACGGCACACCCCCTGCACGTACCTCGAATCGTGTGACGCACGTTACAGGAATCAGCGTGCGCATCGAACAATGGTACAGAGCCGCGTCCTTCCCACTACAGTGAGTGCCCATCGTATCGCGAGCTTGATTTCGCATGTGCCGCCTGACACTCGCCAAAACCTATAGTGGAAGTGTTGGCCTGGCGAAAATTCTAACGCTTTGGTTGACGAGGGAACTGTTTACCTTGGTTGCCACACGGCCCCTGCACTGTTGAAGTCTGTGTGGGGGGATGGTGTCCGCGCGCCAGAATGACAGAAAGGGTGGACTCGAGCAAGGCACTCTCGTTTATAGGTACAGTGTTCAGTTTTGAAGCCCGGATCGTGAGGAGGTACTAGATTTCCCGAAATGAACGAGCTGGACACGCCCTTAGTCGCACACTCACCCCCGTTGAAAGGGAACATGTTTTTTTACAAATTCACATAGTCGGGTTCAGACCGGTGAGCAGCATTTCAAAACGGTGAATCTCGTAAACCATTTCAAACTGCCCAGCATCAGTACTACTGACTGAACAATCCTCAACACCCAAGCACACAATCCATAGCTAATCCAGCCGACTCGAATGTAATCTGCGACCATCACCGCCAAGCATCTGAGCCAGATCCCGAGTCTACTGTGTCCATTACGTACGCTGCGCATTAGCGGTGCAATATCGACAAAATTTTGATTTCGTGGAATTCCGACATGGCCGCCGATCACGGCGACAGCAGCAATCTAACAGGACCGGATAAATCTGCCGAACCGTCGGAGGAGAATCACAGTGGCACGGAGTCAGCCGGAGAAATGTGGAGTGAGCAGCAATCGAACGGACAAGGGGAGAGAAATCCTTCAGGCAATGAACCTGCTGGAAACAACAGCGAAGCTTTGGCTTCTAAAGCAGGAACGAAGCCTGAGGAATCAGCAAAGGAGACTGCAGACAAAGAGAAGGCAGAGGGGGGAGAGAAGGAAGGGAGAGGCGAAAAAGAAGGGGGAGGAGGGGAAGAAGAGGCGGATCACCCACACCCCGACAAGGAGGCGGAGGAGGAAGAGGAAGATGAGACCGACCCAAAGAATCCGCGAGGTCGCCTACTGATGGCGAAGCATGCAAAGTACATAAAAAACCTGGACAAAGTACGTTATTCAGTGAATCTGGACAAGTTGCGTGATTCAGGGAATTAGGACAAAGTACATGCTCTAGGGACCAGTTGACGGTACGTGTTTTAAAGCCAGGGTCTCGAGTGCTCTGGAAATCATTTTGCTCCTCTGACTGACCTCAATTGATTCTTCCACTTACAGACTCGAACTGTTATGAGTGCAAGTGTGCCGCAGCAGCAAACATGTTTCTTCGTCAGTTCGTGTTTTCGTTTTCTATGTATATTTCCATCTTGTTACTGTAGAAAACAGAGGGAATCGAGTACGTGGCGACGGAGCATCTGAGGATGAGCGGAGCCTACTGGGGGTTGACAGCGATGGACCTCATGGGGAGGCTGAAGGACATGCACAGCCCTGCCATGCTGCCGTGGCTGCTCTCCTGCCAGCAACCCAATGGTGTGTGCGGGGGGGGGGGGATGAGCGGGGAGCCTCTGGGGAGGCTTCCAGAAATGCACAGCCCTGCCATGCTGCCGTGGCTGCTCTCCTGTCAGCAACCAGACGGTGCGTGCTGCCTTCGTGTGTGTGTAGTGCGTGTGTGTGGGGGAGGGGGGCAGGAAAAGGGGGATGAGCGGAGCCTACTGGGGGTTGACAGCGATGGACCTTATGGGGAGGCTGAAGGACATGCACAGCCCTACCATGCTGCCCTGGCTGCTCTCCTGCCAGCAACCAGACGGTGTGTGTGTGTGTGTCTCTCTCTCTCTCTGTGTTTGAGTGCATTCCTGTGAGGGTGTGCATGTATGCGTATGCGTGGTGTGAACATGCACAGTCCCGCCGTCTGGGGCCATCTGACTTTTGAGTCGACTCAAAAGTCATTCCTGTGAGGGTGTGCATGTATGCGTATGCGTGGTGTGAACATGCACAGTCCCGCCGTCTGGTGCCATCTGTCCAGATCCTTATTTTGTCCTTGTCTCCTCATTCTTTTTTTTCTCAGGTGGTTTCGGTGGCAGCAACGGGCATGATTCTCACCTGCTCTACACGCTCAGTGCCGTCCAGATCTTCATTCCATTCGCCTTGTCCTCCTCGTTCTACCTCTGGTGTCTACTCCTTTCCCATCAGGTGGTTTCGGTGGCAGCCAAGGGCATGATTCTCACCTGCTCTACACGCTCAGTGCCGTCCAGATCCTCGCACTACTGGACAAACTGGATGCTGTAGACGCCGACCGTGTCGCCACCTGTCAGTCTCCCATTCGTCAATCCATGCCTGCTTCACTGTGCTGTCTCGGTTTCTGTTTTCCGAGTTTGTTTCGAATCTGAAGCCTTCTCGGATTCAGCTCGTCTCCTTGGCATATGTAGCAGGGCTACAGCAGCCGGATGGGTCATTCATTGACTTGACTTGTCGTCTCTGAAGCCTTCTCGGATTTGGCTCGTACTTGACTTGACTTGTCGTCTCCTTGGCAGATGTAGCAGGGCTACAGCAGCTGGATGGGTCATTCATTGGAGATGAATGGGGGGAGGTAGACACTCGGTGAGTGGCGAACGCAGTGGGTGGGGGGCACAATCGGTGAGGAGCGCAATGGTTGGGGAGCACATTGGATGGCAAGCAGTGCATAACAAACAGGCACGCATATGTGGCAGGGCTACAGCAGGCAGATGGGTCGTTCATCGGAGATGAATGGGGGCAGGTGGACACACGGTGAGTGGGTGGGCGGCAAAAACAGTGGGCGCCCGCTCTCCCCCCCCGCCCACTTCCCCCCTCCTCCCTCCCCCCATCCCCCTCCCCTCTTTCCACTTTCTCCACTTTTGCCAAGCTTTTTCTCACTGTGCTGCCTCTTCCTTGAGCTCCTCAAACACTCACATCGCATCCCATCAACCAAACCAATCCACTTCCCTGTGGCTGTCTGATTCAACTTTTGAGGCGCCTCAAAAGTTTTCTCACTGTGCTGCCTCTTCCTTGAGCTCCTCAAACACTCACATCGCATCCCATCAACCAAACCAATCCACTTCCCTGTGGCTGTCTGATTCAACTTTTGAGGCGCCTCAAAAGTTTTCTCACTGTGCTGCCTCTTCCTTGAGCTCCTCAAACACTCACATCGCATCCCATCAACCAAACCAATCCACTTCCCTGTGGCTGTCTGATTCAACTTTTGAGGCGCCTCAAAAGTTTTCTCACTGTGCTGTATCTTCCTTAAGCTCCTCAAACACTCACATCGCATCCCATCAACCAAACCAATCCACTTCTCTGTAGCTGTCTGATTCAACTTTTGAGGCGCCTCAAAAGTTTTCTCACTGTGCTGCCTCTTCCTTGAGCTCCTCAAACACTCACATCGCATCCCATCAACCAAACCAATCCACTTCCCTGTGGCTGTCTGATTCATCGTTCCTCATGGCTGACTGCTCTGCGACATCTCAAAACACTGCTTCATACACGTCACTCACATCGCATCCCATCAACCAAACCAATCCACTTCCCTGTGGCTGTCTGATTCATCGTTCCTCATGGCTGACTGCTCTGCGACGTCTCAAAACACTGCTTCATACACGTCACTCACATCGCATCCCATCAACCAACCCAATCCACTTCCCTGTGGAAGCTGACGGATGGAAAACACACTCTGAATTTTCCCTGTGGCTGTCTGATTCATCGCTCCTCAAGGCTGAATGCTCTGCTCTGCACCCCCCTCTCTCCTCCAGCCTCTTTTCCTCGATCACACACGCGCACCTTCAACCAACTGATCTTCCCTCTGCCCGACTGATTCATTCCCCCCTGCACCCGTCCCATCATTCTTTCAAATGCCTTCGCCTCACCCGTCGACACCAATCCACACCCCACCATATCGCTCCACATCCCTCCATACCCTTCCACTCCCCCCAATACTACCCCATGTTTTCCCCAGCTTCTCCTAGTGCCCCATCTCCTGCCTCTCCCTCCTCGATCACATGCACACCTTTGACCTCCCAGAAACCTCGATTCACTTTCCCCGAGTTCTTGCGTTTAACCCCACTCCTCTCCCCTCCCCCCTTTCCATTTCTCCCCCTTCCCCACCCCGGCTTCTCCTACCGTGCCGTCCGATTCACTGTCCCCTGCTTTCCTGCATTCTCTCTGTTCCACCCCCACCCTTCCCCACTCTTTTCCACACCGCCCCACACCCATCCTCACCCATCCATACTCCCCCTCTCCCGCACTCTCGTTACGCACCTGTCCACACCCCCCCACACCACTCCATACTTCCCCCCAGATTCTCCTACTGCGCCATCTCCTGCCTCTCCCGCTTGGTTGCATGCACACCATCGACCTCCCTGCAGCCATCCATCCACTCCTCAACCACTCTCCCCACACTCCCTTCTCCCCAACACCCCTGCTTCCCCCTCTCACAGCTTCTCCTACTGCGCCATCTCCTGTCTCTCCCTCCTCGATCGCATGCACGCCATCGACCTCCCCGCAGCCGTCCAATTCATCGCCAGCTGTCAGAACTTTGACGGCGGATTTGGGTCTGTTCCGGGCGGCGAGTCACACGCTGGGCAAAGTGAGTGAGAAATTATGATTTCTTTCTTTCTTTCTTTCTTTCTTTTTTTCCAAGAGCCTTCCTGCTCAGTCTAACCGCGCCTACCAAACCAGGCCTCTATCCATCCAACCCCGCCTACCTAACCAGTCCTCTATCCATCCAACCCCGCCTACCAAACCAGTCCTCTATCCATCCAACCCTCTCCCTCACTCACTCCTCCGTCTTCCCCACCTCCCAAAAGTCGTCTTCTGCTGTGTGGCAGCACTTGCAATAGCTGGAGCATTGCTCATCCTTCCCACTCCTTCCATCCAACCCCACCCACCAAGCCTGCCTTCTTTCTCTTTCTCTTTCGCTCTCCCCCAACTCCTTCCAACCCTCCACCGAATCCGTACAAGCTAGTCTTCTGCTGTGTGGCAGCACTGGCAATATTTGAGTCGACTCAAGAATCGACTTATCACAGGCTGGAGCATTACTCATCCTTCCTACTCCTTCACACTCCTTCCCACTCCTTCCAACCCCACCCACAACCCATGCAAACCAGTCTTCTGCTGTGTGGCGGCTCTGGCAATAGCTGGCGTGCTCTCATTGGTCGACCGCGATCTCCTGGGCTGGTGGCTGTGTGAGCGGCAGGTGCCAGCAGGAGGGCTCAACGGGCGACCAGAGAAGCTGCCAGATGTGAGTACCCACCTGTTCTCTTCCTACCATACCACCCACATGAGAGTAGGTCCGTCTCCCTGGCAGAGCACCGACCGTCTTTTGAGTCGACTCAAAGCCCGTCTCCCTGGCACGGCACCAACCTTGTGATAGAAGTAGTTTTTTGAGACGTCTCAAAACGCTGCCTCCCTGGCAGAGCACCGACCGTCTTTTGAGTCGACTCAAAACCCGTCTCCCTGGCACGGCGCCGGCCTTCGGATGGTTTTTGAGGCGCCTCAAAAAGTGTCTACCATACCACCTACACGAGAGTAGGTCTGTCTCCCCCCCTGCATGGCACGGACCTTCGGATGCCCCCCTGGTTTGGTGGCTGTGCGAGCGACAGGTAACCAGCAGGAGGGCTCAATGGACGGCCTGAGAAGCTGCCAGACGTGAGTAGCTACCTACCATGCCACCTACACGAGAGTAGGTCTGTCTCCCCCCCTGGCACCGACCGTCGGATGCCCTCCTGGTTTGGTGGCTGTACGAGCGACAGGTAACCAGCAGGGGGGCTCAACGGCCTACCTGAGAAAACGCCAGATGTGAGTATTATCCGAGTCGTTTTTGTTTTCGATTCGACAAAAAAACGAAAAGTCTTTCCTGCTGCTGGTTGTCTTTGACAGTGCAGAGCCTGCTGATGAGTCGACTCAAAAGAAGACTAGAAAACGAGTCTTTTCTCTGTTGCTGGTTGTCTTTGACTGGACTTCCATAATCCATTCATGTCTTTAATGGAGCAGGGGGGACGCGCATCCTTCCTCCATTCTGCCTATTCTATGCCTTGATTTGCCACCTCACTGCGTCTCAGGCAGGTGTGTTATTCCTGGTGGGTCCTCTCCAGCCTTGTGCTCATTGACAGGGTGCATTGGATCAGTACGCTCCCTCTCACTCCCTCTAATTCCCTCTCACTCCCTCTCACTCCCTTCCCATGCTTTGTTTTGCTTGTCAGGTATGCTACTCCTGGTGGGTTCTGTCCAGCCTTGTACTCATCGACAGGGTGCATTGGATCAGTGCGGAGAAGCTACAGCACTTCATTTTGCAGTGCCAGGTGATTGCAACACTGTCAGGTGATTTCAACACTGTCAGGTGATTGCAACAGGGTCAGAAGGCTGTAAACCTTAAGGGGATTGCGACAGTAGCATCTGCTAGTTAGACTGAGGGGATTGCGTTGGCTCTCAGGTGGTTACAACAATGAGGCAAGTGGTTGCAACCTGACGCTCTGAATGTCACTACGCAAATCAAGGGCTGCCAGGTGGTTGCAGTAGCTGCTACAGTGTCAGGTGGTTTCAACAGAGGCTTTCTGAAACCCCCATAAGGAGAGGGGCAACACCACCTCTTGATTCGCCTCAAGTCTCGCCTGTCCCCTCCTCCCCACCCACCCACCCATCCGCCCACCCGTTCAACCATCCATGCACTCAGGACGAGGAGAGAGGAGGCATTTCCGACCGACCAAACGACATGGTTGATGTTTTTCATACCTTCTTCGGTATTGCTGGTGAGTAGGTGTCAGAGCATCTAGTGCATGACGCATGTGGATCATGGATGCATGACACATGTGGAGCATCTAGTGCATGACACATGTGGATCATGGATGCATGTCACATGTGGATCATGGATGCATAGCAATACCATCTCAGACCGACAGGACGACGTGGTGGATGTGTTCCATACTTTTTTCGGCATCGCTGGTGAGTGGGTGTCAGCAGCATATAGTGCATGCAGCTTGTAGCATGCATGGATGCACAACCAAACGACATGGTGGATGGATGTGTTCCACACATGTGTTTGGCATCGCTGGTGAGGTGGGGTGGAGCATATGATGCATGGGGTTGAAAACACCTGAGACCGACCAGACGACATGGTGGATGTGTCCCACACATGTGTTCGAGTAGGCAGTGATATTGGTGCGACTTGTGAGAATTCTCAAAAGTCGCACCAGACGACATGGTGGATGTGTCCCACACATGTGTTTGAGTGGGCAGTGGTGCACTCGAAGCAAACATGTGGGGTGTGGATCACATCGTGTGACCATTACCCATCTCCCACTGACCAGATTGCATGGTGAATGTGTTCTGTACCTTCGTTGGGATCGCTGGTGAGTGGGTGTCAGAGCATATAGAGCACATCACTGAAGCTAGCGAACCTCATTTCAGGCCTGAGTCTGTTGGAGTACCCCTATCTCAAGCCAGTGGACCCAGCTTACGTGCTTCCTATAAGTGTTATATCACCTTTCTGCTCCCTTTCCCCCATCTCCCTACCCCTCTCCTCCCTTTTCCCGTCCTCCCCACTCCCTCCTTTTCCCCTCCCCCCTCCCGATGTCAGGCCTGAGTCTGTTGGAGTACCCTAATCTCAAGCCAGTGGACCCAGCTTACGCACTTCCTGTGGATGTTGTGGATAGGGTTTTCAGAGACAGGGAGCTGAAGCACCTGCAAGCCTAGTGCCAAATTAGTTTTCTAAGAATGCGTAAGATGACATGTGCACTCAAGGAACTATATCACACATCGAATTTGGTTCCCATAAATTTTGCGGGCATGGAATCAAAAGCGAGTGAGCCGCTTGTACATGAGTCTTCAAGACCATCTCTACCAAATTGTTGACAAGGAAAATAGGCTATCGTGTGTGTATGGAACCATATGCACTTTAGTTGTTTGTGATCTCCAGTAGTATTACTAGGCTGTCTTGTACTGAGCCCTGAATGAGCGGGCAATCCAAGGAAGATTTTGGAGATTCGGAGACTGTCGTGGCAGACGAAGCATCCGTCGTCATTTCTGGTTACAAGGAACCCATCGTTCCCAGCGTGGATCTTACACGCAACCAGAGATACCCACGTCACCTGATTTAGCCATTCCAGGTCAGCTTTCTAAAGCCTCACGACATGTCAGCACCAGCACCTCGAACAATACTGTACCGAGCGCCCCAGGAAGCCTCGAACACCATTTCCTCCACAGCAATTCCCCCCGTCAATGCCCCCAAAGTTCCGCTTCTGCTCCGAGCAGCCAATCCCTAGCAGCCCATCTCCGCCTAGCCATCCCTACCAGCACCAGTAGTTCATCTCTACTGGTTCGATGGCTGCCGAGCCGAACAACTCCCCCTGCCGAGCCGAACAACGCCCTCTGTCGAGCCGAACAAAACACCCTCTGCCAAGCCGAATAATGCCCTGATGCTTTCCCCGACCTGAGTTTCATCCTCCTCGGGAGTTCCGCCCCCTCCCCGCCAACTCCCGCGTTTCCATTTTGTCCATTTCTTTCATTGTTGATGCAAAATTTCAGCAGCAAATTCCAAAGCTTGCATTTTTCCCGCCTGTCCCGCTCTCCCATCTTCTCCAAGTAGCTTCAGTAGTGTCTGCTTACCGAGCCAGATTCTCACTCAATGGCTGCCGTGTCGCTCTCCTCCTCCCTCAGCAGCCTCGCTGGCGCGAAGCTCGCTGTCGCGCAGTCCACGTCAGCGAAGACCTCCAAGGTCCAAGCAGTGCGTTGCGTCGCCGGTCCTTCCGCTTCTTCCGCCGGGAAGCGCGCAGAGGAGAAGAGCATCTGGGAGAAGCTAGGAACCGGCGCAGCGGCGTTCGGACTAGCCGCCGCGCTTCAACTGACTCCGTCAGCCGTTGACGGAGCTAAGGCCGACGAGTTCGCAATCCTGCGGTCGCCACCGCCGCTCGAGTCGCACTATTACGACGACGCGAATGTCCTCAGCCGGATCACGCGGTCGGACATTAAGAAGCTGCTGACGGATTTGGAGGAGCGGACTGGTTTCCATATTGACGCTGTGACCCTGAGGAAGATTGCTGTAAGTTGACTAATATCCGCGTTAACAAGTCTTCAGGAAAGTTGTATTAAGCTAGAACGAGTCCGTGCAGAGTCAGGAAGAAGCATTGCTCGTTGCGATAAAGCTGCCGCTGAAGCGAGATGCTTGTTGAGTCTACTCGATAGTCAACTCGCAGAGCCGGTTCCAGGCATTGCCTGAATCTGCTCCATCACCAGAAGCGGTTTGAGTCGGTGCAAAACGCATCCGTTTCATACACTGCCTTAATGAGCGCCAATGCCAGAATGAAGCTGGATTACGCTATTTTTTACCTGTTTCTTTTCTTAGAACGATATTTTATTCCTCCTCCCCATTCAGGGATACCAGATGATGACCACTCAAGGGATATTGTTGATTCCTCCCATTCATTGGTGGCTTCTCTCCTCCAGCTCTCCCCTCGTCCCCCCTCTCCACTCCCAAAGAGCGAAGACAGTCTTCCCCAGGAGGAGGACAGACGACAGTCGATCCGGATTTCAACGATCAATTCATAACCAATTTTCAGGCGTCCGAATCAATTCAGTCCTTTTTGTTACGAGCATGCTGTCACCCTCCCCGCGCACTCAGGATAACCGTGGACGATAATCACTCCAGATAAGAGCCTCGAGTCGCGTGGCACCCCACGGTGGAGCGGGGTGACAAGCAGCCACCTACCCATGCATCCCTCCCTGACAATTTCCCTCATTTCTCCTCCGCACATCCCCCTCCCCCACCCCCGAAGGGAAAGGGCGACGTTTTCGAACTCGCGGACAGGATCCTCGAGTCGTGGTACCCCACAGTGGAGGAGGGCGACAAGCGGCCCTTAGCGCCCATTCTCCCCTGCCAGTCTTCTTCATTCCTTGCTCCCTCGTCTCCGTGATACCCAAACATTTCAGGGCAAGGGCGACGTGTTCGAGCTCGCGGACAGGATTCTCGAGTCGTGGTACCCGACCGTGGAGGAGGGCGACAAGCGCGGAGTCGTGCTCCTCGTCACCTCGCAGAAGGAGGGAGCCGTCGCCGGCGGTCCCACGTTCATTGAGACCATTGGGGATGAGGTGTTCGAGGGCATCGTCTCTGAGAACCTTCCAGGTGAGCCTTCCTCGCTTGCAGTCTGTCAGTCCGTCGTTCAGGCGGTCCCACGTTTATTGATACGATTGGGGATGAGGTGTTTGTTCGAGGGCATCGTGTCTGAGAGCCTTCCAGGTGAGCCTGCCTTCATCGCCTCACAGTTGAGAACGGCTGAAACGTACCTGCGCCCCTTGGTGTCGCCTCTCACAATTTGAGTCAAAATAGGCTCATCACCTATCACCTGCGCCCGTTGGTGTTGCTCTCACTCAAACAAGACTCCCTCCCTCCCTCCCTCCCTCCCATCCTCACCACTTCCTCCCCTCTTCTTACTCACTTGCTCCTCCCATCCCGCACCCCACCTTTCTCCCGCCCCCAGTCGTGGCCACTGAGCAGCCTTGTACTCCTCAGCAGCTCGTATGCAGTCGACTCATAAGTTACTTCGTTCTCCCGCCACCAGTCGCGGCCACTGAGCAGCCTTGTACTCCTCAGCAGCTCTTATGAACAAATAAGTATCTCGAGAATCTCCTTCCCGTCCCCCCCCTGTGCTTGTCCCTCACCCCCCTATGCTTGTCCCTCACCCCCCTATGCTTGTCCCTCACCCCCCTATGCTTGTCCCTCACCCCCCTAAGCTTGTCCCTCCGCACCTCTGTTCTGGCGACTGAGGAGCGTTACAACGAGGCTATGTACTCAACAACCAAGCGCCTCACATGCATCAACTCCCACCCCCCTATCCCCGCCCCCTCCCCGTTCACCTTCCTCTCTCTCGCAGTTTTGGCCACTGAGGAGCGTTACAATGAGGCCACGTACTCGACAGCAGCCCGTATTTTCAACGAGCCGGCTCAAGAATCTCACCCCCTTCCCCCATCTCCTTCCCCCACCATACCCTATCTCCTCACCTCAGTCCTGGCCACTGAGGAGCGCTACAACGAGGCCATGTACTCGACAACCAAGCGCCTTGTAGCGCGGATCAACGGAGAGCCGGATATCCCGGGTCCCAAGTTCAATGACGCAAAGCGGGAATCCAACTACAAGACGCGCGAAGAGACCGATTCGAAGCGCGACCAATTTACGACGGTTGTGGGCGGGCTTTTGGTCATCGCATTTGTGGTTCCGATGCTTCAGTATTATGCATACGTCAAGAAGTAGAGAGATATACAGGGGGGTGTTGCGGAACGGAGTGTGATTTCTTATTTTTGTTTGTGTTTGAGTTGTAAGTACAGTTGGCAAAATGTTGGGATTCAACAAGTTGGAAGAACTCACCTGAAGTGTGCTGCAGCTCCTGCCCTCTTGCCTCTCCCATTCGTAATTCCATCTTCCTCTTGGTCCAACATCCCCTCACTCCTTTGCTTTCTCTCCATCGCTCCCCTACCTCCCTCTTCCTTCTCCCTCCCTCCTCTCCCCTCTCCCCCTTCTCCCTTTGACTCCCTCTCAGGCTCTCACCCTTTTATTTCTCCCTCTATCCCTAACTCTTTGCTTATCCAGTCTTGGCCTCATTGCCACCAAAACTATGGTACGGTAGTTGAAGATGGAAATTGCTGGGTGGTTGGGATGGAAGATTTCAACTGTGGAAGAGTGCGTCAAATGAAGTGTTGTAGCAATTTCCCTGACAAACTAATCTCATCAGTATCACAGAAAGAGACCATACAATTTGCAGGCGTGTGACTTGGTAATTGTTTTTCCCACATCTACGGTATTCTCTTTTCGTTTTACACACTAGCAAATGTCTCCATCGCTCCTAACGGTCAAATTTCAATATCATGTCAGCGAACCAAAATTATTCCCGCCATTCCGCCGACGTCGCGTTGGGAAGCAAAGGATGGTGCGCGGTTCGGTGTGGGAGCGCCGTGGTGACGGATTGAACATGCTGACGACTGTGGGGGTGACAGATGGACGGTCACCACTCGCCTCTGACATAACCGACTGCTTTGGTCAAGCGCTGATGGAAGCTCCGGTCAAGCAATCCCGTAGTGCGGTTCAGTAGATTTCCACACGGTAAACAGCGTTGTTTTTTCCATACCTCTTCGCACCGTACCGCACCAAACGAAACCGTGACTAGGCATTATTGTCACACCAAGCTAAGAAAAATGCTCGTTGTTCTGTTGCTACTCCAAGAGTCCAGAACTAGATAAATGACCATGTTCATTCCCCGCCGCCCAAGAATTTTATTTCAGCAACGCTCTCTGGTGCTAGTCCTGAGACAAAGCTCATAAACACAGCAAAGGCGCCTTTTTTAGAGAATTGTCAGTCTGTTTCTCGAGTTTAGTATGCTCAATTTCGCGAAAGAGTGACGACAAGCGGAACTAGGAAGGCATTTACAGTTCAGGACAGCCATAGAGCGGAACGCATTGTCGGTCGGTGTTAAATCTTGGAAGGTAGTGTGTGCAAGCACTAACACGATAGGCATGTTATGTTTCTGTACGTTTGGAGCTTGAGCTATGCAGTAATAGAACCTGCACTTGTCTGCCATTCCTGAACCTCTCCCAAGAGCTCTTGCCGTTGAGATTACACTGGAAACGCTTAACAATAATTTGCCGTTCCAAGCCGTTCGATTTGGATACAAGGTTCTCGTGGAAAAAACCGCGAATAGTTCTTGACAGGCACGCGGCGACACACTGCGATTTGTTGTCGCGACGATTCTGAGTGTCGCAAACCATGTCGCCCGTTCGCCACAAGCGGTTGCTCTCTAACTCTCTCAACGTCGCACGCTTCGTCGCACCAGCGATAGCCGTCGTACTGCTTGCGACTGTACAGGGATTTGTTCGAGCCGCCCCCGGAACTGCAGGTATTGCTTACTACACGCAGGCATTTCTTCACTCACTTTGTTTCAACCACTATCATACACCTGACATCAGTTCCCTTGCCTCTTCCGTACAGTGCCTTGTGTTGACTCTCCTCTCTCGTCACCGTCTGTTTCCTTGCACTACCCTCGCCTCTTCCCCGCGCGTTCCCTTTCCTGATCAGGAGGATGCACGAATTACAGCCAGGGAAGGTGGGTACGCGATAACAGCCGACCTGCTTACGATGCCAGCACCTGCAAGTACATGGTGTGTAACTGGGCTCAAATCGAAGAAGCTGGTAGCGCGAACATACATGCACGCGGGGTCACTGCGGGTAGGGTGAACCGCTTCGTGCGCAAGACTGCTCGTCGCAGGATATTGTCTGCAGCAGCGTGCACGTGCGTGTAGTAGTCGTGGATTAAGAATCCTCAAAACTGGCCTGTAACAATAAATTAATTGCATTTATTACGCATTTGCGGCATGTAAGCCCGCAAATTGCATCCGGCAGAGATGACCTCTAACCTTGAGATGTAATGCACATGGAATAAAGGGGTTTCCTCATGCCTTGCGAACCGTCTTCCTCCTCTCCTGCTGTGCCGTTTCATCTCCCTTGTTCCCCTTAACCCCTTCTCCCTCCCACCCCGTGCCATCCCCTTCCCCTTGCGCTCCCCCTATAGGGAGTGAGCAACTGCATGAAGCAAAGCGGGCGATCAAAAGACTGGCTGGTGAGTGCCTGGGCGTTGAATTTTACTGCCTTGACTCGTAGAACGTGAGTAGTGAGCGCGGGAGAGAGTAAGAAGTGAGCGCTCTATTGTAGGATTGAACTCCCTTCAGGGTGTAAGACAAAGCGGGGGATCGAAGGACTGGCTGGTGGGTGCCTGGGCGTTGAATCTGACTGCCTTGACTCGTAGAGCGTGATATTGAGCGCGGGGAGAGTGAGTAGTGAGCGCGGGGAGAGTGAGTAGTGAGCGCGGGAGAGAGTGAGAAGTGAGCGCTCTATTGTAGGATTGTACTCCCTTCAGGGTGTAAGACAGAGCGGGGGATCGAAGGACTGGCTGGTGGGTGCCTGGGCGTTGAATCTGACTGCCTTGACTCGTAGAGCGTGATATTGAGCGCGGGGAGAGTGAGTAGTGAGCGCGGGAGAGAGTGAGAAGTGAGCACTCTATTGTAGGATTGTACTCCCTTCAGGGTGTAAGACAGAGCGGGGGATCGAAGGACTGGCTGGTGGGTGCCTGGGCGTTGAATCTGACTGCCTTGACTCGTAGAGCGTGATATTGAGCGCGGGGAGAGTGAGTAGTGAGCGCGGGAGAGAGTGAGAAGTGAGCACTCTATTGTAGGATTGTACTCCCTTCAGGGTGTAAGACAGAGCGGGGGATCGAAGGACTGGCTGGTGGGTGCCTTGGCGTTGAATTTGACTGCCTTGACTCGTAGAGCGTGATATTGAGCGCGGGGAGAGTGAGTAGTGAGCGCGGGGAGAGTGAGTAGTGAGCGCGGGGAGAGTGAGTAGTGAGCGCGGGGAGAGTGAGTAGTGAGCGCGGGGAGAGTGAGTAGTGAGCGCGGGGAGAGTGAGTAGTGAGCGCGGGGAGAGTGAGTAGTGAGCGCGGGGAGAGTGAGTAGTGAGCGCGGGGAGAGTGAGTAGTGAGCGCGGGGAGAGTGAGTAGTGAGCGCGGGGAGAGTGAGTAGTGAGCGCGGTAGAGAGTGAGTAGTGGGTGCGGCAGAAAGTGAATAGTGAGTGCCGGAGAGAATGAGTAGTAAACGGAGAGAATCAATAGTGAGTGCCGGAGAGAATGAGTAGTGAACGGAGAGAATCAATAGTGAGTGCCGGAGAGAATCAATAGTGAGTGCCGGAGAGAATGAGTAGTAAACGGAGAGAATTATTATTTGAGTGCCGGAGAGAGTGAGTATTGCGTGGGGGGCTCCAACATCGGCCCTGGAAGCTGAATGAGTGCAATGCTCGGCTTGCCCATCCTTCCCATACCTCGCCCCATCCCCCCATTTTATGTTCCTCGTCGTCGTCCTCCCATCCCCCCATTTCATCCTCTGTCCGTGCAGTATTGGTCCTGGAATCCCAATGGGTGCCCTGCGAATGGCATGCGCATACTTACTATACCTCGCCCCATCCCCCATCTTCATGTTCCTCTATTCCTCACTACGTCGTCATCCCCCCATCCCCCCCCCCCCCCCCCCCCCCCCCCAGATTTTATCCACTGCCCCGTGCAGTGTTGGTCCTGGAAACCCAATGGGTGCCCTGCACGCCATGCCAGTCCTTTCCATACCTCGCCCCGCCCCCCCACTTCATGTTCCTCTCTGTTCTCCCCATCTCGTCGTCCTCCCATCCCCCTAATTCATCCACTGTCCCGTGCAGTATTGGTCCTGGAAGCCCAATGGGTGCCCCCGGACATGGCATGCTTGCCCTTACTTTCTCAGCCCATCCAATTTCCTCCATTTAACGTCCCTCTGTTCTCACCCCCCGTGCAGTATTGGTCCTGGAAGCCCAATGGGTGCCCTGCACACGGCATGCTCGTCCTTACTAAACCTCGCCAGTCCCGTTTCAATTCTTGTTCTATTTTCCCCACTGTTCGGTGTCCCTCTATTCCCACCCCCCGTGCAGTATTGGTCCTGGAAGCCCAACAGGTGCCCTGCATGCGTCATTCTCGTCCTTCCTATACCTCACCCCATCCCGTTGCCCCCAATTTAGCATTCCTCCATTCCGTGTTCCTCCATTCCGTGTTCCTCCATTCCGTGTTCCCCCGTTCCTCCCCCCGTGCAGTATTGGTCCTGGAAGCCCAACGGGTGCCCTGCGAGTGGCATGCGCTTTGATGCACCAGGTTTCCTCAAACTCATGAAGAACAAGTGAGTTGCGAGGGGTTCAAGCAGAGATGCGCACGTACGTGCATGCATGTGTACACACTCACACAGGGGCGAGTTCATCTCGTTGTGATTGTAAGTGTAGACAAGTCCACCTCGGCTAAATGCTTCCGTCCTACCTTTTGCACTCCGTCCGTCCGTCCGTCCGTCCGTCCGTCCGTCCCTCCCTCCCTCCCTTCTTCCCTCCCTCATTCCCTCCCTTCCTCCCTCCCTCCCTCACTCCCTCCCTCACTCCCTCCCTTCCTCTTTCACTCACTCACTCACTCACTCCCCCCCTCCCTTCCTCCCTCACTCCTTCTCCCCCTCCCTACGTACTTCCCTACCTCCCTCCCTCCGTGTGTTCAACAGGGTGTTTGCGAGTGTGGGCGAGTCCATCTCCGTTAGAGGCTTCCTCCTTGCAGTCGTCTGCAATGTAAGAACGCGTTTCTATTTATCTTCTCCGCCTGTGGGTGTAGACACTGCATGTACAAACCAGAGATTGAGGAGAAAATGCATTTGCAAGACCAAACGAATTTTGGTGGGATACTGAGGTGTACCATATGCTTAGTCACAACGTGACACCTGCCATTGAGATGTCTCTAACGAGGATCCTAATCTTCTGATACTGAGGTGTACCATATGCTTAGTCACGACGTGACACCTGCCAATTGGTAACAAATTTGTTACCAACAGGTGTCACGTTGAGACGTCTTTAAACAGAATTGTTATCGCGTGGTCTTATCTTCTGATACCGAGGTGTACCATAAGTCCAGTCACAAATGTGACACCTGCCAACTTCCCCACTCCCCAAATCCCACTTTCGCACAGTCGCACAGGCTACCGAGTTTACGAGGGTAGATCTGCCAGAGAGACCCAACAAGCTCAATTATATGTTAACTCAAGATTTGCCTGCTCTGCGCCTCCCTTCCCCTCCCTTTCCTCTTCCACCCGCCTATGCTTCCTCAGATCGCCAACCCAAGTTTACAGAAGTGAAGCTGCTAGCTAAACCCAACAAAGTTCAATGTTGACTCGATTCAATCATCCACCGCCCCTCCTTTCACTGCCTCTCTTCCTCAGATCGCCAAGTTTACACAAGTGAAGATGCTAGCTAAACCCAACAAGTTTGGAGATACCGAGGTTTACGTCGTGCCCAGTTACAACGTGACACTTGTCAACTTCTGGGCGCAGTTCCTAGTCGCGATTGACCGGAGCAACCAGGTGAGGAAGGGGGGTGGTGGTGGGGGAGAATGTAGTTGAATTTTGAGGGGAGGAGGAGGGGGGAAAATAGACTTTTGAGTCGAGTCACAGCGTGACACTTGTCTACTTCTGGGCGCAGTTCCTAGTCGCGATTGACAGGAGCAACCAGGTGGGCGGGGCGGGGGGGGGAGTGAAGGTACTAGACTTTTGAGTCGAGTCACAACGTGACACTTGTCAACTACTGGGCGCAGTTCCGGTCGCCATTGACCGGAGCAACCAGGTGAGGGGGTGGAGGGGGTGGAATGGGGAGTGGGGACAAGATAAAAAAGTGATTCTTGCAAAGTCGGGTGGGGGTGGGGGTGGGGGGGGGGGGGGGGGGGGGGGTGGGGAATAGATAAAAGGGTGGTCTCTTGTAAAGCCTGTGCATTTTCCTTCGGCTTTCAATCCGCTGAATGTGCATTATCGTTCTTGCTCGTCTCTGCATTTCCCGTTCTGTCTCTTCACCCCTGTGTTCTTGTTTTTTCCATCCCTCTCTCCCCTACCTCCCAAAATTCCACTCTTAAACCTACTTTCAAACAATAACCAATTTAGGTCCGGCAAAACCAAGCCTTGGCATGTTCCCGCCCATTCCTGTCCCCCGAACCAGACTCTCGCCAGGTTCGGCAACACCAAGCCTGCGCTACAGGACACCGTGGTGAACCTCCACAAGCTGGACCCCTCCTGGGCGGCAAAACTCGACTTGATCCACGTCATCGTGTTGCAGACTGCCACGGACTGGCCGGCAGGGCGTGGCCTTATGCGGCGGTACTATGCTGACGCGAATTGGAACGCCATCAAGCCGGCTCCTTCGACCTATGAAGCGTACGAGTGAGTTCTCTTGCAGATGGTAGGTACTCTGCAGAAGGGAAGGTACAACCGGCAGGGCGTGACCTTCTGCGGCGGTACTACGCTGATGCGAATTGGAACGCCATCAAACCGGCTCCTTCAACTTATGAAGCATATGAGTAAGTTACTTGTCACGTGTAGTTAGTCGTGTCAAAGCTGCTTGATTGACATGTGACCTTATGCGGCGGTAATACGCTGATGCGAATTGAAATGCAGCCAAACCGGCTCCTTCGACTTATGAAGCATACGAGTGAGTTTTCTTGTCACGTGTAGGTAATCTTGTCTTTGCTGGATGAATGAAATGTGACCTTACCCGGCGGTGCTATGCTGATAAGAACCGGAATGCAATCAAGCCAGCTCCTTAAAACCTATGAAGCGCACGCGTAAGTTATCTTGTCACAAGTAGCTAGTCTTTTCTTTGCTGGTTAATTGAACTGCTGTGATGTTACGTTGATGGTTGCTAGATTGCGATGAAACCAGATCCTGCAACATAGAGCTTACGCTGAGCTTTTTCTCCTCTATGCTTGCTAGTCTCTCTTATGATTGCTGGGTGAGGCATGATGTAATTCGCGAGATGGCGTGATGTTGTTAGCCTTCTCTCTCATTAACTGCTCGTCCCTCCTCTTTCGTCTCTCTCCTCTTTCCTTTATCCCTCTCCTCTCTCCCGTCACCCCCCTCTCCCCTTACAAAATCGGCATGCGGACCGTGTTCAATGCGTTCGCAGGCCGCAACAAGAGGACAAAGCCCTTCCCCGTGCTCTACTTCCTCTCATTGCTGCTCTCCCCTACTCCTCCCTCACCCTACTCCTGTCTCCGTCCACCCCCACCCCAGAATCGGCATGCGGACCGTGTTCAATGCGTTCGCAGGGCGCAACGAGAAGGAAAAGCCCTTCCCCGTGCCCTACTTCCTCTCATTGCTGCTCTCCACTCCTCGACTCTTCTCTCTCTTACTCCTGCCTCCATCCCCCCTTACCACAGGATCGGCATGAGAACAGTGTTCAACGCATTTGCAGGGCGCAACAAGAGGGGAAAGCCATTCCCGGTGCCCTACTTCCTCTCATTGCTGCTCTCCACTCCTCGACTCTTCTCTCTCTTACTCCTGCCTCCATCCCCCCTTACCACAGGATCGGCATGAGAACAGTGTTCAACGCATTCGCAGGGCGCAACAAGAGGGGAAAGCCGTTCCCGGTGCCCTACTTCCTCTCATTGCTGCTCTCCACTCCTCGACTCTTCTCTCTCTTACTCCTGCCTCCATCCCCCCTTACCACAGGATCGGCATGAGAACAGTGTTCAACGCATTCGCAGGGCGCAACAAGAGGGGAAAGCCGTTCCCGGTCCCCTACTTCCTCTCATTGCTGCTCTCCACTCCTCGACTCTTCCCTCCCTTACTCCTGCCTCCATCCCCCCTTACCACAGGATCGGCATGAGGACTGTGTTCAGTGCATTCGCAGGGCGCAACAAGAGGGGAAAGCCGTTCCCAGTGCCCTACTTCCTGTCAGCGCCTCCTCGGCTCAACGGCTGCCAAAACGTCTCTTCCCTCAGCTCGCCACAGCAGGTGCGTGTAGCTTTGATCAATTTAGGTACACCATCCAGTCTTAGCGGTCTTTGTGTAGGTTCCTCCCCATCCAGCCGGAGCTCTGTTGGTGTGACTTTTGAGAATTCTCACAAGTCTCCATCCAGCCAGAGCTCTCTCGGCCCCTCCTCGTCTCAACAGCTGTCAGAACGTCTCTTCCCTCAGCAGCCCACAGCAGGTACGTGTACCTTGGAAGGTGGGTCTATTACTTTTTACAGAAACCACATGATAGAAGTGGTGTTTTGAGACGTGTCCTCCCTCAGCTCTCCACAGCACGTGCGTGTAGCTCTAGCGCTGCTGGTAACAACATAAAGACACCTCAGTCTCTCTCAGAAACGCCCTCAAAGCAGGCCCTAAGGGATCACCGTGCTTGATCCCTAAACCAGGCTCTTTCTCTCGGCCCCTCCTCGCCTCAACGGCTGTCAGAACGGCACTTCCCTCAGCAGCCCACAGCAGGTGGGTGTGCAGCAGTGAAAGAAGTCTGGTTGGTGTATGTATCTGGCATGGCACCACCCACACTTCCTGCCCTACTTCCTCTCTGTCCCATCTCACCTCAACGGCTGTCAGAACGGCACTTCCCTCAGCAGCCCACAGCAGGTGGGTGTGCAGCAGTGAAAGAAGTCTGGTTGGTGTATGTATCTGGCATGGCACCACCCACACTTCCTGCCCTACTTCCTCTCTGTCCCATCTCGCCTCAACGGCTGTCAGAACGGCACTTCCCTCAGCAGCCCACAGCAGGTGGGTGTGCAGCATGGAAGGTGGGTTGTGCAGCAGTGACAGAAGCTGGGTTGTTGTATCTGGGTCCCACGGGTCAGTGCTTGTCATGAAGAAGAGCAGCAGTAGGAGCGGATGTCTTAGCAAAAGACGATAGTCTCGCTAGAGAATTCTCAAAAGTGAGTTAACCCTTTGAAGCTGGGTTGGTGTATCTGGCACCACCCACACTTCGTGCCCTACTTTCCTCTCAACCCCTCCTCGCCTCAACGGCTGCCAAAACGTCTGACAGAGACGGAGAGCTGGGGGAAGGGACGTTCTGGCAGCCACGTGTAGAGAGGGTATTTTTGAGACGTCTCAACAATACCCTCCTCACCTCATCGGCTGCCAAAGCGTCTGACAGAGACGGAGAGCTGGGGGAAGAGACGTTCTGACAGCCGTTGAGGCGAGGAGGGGCTGAGAGAGAGACCCATGCGTCAGAACGTCTCTGTTCTGACCCCGAACAGAGATGTTGCCTGCACCCACCCTCTCCCATATCCAGGCAACATCTCTGTTCGGGGTCAGAACAGAGAAAGACCCTGCCTTAGCACCCACCCTCTCCCATATCCAGGCAACATCTCTGTTCGGGGTCAGAACAGAGAAAGACCCTGCCTTAGCACCCACCCTCTCCCATATCCAGGCAACATCTCTGTTCCTCCCCGTCCCCCTCGGTGACAACAATGCATCTCAAGACTTCCTCCCCATCCAGCAAAGATAATCCAAAACTGCCGCCTCGCCCCTTCCGATTCCTCCCCATCACCTACCTCTCTATGTTCCCTTCTCCCTTCCTTCCTCCCCCTCCATCTCACAACCAGGTAGCATCTCTCTTCTGTGACAACAAGGCAGCGCGTGGTTTCCTCCCCATCCAGCAGAGGGTCTTTGCCCCACGCACCTGCTGATACAGTAGTCTCACCTCATCCCCTCCTGCACCCATCCCATAACCAGGTAGCATCTCTCTTCCGTGACAACAAGGCATCGCGTGGTTTCCTCCCCATCCAGCAGAGGGTCTTCGCCCCACGCACCTGCTGATACAGTAGTCTCCCCTCATCCCCTCCTGCACCCATCCCATAACCAGGTAGCATCTCTCTTCTGTGACAACAAGGCATCGCGTGGTTTCCTCCCCATCCAGCAGAGGGTCTTCGCCCCACGCACCTGCTGATAAAGTAGTCTCCCTTCATCCCCTCCTGCACCCATCCCACAACCAGGTAGCATCTCTCTTCCGTGACAACAAGGCATCGCGTGGTTTCCTCCCCATCCAGCAGAGGGTCTTCGCCCCACGCACCTGCTGATACAGTAGTCTCCCCTCATCCCCTCCTGCACCCATCCCATAATCAGGTAGCATCTCTCTTCCATGACAACAAAGCATCGCGTGGTTTCCTCCCCATCCAGCAGAGGGTCTTCGCCCCACGCACCTGCTGATACAGTAATCTCCCCTCATCCCCTCCTGCACCCATCCCATAACCAGGTAGCATCTCTCTTCCGTGACAACAAGGCATCGCGTGGTTTCCTCCCCATCCAGCAGAGGGTCTTCGCCCCACGCACCTGCTGATACAGTAGTCTCCCCTCATCCCCTCCTGCACCCATCCCATAACCAGGTAGCATCTCTCTTCCGTGACAACAAGGCATCGCGTGGTTTCCTCCCCATCCAGCAGAGGGTCTTCGCCCCACGCACCTGCTGATACAGTAGCCTCCCCTCATCCCCTCCTGCACCCATCCCACAACCAGGTAGCATCTCTCTTCCGTGACAACAAGGCATCGCGTGGATTCCTCCCCATTCAGCAGAGGGTCTTCGCCCCTCTCCTCCCTCTCTCCTGCCTCCACCCCTCCCTCCCACAACCAGGTGACATCTCTGTTCCGAGACAACAAGGCATCTCGCGGTTTCCTCCCCATCGAACAGAGGGCCTTCTACAATTGATGCCAACCCATGAGCAAATATTTCCCCTCTTCCCCTTTCCCCCTATTACCAGGTAGCACCTCTCTTCGGTGACAACAAGGCGTCGCGTGGATTCCTCCCCATACAGCAGAAGATATATTTCAAACTGCTGCCCTCTCTGCTTCCTGCTCATTCAGTAGTCTTTGAGGTCGTTTTTGAGGCGCCTCAAAGGTCGTTTTTGAGGCGCCTAAAAAAAATATATATTTCAAACTGCTGCCCTCTCTGATTCCTGCTCATTCAGTAGTCTTTCTCCTCCCTCTCCTCCCTCTCCTCCCTTTCACACAAGCAGGTGACATCCCTTTTCAACGACAACAAGGCATCCAAGGGTTTCCTCCCCATCCAGCAGAAAGTCTTCCAAAACCGCCGCCCCTTCCGCTTCCTCCCCATCACCTACCTCTCGATGTTCCGAGGAGATGCGTTCATGTCGTCTAGTGGGGCGCACGATGGTGGGAGAGACTGCCTGCACTTCTGCTTACCCGGTGTGCCGGACACATGGGCCGATGCGCTCTACACCACCATGAAGAATGACCGGTTTATTGTGAATAATGCAGCTAAATAGAGGGTTTTGAGGGCTTTGACTGGCCTAGGCTGAAAGTGTCTAGATGGGCATATGATGGGGGGAGGCCACTGCCTGCATTGTTGCATACCTGGTGTGCCGGACACATGGACGGATGTACTTTTCTACCAGCATGAAGAGCGATAGGTTTCTTGTGAAGTATGCAGCTGAGTGAAGGGTGCTGAGGGCTTTGTTTGGGCTAGGCTGAAAGGGTCCAGTGGAGTGCATGACGGGGGGAGAGACTGCCTGCACTTCTTCTTAAACGGTGTGCCGGACACATGGACGAATGTGCTTTTCTACCTGTGATGAGTCGATTTTTGAGTTGACTCAAATACCGGGTGTGCCGGACACATGGACGGATGTGCTTTTGTACCAGCATGAAGAGCAATAGGTTTCTTGTGAAGTATGCAGCTGAGTAGCAGTGGTAGGGACTGATTGCAATGCTGCTTACCAGCTGTGCCGGATACGTGGGCCGACGAGACGCGACGATGCTGTCTACACCACCACGAGGAGTAAATAGCTTTGTTGTGAGCAATGCAGCTAAGTAGTGGCAGGAGTGCTCAACAATTGACTACACTTGTGCGGGTACGGGTGTACTGGGCTGGACACATATCGTACTGGTACGGTATGGTTGGTAAGCTGATGGTACTGCATCTACAGTGCCACAAAGAATGATAGGTTCATCATGTATATTCCATGCTTAAGAAATGAACTACCCGTATATATAAACTCGGTGTTGAATTCACTAAATAACAATTTACGAGGAATGGATTGGCAGGGTAGCACCAGCAGCGACACCAATTTAATATAATCATCACCACCACTGTCACCACCACTGCCACCACCCGTCCAGGGATTTCCCATCCATGATTCTCCACATCTCCTCCACATACTCTCGGTGCAACCCCTCTCTCCTTGATGCGTTACCATGTTACTGCCCTCACCACCACCACCATCACCAGCATCACCACCACTGCCACCACCCATCCAGACTCTTCCCATCCATGATTCTCCTCATCTCCTCCACATACTCTCGCCGCAGCCCTGCTTTCCTCGCGCCTTTGAGCAACAACCCGCGGTAGCGAGCAGAGGGGGGCAGCTCCTTGCGAGGGGGGAGGAACGAGGGGCTCTTGGGGTTGGCGCGGAGGGTTAATGCCTGGTGCAAAGAGGGGTTTGGGGGGGTGGGGGGCGGTTGGGAGAGAGTAGGACACCTTGCTCCTTTGAGCTTCAACCTGCGGTAGCGAGCAGAGGGAGGCAGCTCCTTGCGAGGTGGGAGGAACGAAGGGCTGTTGGGATTGGCTCGGAGAGTTAGGGCCTGGGATAGCGGGGGCGAGGGGAGAGAGGGGGGTGGGTTTGAGAGAGTGGGGAAGGGGGGAAAGGATGCTCCTTTGAGTCGCTTTTGAGAATTCTCAGAAGGGCAGCTCCTTGCGAGAGGGGAGGAACGAGGGGCTGTTGGGATTGGCTCGGAGGGTTAGGGCCTGTTGTAGAGAGGGGAGAGGGATAAGAGGGGCGGATGGGGGGTAGAGAGGAGAAACGGCGGAGAGAGGGGGGAAGCTCCTTGCAAGAGGGGAGGAACGAGGGGCTGTTGGGATTGGCTCGGAGGGTTGAAGGCTGGTGTAAGAAAAGAGGAGGGGGAGGAAACGGGAGTTGGGTGTGAGAGTAGGCCCGAACCAGAAGAGGGAGGAAAAGTAAAGGCACTCCCGTTCTTAACTCCCATCCATTCTTCTCCTCATCTCCTCCTCCACATCCTCTCGCCGCAACCCCGCTCACTTTCCTCCTTCACCATGTTATTCCCTCCACCACCACCACAATCACCACCACTCTCCACCACCCATCCAGGGATTTCCCATCCACTCTTCTCCTCATCTCCTCTCCTCCACATCCTCTCGCCGCAACCCCGCTACGTTGAAATCACATTCGAGAATTCTCAAAAGCCATCTCCTCCACATCCTCTCGCCGCAACTTTTGGGACGTCTCAAAAGTCGCAACCCGGCTACGTTGAAATCACTTTTGAGAATTCCCATAAGTGATCTCCTCCACATCCTTTCACCACAAGCAACCCCGCTCGTTTTGAAGTAGTGTTTTGAGGCGTCTCAAAACACTTCAAAAAAGTGATCTCCTCGATATTCTCTCGCCGCAAGCAACCCCGCTCTCCTCGCTCCGGGTAGTTGGCAATCCATGCTAGTGAGGAGCGCTTGTGATTGGCACGGAGGTTTATGACCTGCAGTAGGAAGAGTATAGAGAAGGGGAATTTGGAGGAGAAAGAACGGCGGTGGGGAGGAGGGAAAAGCAGAACCTGGGGTAGGGGGAAGGACAGGAAAAGGAATCATTTAGCTACTTTCCTGGCCTAACATGTTTAAGATACACGGACAGAGAAACCAGCTGGTTCCTGGACAGAGAAACCAGCTGGTTCCTGGACAGAGAAACCAGCTGGTTCCTGGACAGAGAAACCAGCTGGTTCCTGGACAGAGAAACCAGCTTCTGGAACATGCAAGGAAGGAGAAGTGAAAACACGCTCACAGCATCAACGGGATTAGGCGCACTGTGCAAATACCTGTACAGTACTGCCGGAGTAGGTGTGTGCTGTAACGAGGTGCTCTATATAGGGTCGCTGCTCGTCGCGAGAGATGCCTTCTGACCTGACAGTAAGGGGGGAAGAGACAGGGAGCGAGGGACAAAAAAAGGTGAAAACAACTGTGTGTATGAGTGTGTGTGTGTGTGTGAGTGTGTGAGAGTGTGTGTGCGTGTGAGTGTGCATGTGTGAGAGTGTGTGTGTGCGTGTGTGTGTGTGTGCATGTGTGAGGGTGTGTGTGTGTGCGTGTGTGTGTGCGTGTGTGTGTGTGTGCGTGTGTGTGTGTGTGCATGTGTGAGTGTGTGTGTGTGTGTGTGCGTGTGTGTGTGTGCATCTGTGTGTGTGTGTGTGCGTGTGTGTGTGTGTCTTTGTGAGAGTGTGTGTGTGTGTGAAAGTCTGTCCGTGTGTACGTGCGTCTGTGGGTGCATGCACGTGCACGCTCTAAACAGTCTGAAAATACAAAAGCAAGTGTGTCCCCCCTCCAGATGATGGGGAAAGGGGACGAAAACGAACAGATACAGTGATGGAAATACACATAACCACATGCCAACTCACCGCATGCCAAATCACCACATGCCAAATCACCACATGCCAACTCACCACATGCCAACTCACCACACGCCAGCTCAGCACATGAGCAACAGAAGGAGAAGGGGAGGGAGACAAAGAGAAGAGGAAGCACGCAAACATCAACTCACCACATAAGCCGTTCGTAGTCGATTCGTCGCATCTGCACCACCAATCCATGCACACTCGGACTTCCGTCGCTTCCCTCCATCCCCGCTACAGCCGCCCCGTTTCGCGCTACAGCAGAACCGGCCTCAGCTACAGCCTCCCTGCTTTGCGCTACAGCCGATTCACGTCCCGCTAGAGCTGGTCTGATCCCCGCGGCTTTATCCCGCCTATTTCCCGCTACAGCCGACCTTATCCCTGCGACAGGCTCAATCGCCGCTACAGCCGGTTCAAATGGCGGCAGCACGCGGATGTTGAACGCCAGGCGATGATGGTACACCACCGCCGGCTCTGCTACAACCGGATCCTCCTCTGCTACAGCCGAACCCAGAACGTGTGCTACAGGCGCGTTGACTCCCGTTGACCGCCGCTGTAGCAGATCCAGGTTGAGATTTGATCCGAACGCGAAGTAGTTGACTGTAGCGAGGGGTGACAATAACGAAGAATCGGATAAGATCGAGGGCCGGTCGGATGTAGCGGGCGCTACAGTCGCCAGCCACGCGGTCAGAAGCAGCGAATCGGTAAGCTCTTTCGACCCGTTTCGCGGAAGCTTCCGACCCATGGTCCAATCGACCTCAGTAGTACTATTAGTACGACTACTAGCGGAAAGCTCTCGTTCTCCCCCGCCCCTTCCCCTTCCCCCTCCCCCGGTTCTTAGAGCCGCCGCTTTCGCCGCCTCCGCGCCTTTCTCCCCCCCGTCCGCGGAAACGGCTGCGCACCGCGAAGCGCTTCGCTGGGAATTTGCGGATCGTAGGCGCGTTTGCGGTGTTCGTGACCGAACGGGATTGGCTGTTTGCGGGCGGAATCCACGGAAAGGTGCGGACGCCGGTAATTGCGGCGGCCATGTTATCCGGAAAGCATATGGTTGGGAGGAACTGCAATGATTAGCTACTAACGGGGATGAGGTGGACGTGGTTGCATTTAGGACCACCATGATCGAGCGGCGAACCGAATCAGCAGCAGGAAGAATCAAGGATAAATGTATGAGGATTTTGAAAACATTTCGATCCGATATGAAAGGTATACTCACTTTCCAAGTGAATGTTACATATTTTGACTGTATCGAAGAACGAGTACATCTGGCCGTGCCTAGGGATCTGGTTCGGCTAGTGGTGATTGGGTATGCGAGGCTGAGAGGTAAAGCGGACATTGGTACGGGAGGTGGTGACAGGTCAGGTCAGAGAGGCTGTAAGGAATTTTCTCGGCATTCCTTACGGAGCCCGACTACATCGCGTACAGCAACAGCCGTTGTTCGCCCGTTACAGCTAACGGGGCTTCGCCGACTTCGCGCACACTGTTTTCACCAAACCTCGCACTGCTGGCATGGCCGTGTCGGCCTACGCTTCGGGACTAGCCCGAGCCTCGCTCCAGCGTAGCACTAGCTAGCTCGCACGCACCGCGTTACCGTTTGCATGTTTCGCGTACAAATGTTCGCTCATGCATTCGCTCACATTGTGTACTCGTTTGACACCTTAGTGCAATTCTCGCTACTTCGATTCATTGCACCCGTAACACTTGGTATTCAGAGCCCCTTTCTTTCGGACCGCGCATCTCCGCACCTCAGGAAATCAACTTTTGATTTCTCACTCGAAGGGACTCACGTACCTTAGCACCTACGAGCCGCTGTCCTCGCGTTCTCTCGTAAACGCGTGCAGCCACGACTGCGCCTAGACTAAGACGAGCCGACGCCCTTCGAAATGGCTGAACACATCGACGTTACGAATCTCACGCAGGAGCACTTGAACGATCTGCTGCGACAAATCCGCGAGAGCGCCGAGGAAATTGCGACGCTGACGGCAGAACGCTCGGCCCCGCAAAACGACCTCACACGAGCACAATCCCAAGCACCTGGCACTCTGATTCAGCCCGCACCACAGACATCACAGCACGGAAGTGTGGGGCAACCCGCGAGCGCCGCAGGTGATGGCGTCGTCCGCCATGACGGAGACGACGACCACGGCACGACACACCCCGACACGACGAATGCGGCCAGGACCCAACCTCGAGTCACGATTCCAGTGCCGGCCGGCGAATCAACTCTTCCGTCGCCGATGCCGCTAAAGCCGCAGCGTCCGCCATACTTTGACCCAAGTCAACGGGGTGGTCCTACCGTTCAGGTGTGGCTCTTCACGTTGAACGTCTTCTTCGATGCGAACTACGTTTCGGAGGATACGGCAAAAATTCGCTACGCCGTGTCGTTGCTGCGAGGACCCGCCATGGACTGGTGGCGCGTCATCGTCACGAAGCCGGTGGACTACGCGACTCTACCGACACGGGAAGGACAAACAGGAGCCTGGGCGTCGTCGTACTTCGTGGAGGTGCCCCAGTATCGCACGTGGGACGCGTGGTGCGCAGGTCTACGCACTCGTTTCGAGCCAATCGCGACTTCGATCGCGGCGCGGCAAAAGCTCCGCACTTGGCGCCAACTCGGTTCCGTACAAGACTACACGAGCGGATTTCTGGCGCTATGCGAGCAGGTGGGATATATGCACGAGAGCGAGCACATCGACTGCTACATCGGCGGCCTGAAGCAGGACATCGCTCAGGAAATCCAGCTTCGCGGCGTCACCGACTTTCAAGAAATTCTCGCTATGGCGGAGAAACTCGATTTCTTCCGCCGACCGAGACCGGGGTCCTATGGAAGCAGCCATTGGGGACATCAGCCTCGTGGGACGAACGAGGGCGCCACGATACGTGCCGTCGCCGCAAATGCCGCTGCCGCACCGTTCAAAGGGCGTTGCTTTGCGTGCAATCGGCCGGGACATCGCAAGAGCGAATGCCCGGAAAACGCTAAGGGAAAGGGGGAAGCTGAGCAGCAGAAACAGACCAAGCAGCAGGGAAACGCTGGGAGTCAGTAGCAGACGGGCCCTCTACTGACAGGTCACGCCGCTCGCCCGACCCAACCGACCCTCACCGAGTGATTGTGCCGGTTCACGCAATCGACCACACTCGGCCGAATAAGGAGGGGACTACGATAGACATCCCCATACTACTTAGTGGGAAAATTGGGACGGACTTAGTTAAAATCTTCGTAGACGGGGGAGCCTGCCACAGCCTCATCAACACCGCTACAGCACGAAAACTGCGACTGCCACTGGACAAATGTTTACCTGAGATCAACGCACGACTGGTAGACGGCACGCCGCTGGCGATACGGGAACGTGTAGACCGGGTTCGGATTCGATGTGGGGGTAACTTCACGTTTAGCCAGGAAATGCTCGCAACGACCCTCGACGGAACCGATATTTTACTCGGGCGTGATTGGTTGCGACGACACAACCCGCGAATCGACTGGACGACGGGTGACTGCACCGTGCGAGTGAACGGTAACAACATCGCCTTACCTCGCTGGGGCTCACCTGAGTCTTCGTCGGTGCGTGTCAACGCGATCACGATGAAACGTGCCGTAGCGGTAGGAGCTGACGTGTACGCAGTCGACATTCGGGAAGCCGAGGCAGCAGACAAAGGAGGGAATTTACAGAAACTGCTGACCGACGTACCGAGTGACCTGGCAGCACTGTTGAAGTTGTACAGCGACATTTTCCCAGACGATTTTCCAACGGGACTGCCACCTCAGCGACCGCATGACCACAGGATAGAGTTAGAACCGGGGGCACAGCCAACAGTACAGCAACAGTTCCGACTGACCCAGCCCGAACTGGACGAACTAAGGAAGCAGCTCGATTACCTGCTCGAGAAGGAATTCATTCGCCCTTGTTCGTCGCCCTTCTCAGCATCGATACTGTTCACACCGAAAAATGACAGGGGATTTCGCATGTGCATAGATTACAGAGCACTGAACAGAGTTACCATCAAATCCCGTTACCCCATCCCGCGAGTCGACGAACTGATCGACCAACTGCGCACAGCCCAGGTTTTCTCCAAAATCGACCTCCGAGGGGGTTGTGAAAGTTTAGATTAGAGAAGAGGATTGCACTAACAAGAATGGGGATACAAATAGCAAACCCTAGAAGGGTTGTACTCGCTATAGAGCACCCCACTACAGGCTAGAGCATAAGATAACATTCTGACACACCCCCATAGCCAAAGTGGGGTGTAATCATTAGAGCAAGCAGAGCAATACAAGCTCAGGGTGGATCACAATGTCACCACACATTCTGAGCACAAGTTCAAGAGGCAATAGTTTAAAGTTCACAATTACGAGCAAAGCTAGTGGTAGTCACAACGGGCAAGTGAGGAGGAGGAGAGAGAGTGAGAGGAGAGGAGATAGGAGGCGACGGCTGAAGCTGCAGACACACGGGAAACAGGAGGCAGACTGGCACAGCGGCTACCGGGCGAAGCCCCCGGAATACTGGAGTAACTGGCCTCGCGGCTAAAGTAGCGGCAGACGAGCAACGGACCCTCGGGCGGCTGGCACAACTGGCTACGACTGGGCTACCTAGCGAAGTCCCCGGAATACAGGTGCTGCTGGCGACACGACGGCAACCTCCATGCAGCTTCCCCAGACTATCCCACTCCCCCTGGCACACACCCGCTGCTACACCGCTAGCTCCACTCCCACGCACCCCCCTTAAACCCTAAACCCCAGTCTCCCACTCATCCACCCTCCTCAGCGACAGCTGCAGCAGTGGGAGACGAAGGAGGAGGAGGAGCAAAGGGAGGAATGCACAACTGCCACCCCCATACTCGCCACCCCCAAACCCTAACACCGGCAGGGCGGGATGGCGGGTAGGGAGGGTACGGGGGAGGGGGGGGGGGGGGGGGGGGGGGACCGACACGCGGCCTCCCAGGGCGCCAAAACAGGCGGCAGAAGGGGCGGCGCTCGCCCCCCTCCCCCAGGTAGTCCCTCGGTGCGCCGGGAAAAGGGGGGGGGGGGGAGGGCCGGTGCACGTGCCCTCGGTGCGCCACGACGGGTGACACAGCATGGCCGGGGCGAGGCCGGTCCTGGCACAGCCCGTACGGGCCGCGCGCTGCCTGTACGGGCGGCGCGCAGGCCACGACGGGCGACGGGGGGGCGACGCGCGGGTCTTTGTCACCCGTCACAACGCCTCCCGAGGGCGACGCGCCGAGGGACGGGGCAGAAGCCCGCCGCGCGCCTCGGGACGCACGGCGGGCAGAAAACCGCCGCGCGCCTCGGGGCGCACGGCGGGCAGAAAATCGCCGCGCGCCGCGGGGCGCACGGCGGGAAGAAAAACTGCCGCACACCACAGGGCGTGCGGCACGGAGAGTAGCAGTAGTAGTTGCAGCGGAAGCAACGAGGTGGTAAGCCCACCCACAGGATCGATCCAAGGGGATCGACCTGCTCTGATAGCATGTGAAAGTTTAGAAGAGAGAAGAGGATTGCACTAGCAAGAATGGGGATACAAATAGCAAACCCTAGAAGGGTTGTACTCGCTATAGAGCACCCCACTACAGGCTAGAGCATAAGATAACATTATGACAGGGGTTACCACCAGATCCGTGTCAACCCGCCCGACTGCCCTAAGACCGCATTTCGCACACGATACGGATCCTTCGAATACACCGTCATGCCTTTCGGACTGACCAACGCCCCCGCCACTTTTCAAATGACCATGAAAGAGGCTTTCCGCCCGCTCTTAGATAAGTGCGTCATAGTATACCTGGACGACATCCTGATTTATAGCCCTGACAGAGCACAGCACTTACAGGACATCGACGCATTCTTTAAAATCCTGAGTGAGAACCGCCTACTGACCAAAGCGTCTAAGTGTGAGTTTTTACAGGACCGCCTGGAATTTTTGGGACACGTTATTTCAGCTGTAGGAGTGGAAATAGACCCGAAGAAAATTGCAACGATTCAAGCATGGCACGCGCCGACCAACTTGACCGACTTGCAGACTTTTTTGGGGTTCGTCAACTACGTGCGCCGGTTCGTCCCCGACATGGCGAAGCTGACTGCCCCGTAGACTGACCTGCTGAGAAAGGGGGTTGAGTACACGTAGGGGGAGAAAGAGCAAGCTGCCTTCTCGTCCCTCAAAAACATTTTGTGCTCACCGCCCGTGCTTCACATCGCAGATCCACACCGTCCGTTCGAGCTCGTCACTGACGCAAGTGACATCGCTGTGGGAGCAGTGTTGTTGCAGGATTTTGGGAACGGCCTCCAGCCAATCGCGTACGAGTCCCGCAAGCTGCATCCGCCCGAACGCAATTACCCGATACACGACCGCGAAATGTTGGCGATCGTGCACGCGTTCAAGGTTTGGTGGTGTTACCTGACTGGCGCCGACGTGACAGGACGGACAGACCACCGATCACTACAGTACTTACGCGCCCAACCGAATCTCAACCCACGACAGATTCGCCGGTTGGACTACCTCGAGTCCAACTTCCACTACACGGTTACGTACAAGAAAGGCGCATCCAACATCACCGACACACTCACCCGCCCTACTGCCCAGCTCGACACCATCCTACTCGCCCAGACCAACCCACTTTTAACAGACCTATTCAACGACGGATACCGCACCAACCCATTCTTCACGACCGGAAATTCACAGCAACTGGCAGAACCTAAAGGAGTTTATTACGTAAAAACAGGCACCAACCGCATCTGGGTACCCGCGTACTCACTACTGAGGGAGCTGCTACTGCAAGAGGCACACGACGGAATTACCTCGGGACATTTTGGGGTAGAAAAAACGCGACAGCAACTGCAGCGGTATTACTACTGGCCAGAGCTGTTGAGCGACGTACAGCAGCACGTGGGCTCGTGCCCCGCGTGTCACGTGATGAATGTGAAAGTTTAGAAGAAAGTAGAGGGTTGGCACTAGCAAGAATGAGGATACAAATAGCAAACCCTAGAAGGGTTGTACTCGCTATAGAGCACCCCACTACAGGCTAGAGCATAATATTCTGACACACCCCCATAGCCAAAGTGGGGTGTAATCAGCAGAGCAAGCAAAGCAGTACAAGCTCAGGGTGGATCACAATGTCACCACACATTCTGAGCACAAGTTGAAGAAGGAATAGTTTAAAGTTCACAATTATGAGCAAAGATAGAGGCTATCGCAGAGGGCTAGTGTGGAAGAGGGACTATGAGAGGAGAGGAGGGAGTGGGCGGCAACTGAAGCTGTTGGCACACAGCGCAACTGGAGCAACTGGCACACGGGCAACTGGAGCAACTGGCACACTAGCAACTGGAGCAACTGGAGCAACTGGCACACGAGCTACTGGAGTAACTGGCTCCGCGGCAAACAGTAGCGGCAAACGAGCAACGGACTCACGGGCGACTGGAGCAACGGGCTCACGGGCGACTGGCGCAACGGGCTCACGGGCGACTGGTGCAACGGTCTCACGGGCGACTTGAGCTGCTGGCTTCTCGGCGGCCACCCCCTTCAACCTCCCCAAACTATCCCACCCCCATTTCACACACCCCCTACTGCACCCCTAGGGTCACTCACACCCCACCCCCTAGCACCACTCCGTCGACTCCCACACACCCACCCCCCTCAGCGGCAGCTGCAGCAGTGGGAGACAGAGGAGGACAAGCAGGGGAGACCACACACCCGCCACCCCCCAGCGGCCCCCGAAGGAGCCGCGACGGGCGACGGGAAAAGGGGGGGCGGAGGGAAGGAGGCTGTGCCGTAGGTAGGGCGACAGGGCCGAGCCGTAGGTAGGGCGACGGGGCTGTTACGCAGGTAGGGCGACGGGGCCGGGGCGCAGGTAGGGCGACGGGGCCAGGGCAGAGGCGCAGGTAGGGCGACGGGGCCGAAGCACAGGTAGGGCGACGGGGTCGAGGCGCAGGTAGGGCAACGGGGCCGGGGCCGCAGGTAGGGCGACGGGGCCGCAGGTAGGGCGGCAGGACGACGGGGCCGCTGGCGGCTGTTCGGGGCCGATAGGAGCGGCGACGGGGGGCGACGCGCGGGCCCCCCGTCGCCCGTCGCAGCGCCTCCCGGGGGCGACGCGCCGAGTGACGGGGCAGAAACCCGTCGCGCGCCTCGGGGCGCACAACGGGCAGAAAACCGCCGCGCGCCCCGGGGCGCACGGCGGGCAGAAAACCACCGTGCGCCTCGGGGCGCACGGCGGGAAGAAAAAACTGCCGCACGCCACTGGGCATGCGGCACATAGAGTAGCAGTAGCAGTTGCAGCGGAAGCAATGAGGTGGTGAGCCCACCCTCAGGATCGATCCAAGGGGATCGACCTGCTCTGATAGCATGTGAAAATTTAGAAGAAAGGAGAGGGGTTTGCACTAGCAAGAATGAGGTTACAAATAGCAAACCCTAGAAGGGTAATACTCGCTATAGAGCACCCCACTACAGACTAGAGCATAATATTCTGACAATGAAGAGCTCAAGGAAGCGGAGGGCGGGTCAATTGAAGCCGATACCACCGCCCGAGCGCGCCTGGCAGCAGGTTACCATGGACCTTCGTCACAGGGTTACCTTCGAACCCTGGGGGTAACGACGCGGTGATGGTCGTCGTTGACAGATTGACGAAGATGGCACACTTCGCTGCGTGCAAAATGTTGATCTCAGCCGAGGAGACCGCTCAGTCTGTTCATCGTGGCCGTTGTTCGCCTGCACGGGATACCAGCAGCAATTATCAGCGACAGGGACACGAAGTTCACCAGCAACTTCTAGAAGAACCTCTAGGAGCATTTTGGAACCAGGCTACAGTTCAGTTCGTCGTACCACCTCGAGACCGACGGTCAAACGGAGCGGACGAATCAGACGATGGAGTAGTTGATTCGTGCCACGTGCGACGACCCCACGACTTGGGAGTAGCAGCTGCCGCTGATCGAGTTCGCGTACAATAATGCCACGTCAGCGACGACGCATCAGTCCCCCTTCTACTTGAACTACGGGTAAAATCCTACTGTGCCCATGACGCCGAGTCCAGACAACCCAACGCCACGAGCACAGCAATTCGCCGAAATTCTGCAAGCTGCCCGCACCAGAGCCGCAGACGCAATTAAAAAAGCAAACACCATCGCTAAGCGCAACGCTGACCGCCACCGCCACCCAGTCATATACCAGTTAGGGGATTACGTACTGCTCTGTCAGAACATTATAGCTTACTTATTTGTGTAGGCTATAGTGGGATATCCCATAGGGGGTACAACCCAATTAGGGTTTCCTATATGTACTCACTTCATTCATAGTCATTTCATCCTCGTTCTCTATCTCACATGGTATCAGAGCAGGTCCCCTCCTAGGGACTGTTCCTAGGGCCCACCGAAGCGCGCCTCGAGTCGCGCTCTCTTTTTTTTTAGCGACCCGTCGTGTCGCACCCCCCCCCCCCCCTAGCGGCCCGTCGCTGCCGCCCTTTCGGTCGCGCCGAGCTACCTTAGCGGCGATGGCGCGCCGCCCTTGCAGCGGCCTGTCGCGCCGCCCTACCTTGCGGCCCCACCGCCCTACTCCTGCGGCCCCGCCGCCCTACGTCGCGGCCTCGCCGCCCTACCTTTCGACGGCCCCGCCGCCCTACGTCGCGGCCTCGCCGCCCTACCTTTCGACGGCCCCGCCGCCCTACGTCGCGGCCCAGCCGCTCTACTTCGACGGCCCCGCCGCCCTACACCGACAGCTCCACCGCCCTACTTACGCGGCCCCGCCGCCTTACTCCTGCGGCCTCGCCGCCCTACGTCGCGGCCCCGCCGCCCTACCCTTCGACGGCCCCGCCGCCCTACATCGCGGACCCGCCGCCCTACACCGACGGCCCCGCCGCCCTACGTCGCAGCCCCGCCACCCTACACCGACGGCCCCGCCGCCCTACTGACGCGGCCTCGCCGCCCTACTCCTGCGGCCCCGCCGCCCTACTTCGCGGCCCCGCCGCCCTACCTTTCGACGGCCCCGCCGCCCTACTCCTGCGGCCCGCCAGCCGCCCTACCTGCTGCCCTCCCGCAGCTCTACCTGCGGCCCACCCGCCGCCCTACCCACGACCGCCGCGCCGCCCTGAACCAGCGCCACCGAGCCGCCCGACCGCCGGGTCGCCCAGCAGCCGAGCCGCCTAGCCGCCCCGCAGCCGAGCCGCTGAGCCGCCGAGCCGCCCAACAACCGAGCCGCCGAGCCACCCAGCAGCCGAGCAGCCGAGCCGCCGAGCCGCCGAGCAGCCGAGCCGCCCAGCAGCTGAGCCGCCCAGCAGCCGAGCCGCCCAGCAGCCGAGCCGTCGGCTGCTGAGCTGCCCTACTTCCAGACCGCCCGACCTGCCCAGTCTGGTGAGCACAGAGCCTTTATCACTGCACTGCCCTCACCCAACTGTTTGCACTGCAAGAGTCTGTCGTCATGGCTACCCCTAGTGTCCTCGCTTTCGACGCTGAGGGTCGCTGCCATTGACTTTGAGGTCTGGGTCGACGACCTGTAGCTGTTCTTACAGTGCGATAGGGCAGACGGTCTTTCCCTCTTTGACCTCACCTCTGGCGCCTCTCCTGCCCCTGCTGCTGATGCTGACCCTACTGTTCGCTCCCAGTGGGCCACGCGCGATGCTGCTGCACGTCTTGCTGTGCGTCGCCACCTCCCTACCTCTGAGCGTGCGCACTTTAGTCAGTACAAGAGTGCTCAGACCTTGTACGACGCTATAGTTGCACGCTACTCCTCCCCTGCCACTGCTGCACTAAGCCGCCTCATGCTACCCTTCCTCTTCCCTGACCTTGCCGCCTTTCCCACTGTCGCTGATCTCATTACGCACCTCCGCACTAGTGACACCCGCTACCGCGCTGCGCTTCCTGCTGACTTCTGCGCCAAGAACCCCCCCCCCATGTACATCACTCTCTACTTTCTAGTCACCAGCCTCCCTGACTCCCTTCGTGTAGTCCGGGACCACTTTCTCGCGGTCTGTCCCACCACTCTCACAGTCGACAGCCTAGAGAAGGCTCTCCTAGCGGCGGAGAAGAGCATCGTCGCTGTAGGAGCTTCTCAAGGTGACCCCCGCGCCCCCATCTTTGAGGGGTGTTCTCCTTCCCCTCTCTTGCCCTCTGTCGCCTCTGCCGCTGCGGCCGACCTCGTTGGTCTTGAGTCGGTCAGTGCGGCGTCTGCCCCTAGCGGGAGACGCCGCCCTGGCAAGGGCAAGGGGGGCAAGGGAGCGGGTGGGGCTAGCGGGGGCGGTGGCGGTGGAGGTGGAGGCGGCGGAGGGAGTGGGAGTGGCGGTGGAGGAGGTGGCGGGGGTGCGGGTGCTAGTGGTAGCAATGGAGGCGGAGGCGGCGTCGGTGGCGGCGGTACTGGCGGAGGTGGCGGCGGTGGCGGAGGTGGAGGAGGTGGAGGTGGAGGTGGTGGAGGTGGTCGGAGTGGCACTTCACAGCGGAGCGGCACTGGGGGTGGTCAGCGCCAGCAGCACCAGCAGCGTTCTCGCGACGTCCCCACCCCTCAGCAGCTCCGTGAGTGGTACACGCAGCGTCAGCGTGGTGGGGGACTTGGTCCCTGCACCTACGTCCTTCGCACCAGCGACCGCGCGGGTGAGCAGTGTAGGGGTGCCAACCCCACCCAGCGCTGTTTTGGCTGCCTGACGGACGCTTGGCGTCAGCAGTTTCCTGGAGGCCACCGAGATCCCCCGCTGGGGAGAGCTGTCTAGGGCTGGCGTAGCTATCTTTGATCTTGACTTTGATGCTATCCTTGCAGCCATGTATGCTGTGACTATTAGTGATGAGGGTGACTGTTAGAGATGTTTTCCGCCCGACCCGGGCATTGAGACTGTTGCTCTAGGTACTGGTGAGGCTGCTGCCCTAGGTGCTTGCGACGCTGCTGCTCTAGGTGCTGGTGTGTCTGCGTCCTCAGGTACTGGTGAGTCTGCGCTCTCAGGTACTACGTCGGCTTCGGCCTCCCACACCTTCACCCTTGACTCTGGGGCGTCTCGCTCCTTCTTTCGGGATTGCACCACACTCACGCCGCTTAGTCGGCCGGTTGCGGTTTCCCTGGCTGACCCCTCCGGGGGTCCTGTCCTGTCTCGCTTCTCCATTGTCCTCCCGTGTCCGGCGGCTCCCTCTGGCACCCTGTCTGGTCTCTACCTCCCCTCGTTCTCTACGAACTTGGTGAGTGGTGCTGACCTACAGGATGCGGGAGTCCACGAGTTCACCCCTGCTCGTCAGCGGGTGACGCACTGCACAGAGGCTAGCACAGGTCGTCACCTGGCTACGTTTACCCGTCAGCCAGGGTCGAGCCTGTACAGACTGACCACTGCGTCTTCCCCAGTTACTGAGTCTGGTAGGGTCCCTGCGTCTGGTCAGGTGTTTGCTGCAGCGTCCAGGTCTGGTCCTGAGTCTGCCCCCTGTTCGTGTCATCTCCTGTCTCACGAGACTCTCCTCTGGCACCACCGCCTTGGTCACCCCTCTCTGCTTCGGCTCAAAGGCATGGCCTCCCGCTCTTCTTGGTACCAGGTCCCCCCCCGGTAGATCCCCTTCCCCCTCAGGGTCCTGCCCCTTCAGGTGTGTCCCAGGTAGACGCAGTCGAGCCTGTCGAGGTCACTAGTGACTCTGGTGCTGCTGCGGGTGCTGAGCCTAGGGGTGCTGAGACTGGGGGTGCTGAGCCTAGGGGTGCTGCGACTTGGGGTGCTGAGCCTGGGGGTGCGGAGCCTGGGGGTGCGGAGCCTAGGGGTGCTGAGCCTGGGGGTGCTGAGCCTGGGGGTGCTGAGCCTGGGGGTGCAGGGCTTGGAGGTGCTTTGCCTGGGGGTGCTGAGCCTGGAGGTTCTCCGGGTGCTTCGTCTCGCCGAGAGCCACTCTCCCCACTGGAGCTGCGTGAGTGGTTTGCCCGGCGCTGGAGGCGTGCTGCTGGTGCTGGAGGTTCTTCTGCTGCTGAGGGTGCTGGTGTCGCGGGTCCCGGAGGTGCTCGTACTGGGAGTACTGGAGCTGCTGGGCCTGCGGGTACGATTGGAGCTGGTGCTGCTGAGGGTGTTGGCGCTGAGACTACCACTGGCGGTCCTGCTGGGGGTGCTCCTGGTGCTGTTGGAGGTTTTGGAGCTGCTGGAGGTGCTGCTGGAGCGGGTACTCCTGCTGGGGGTACTCGTGTTGTCCCTATTGTGTGTGGCGTCGCCGCGCGGCCTCGACCGTACTTCGTTCCACTCCTGCAGCAGGTTCTTGGTCTTCCACCTTCTACTGGTCCTCCTCCTCCCTTAGAGGGTCCACAGCCTGTCCCGTCACAGTCACAGCTACAGCCTGCCTCCCCCTTACCTACTCCTTCTCCCTACGCAGGTCCTACTGAAGGTCTTACTGAGCGTCGTGAGCCTGCGTCTCGTCCTGCGTCGCCTGTTCGTACTGCACGCGCTAGTGGTCGCAGTTCGCGTCAGCGTCCTCCTCCTGTCCCTGGCACGCACCGGATGTCACTACGTCCGTCTACTGCTCCTCTGCGTGCCCCTTTGCCTTCTCCTCCTACGTCCTCTCTTCCTTCTCTTGCCGACCCGGAGTCAGACTCTCTTCGTGCTGCAAGTCCTACTGTCACGCGTTTCCTTGCTACTGTCGTCACTGACCTTTCTTTTGAGTCTTCTGCTGCGTCTGCCCTCGTTACTGAGCTCGTCGACTTTGCTGCTTGCTGTCGCCTAGACTACGCTGCTAGTCTTGTTGCTGAGTCTGCGTCTGTTTGTCCTCCGTCTGTCGGGGGTGAGTGTGCTCTTGGCACGGACGTCCTTGAGGACAGGCAGGAGGAGTTCCAGTGTCTGGCTGCTGCTTCACCTCATCTCGCGTCTGTACTACTTGCCCCTGAGGGAGACCCGGATGCACTTGACATCCCGACTCCGCGTTCTTACGCGGAGGCCGTAGAGGGTCCCTACTCCTCTCAGTGGCAGGCAGCTATGGATGCAGAGATGGCTTCCTGGAAGTCCACTGGCACCTACATTGACGTTGCCCCCCCTCCTGGGGCGAACATCGTCAGTGGCATGTGGATCTTCAGGGTGAAGCGGCCGCCAGGTTCTCCGTCTGTCTTCAAGGCGTGTTACGTGGCTCGTGGCTTCAGTCAGCGGCAGGGGGTTGACTACTTTCAGACCTTTTCCCCCACCCCGAAGATGACCACTCTTCGGGTACTGCTGCACGTTGCTGCTCACCGTGACTACGAGCTGCACTCTCTCGACTTCAGCACTGCATTTTTGCAGGGCAGCCTGCACGAGGAGATCTGGCTGCGCCGCCCACCTGGCTTCACTGGGTCTTTCCCTCCTGGTACCCAGTGGAGTCACCGACGTCCAGTCTACGGTCTCCGCGAGGCGCCCCGTGAGTGGCACGACACACTGTGGACTACGCTTGCGGCTCTTGGGTTTGCTCCTTCTACTGCCGACTCGTCGCTGTTTCTGCGCACCGACACCTCTCTGCCGCCGTTCTACATCCTCGTGTACGTCGACAACTTGGTCTTTGCCACTGCTGACACTGCTGGACTCGCCTATGTGAAGTTCGAGCTGCAGAAGAGACACATGTGCACTGACCTGGGTGAACTGCGCAGCTACCTTGGCTTGCAGATCACCCGGGACAGAGCACGCCGCACCATTACCCTGACTCAGTCACACATGGTGCAGCAAGTCCTTCAGCGCTTCGGCTTCACGTACTCCTCGTCTCAGGCCACTCGTCTGCCTACTCGCCACTCGCTCTCAGCTCTGCCTTCGGATGAGTCCGTAGAGTCGAGTGGCCCGTATCCAGAGCTTGTTGGCTGCCTCATGTACCTGATGACCTGCACTCGACCTGACCTTGCATACCCTCTTAGCATTCTCGCACGCTATGTTGCTCCTGGGAGACACCGACCAGAGCACATGGCTGCAGCGAAAAGGGTGTTGCGCTACTTGTGCAGTACGTCAGGCATGGGGCTAGTGCTTGGAGGGCGGAGTCCAGTGGTCCTCATTGGGCACGCGGACGCTTCTTAGGCTGACGACAAGGCTACGCAGCGGTCGTCACAGGGTTACACTTTCAGTCTTGGTTCCGACTCTGTTCCTTGGCGGGCTACCCGCTCGTCTTCTGTTTTCGGCTCCAGTTGTGAGGCTGAGATCTACGCTGGGGCTATGGTTGCCCAGGAGCTTCGCTGGCTCACCTACCTGCTGACTGACCTTGGAGAGCCGCCTCGTTCTCCTCCAGTCCTGTACGTAGACAACAAGGCCATGCTGGCCTTGTGTCGAGAGCAGCGACTGGAGCACAGGACAAAGCACATTGCTCTCCGCTACTTCCTTGCTCGTGAGCTACAGCAGCGTGGACAGTTGCGACTTGCGTACGTGGCCTCTGAGGCCAACACTGCTGATGTGTTCACCAAGGCACTTGCGCCTTGTGATGATCAGCACTTCTGCACTCAGTTGGGTCTTGTACCTGTCTTGCCTCACTTGCTCACCTCTTGACCTTGCTTGTAATCTCACATATATATACTCTTGCTCTTGCTTGCTTAGCCTCTTGTCTATCTATATATGTGATCTTGCATGTGAACTGGCCTTTTGGCCTTTGAACTTGTGCTCGGAATGTGTGGTGACTTTGTGATCCACCCTGAGCTTTGCCTTGCTTTGCTTGACTGGTCTTGTGACCCCTTGTTCTCCCCCACTTTGCCTATTGGGGTGTGTCAGAACATTATAGCTTACTTATTTGTATAGGCTATAGTGGGGTATCCCATAGGGGGTACAACCCAATTAGGGTTTCCTATATGTACTCACTTCATTCATAGTCATTTCATCCTCGTTCTCTATCTCACATGCTCGACACGCAATATCTGCGACTGCCCGACGTACCAAAACTTCGACCGCGCTACTGTGGCCCATTCCAAATCAGCCACATGATCACGCCAGTAACCGCGCACCTACTGTTACCAACCGACTGGTACACCAGCCCTTCTTTCCACGTCAGTTTGCTTCGCCCCTACATTCCAACCACAAGCCAACTGCCTCGCCACCGCTCGCCATCCATGACTCGCCCTGGATCGGAGCCGATCATCCAACCCGAAAAAATCTTGAGCCATCGGATTCGACACCCCACAGGACTCAAGAGGATTGAATTCCTCGTCCGCTGGAATGATTGCACGCCAACTGAGGACAGGTCGGTGCCCCTGGCCAATATCGAAAATCACCGTGCCCTGCAAGTGCACTTGAGGAGCCAGGGATTCCGCGATATACACGCACTCACGTAGCGGAGGGGGCTTCTTGAGGGGGGGGGGGGGGGGTAGTGTAAGGAATTTTCTCGGCATTCCTTACGGAGTCCGACTACATCGTGTACAGCAACAGCTGTTGTTCGCCCGTTACGGCTAACGGGGCTTCGCCGACTTCGCGCACACTGTTTTCACCAAACCTCGCACTGCTGGCATGGCCGTGTCGGCCTACGCTTCGGGATTAGCCCGAGCCTCGCTCCAGCGTAGCACTAGCTAGCTCGCACACACCGCGTTACCGTTTGCATGTTTCGCGTATAAATGTTCGCTCATGCATTCGCTCACATTTTGTACTCGCTTGACACCTTAGTGCAATGAATCGAAGTAGCGAAAAAGTTCATGCATGAATATTGAGGCTGGTGAGTAGCGGTTCTTAGTGGTGAATTACATAAAGGCTCTGGATTGTATGTTATCTTTCTCAACCGCTTGTCCTGAACAAGACCCAGATCGTGGTACAATACAGATCTGTACTAGGAGACTTTATTACACCAGATTGTTGTTAGACTTGTACTACTTTACCCGTCATTTGAGTGTTAAATGAGCCAAATAATTCGCATGCTTGCCAATTTTCACCATGGGCAAAATCGGGACTGTAGTGGGCAGGTCAGGAAATGTAACCAGCTTCTTCAAAATATCTCACGAACGGAAGATAGCAGTGTGATAAACTGTGTGCTCAACGGCTGCGATCAAAATATGGGCTTGTATTGTGCGTGCAACTGGCTGGCACCAATTGTAATTGGGCAGGCTGTCGAAACCTATATGACCAAACTCACGTGCAACCGTTGAGCATCTTGTGTACACATTGAATCACGCTGCCAGCTGGAAGTTCCATTGCTGACACCCACATCTCCACTGCACCAAAAGCATTTGACCACATCACGCCACCGACCCTCCATTCCAGCTGGCGGCAGCAGAGCCACTCGTCCCACCGTTGCATGCTGCACTAAAAAACATGGAACAATTGTGCTTGTGGGAACGAATTCAGTCCTCCAAAATACAACTCTCCTGGGGAGGCAACGGTAGAGTAAAATAGGGTTTTCAAGGTACGTACAGGTACAGTTCCCTCCTAATCCTTGCATCGCCCATTATCAAAACTGACGGCGCCGCCTCCAAAGCGCCTGCAAAGCAGTCCTTGTGCCGTTTCCAGCCGGCGATGTGGTGTTGTGTGGGCTGGCATGGCACAGAGTTTCAGAGCGACAAACGTTGAGGGAGATGTCAAGAAAACTCGCTCTTTCTCAGAATGTCCAGGCCGGGCAGGGGAGGGAACGGAAAGAACGAAGGGAACGGAGGAAACGGAGGGAACGAACGGAACGGAGGAATGGAACGACTGCCACGTGAAGTACAAGATTTCTCTAATTGCCCAGTGGATGGAGTTGACCGAATGCAGTACAACTGCTGGTTGGACTGTTGCGTCACATAAATGCTGTTCTCTTTTGTCAAATCCCGCATAGTTCCACAGTACTTTGTAAGCAGGCCGCCTAGCCTTCCAGACAAGAACAGTCCCAGCTGTACCTTGGCTCGGCATTGGCGGGAGCCCCCTCGACAGGCTGGCATGCCTTTGTAGCGAACCAGAATTCGCAGATTCTAGGGCACTAAGAAAAAGATATCGTCTTGTCTGATGATGAACAGTGGAGGCAGAACTGAGGGCAGATGTCCAGCGCAGCATGCGCATGGTGCGTTGCATTGGCCAGGTGACGTGGCGTCCAGGATGGATGGATGGATGGTTTGCGTTGCGCCGCCTGTCCGTGGTTGTTTCAGCTGTCCTGGTGCATCGCGCTCCGCCCCTTCTCCGCAAAGACGGAAGAGTCTTTCTTCCGCCTCTGCGGCATTCCGTTGATCATAACAACCTAGTACACATGATGCTCACCCCCTGCACGCGAAATTGCCTTGCATCCTGATGGAAACCTTGCACCCGTGGGTTTTGTGCCGTGAGGCTGCACCCACGTTACAAGCACGTCAACCAATACAAACCACAGAAACTAAAGTCTGACTGAAGAGAATGCAGTCAAAAAGTCAACGGTGAGTTACAAATCTGTTTACAAGCCCTTTTTGCCCGAAACGAACTGAAGAAACCTCCGCGAAATGCAGGAATCGTTTATACGCCCAGAGGGTAAGGCAAGGTCGGGGGGTTCAACCGGGCATCGTGTGTATATCTCAACGGAACGTAGCAGGCGCGCTAGCGACAAAGCCGCTTCGACAAAACGACAAACTGCCCGGGGCAAAAAAAAAACCCCAGACGGATGGCATGCCATTCGGGAGCCTCAACCCTAAAATTTTAGTTGGCATACGTTTTGATCACACACACATTCCCCTTACCCTGACGTTCCGTTAGTAAGCATCATCGTTCTTACTCTGCACAATCCTGTAAAGCTCATACATGCCTGAGTCGGCGGAGATTAGAGGCTGAATTCGCCTCCTCGCCCGTGTTTTCCGCTTAAAATATGGCGGCAGAGACGACAGGAAAGCCCCGACGGCAGCTCTTCAACAGCCCCGCAAAAGGCGGCGCTGATAACGGCGTCCGTGGCGCCGCCGGGGGCGCCGCTGATGGTGTCCCCGCCTGCGCCGCGACTTCTGGCGGCGGGTTGAAAGAACACCTCGAATCGCGAAAGAAACGCGGCGCGTGGACGGCGGCGGAGGACGTGGAGCTGCGCGCTTACGTGGCAAAGTTCGGCGCGGGAAATTGGAAGCACGTGGCGGAGGCGACGGCGTTGAAACGCGACGCGCAGAGCTGCCGTCTGCGGTGGTCCAGCCACCTAGACCCTAAGGTACGCATGGGGCACGTCACGAAAATGAGGCGAAGGGGAGGGGGGAGGCGGAGAGGGGAGGGGGAGGGGGAGGGGGAAGGGGGAGGGGCGAGGGGGGGTGTGGGAGGGGGAGGGGGGGGGGGGGGGGGGTGGGGGGGGGGGGGGGAAGGGAGGGGGGAGGGTAGGAGAAAGGGAGGGGAAACGGTGGAGTGTCCTGGGCTCTTCAATGCAGGTCAACCGCGCTCTCTTTCTGACAGGCGATCTGCTCATTCTCCTCTCCCCCCATTTCCCCGCTCTTTAGTGCAGTCAACCGCGCTCTCTTTTTGACGGCTCTGTCTATTGTCCTCTCACCCCATCTTCCCTCCTCCCTTCCCCCCCTTCCCCCCTCCCCCCCCTCTTACCCCCTTCACCCAGCCCCAGCTTCCGCAAATGCAGGTCAAACGCACTCCATTTGTGACCACTCTGCCTATTTCCCTCTTCTCCTCCCCCTCATCCTCCCCTCCCCCTCCCCACCCCTTCCTGGGGCTCCTTCCTTTCACCCCACCCGCCCTCTCCTGCTCTTTCCCATTCCCCCTCCCCTCCCTCTTCCCCCCTACCCCCTAATGCAGGTCAACCGCGCCCCATACACGCCAGAGGAAGACGCCCGGCCCGACTGCTAGCAAGTGTCGCATGAACCTCCCACAGCTATTTTCGGCTGACTCAACCCTGCCTTCCCATCTTCCCTCCACCAATGCAGGTCAACCGCGCGCCATTCACACCAGAAGAGGATGCAAGACTGCTAGCGAGCGTATCGTTGGGCACCCACGGCTATTTTCCGCTTACTTACCTCTGCTACCCATCTTCCCACCCCACCAATGCAGGTCAACCGCGCCCCATTCACGCCAGAGGAGGATGCAAGACTGCTAGCGAGCGTTGCGTGGAGCTCCCACGGCGAAACCAAGTGGGCTGGGATCGCCTCGGCGAAATTCCCCTCGCGAACTGGTTACCAGATTCAGAGCCGCTGGCACAGCCTGGTGAACAAGCAGCGCCGGTGGATCAACGAGGGGAAAGAACTCCCCCCCTGCCTTGAAGGCGCGGGCACGGAGCGGGGGCAAGGAAATACTACTACCGCCACAGACGCTGCACCTGTTGCCACCCCGCCTGGAAGGTCGGCAGGAAACACTAGCCCTGCTACTGTCACCCTGCCGCCCGATGCCGCCCGGGGGCAGTCGGCGAGAAAAACAGCTGCCACAGATGCTTTGGCCGTTGTGACAGGTGGAACTACGGCACATGCCACATGCCCCATTACCCCCGGCACTACTGCCTCAGGTGCTTTTTCAGGTGCTATCTCTGTTGTTGCCTCAGGTAATTTCCCAGGACTTTCCTCAGGTTGTTCCTCAGGTGTTTTGCCGAGTGTTGCTCCAAGCTGTTGCTGCTTCAATTGCCGCTGGAGACTCTACTGATCCCTCAGCCGTTGCTGCATTCATCCTAGCCCTCCAATCCGCAATCAACGGCCGCCCTCAACCCGCAGGCTCAGGCAAAAATTTAGAACCATCCACCCCTCTGAATGCTTCCGTTGGTGCTGCTGCTACTCCCTCAACCACTGCTGCGTTCATCCTAGCCCTCCAATCCGCAATCAACAGCCGCCCTCAATCCCCAAGCTCAGGGACCCAAATAGACCCATCCACTCCTGCACGTGTTTCCCTTGCTGCTGCTGCTGCTGCTGCTACATCCCCTTTAGGTGCTTCCTCTGTTGGTGCTACCCCTGCTGCTGCTGCTGCTGCTGCTGCTGCTCCCTCAGACGTTGCTGCGTTCATCCAGGCCCTTCAATCGGCAATCAACGGCCGTGATCTATCCTCGAGTTCGACAACCACCCTTCCATATCCCACCACCCATGTGGATACACCCTTCCGCCATTCCACGACCGTTCAGGAAGCCACCCAACCGGATTCAACCGTTTCTAAATGTTCCTCGGTGCAACTGCTGCTTGGTTCCTCGGATTTCACCACCAGTTTGAAACGACCCCACACCGCTCTACTGCCACCCACCACCGCTCTGTTACCACCCAGCACCGCTCTTCCACGTCCCATCACCGCACCGGCAACAGCATCACCAGCAGCAGCACGGGAGCTTACTCTCTTTCCAGTCACCCCTCAATCTGCTTGCAGCAAGAGTGATTCCGATTCACAAGCCTCTGGCCTTAGTCTAGCCCTTTCCCTGCAACCCCCTACTCATTCTTTCAACACACATGCCACTGCCACTGTTTCTCCAACAAGGCTTAATAATCGGGTGGATGCTGATCAGTCAACACTCGTAGGGGCGGACATGCTGGTTAGGTCCGAAAGCGGCAACGGTTGGATAATGAAGCGTGCTTATAACGAGGCTTTTGTGCCTGAGGCTGCTGAAGCAGAAGCTGATGCAGCTGACGTGGCACAAGGCGCGCTAAGAAGCATGGCACAGCAAGGCACGGCACACATGCAAGGGGGCATGGCACAGCATGGGGCTGGTATACGGGAACCCAATGAGGTGACATTGGGATGCGACGACCGGATTGCAAAGCGAGTCAGGACCGAAGCAGAGAGAATGGCTACGGTTGAGACGCCTCAGGGATTCTCCCAAGACGTGCAAGGCATGTTGAGTTGTCAGATGACAAATGGATGTGCCATCCCTGCCATCCCACGTTCAAGCAGCGGGGGCAGCAGCACGTGCAGCAATGCAGTAGCATGTGGGGGTGAGGATAAGGAATGGAATGGAATGCAGATGCAGGGTGTTGAGGCAGGGGTTTTGCTGGAACAGCGGAGGAGGCAGCAGCATGCTCAGGAGGTTCAGTGGGAGAGAGAAAAGAAGTTGCTGCTCTGTGGGAAGCAGCTGAGGAGCGAAGGGAGGGAGGAGGGGGAGGGGAGAGAGGGTGGGAGAGAACAGAGACATTATCAGCAGCAGCGACAGCAGCAGCACCAGCATCATCAGCAACAACAGCGGCAGCAGCAGCAGCAGCAGCTGCACCAGCAGTTGGCTCTGCAAGTGATTGCAGGGTTGCTGCTGAAACATGGATGAAATATGGGGCTTGGTGTGGCAGTACCAGCACCATGAACAGCAACAGAAGCAGCAGCAGCCACTGTACCAGCAGTTGGCTCTGCATGTGATTGCAGGTCTGCTGATGAAACATGGATGAAGCATGGGTCTTGATGTGGCAGTACCAGCACCATGAACAGCATCAGAAGCAGCTGTAGCACAAGACGCAGTACGAGTCGCGGCAGCAGCAGCACGAGTTAAGGCAGCAGCAGCACGTGCCGCTGCAGCAGCAGCAGCACGAGCCGCGGCAGCAGCTTTACCATACCTAAGTTGACAATGGTTTTGTGTACAAATACCTCTGTCCTTATATGGCATGCTGAAATATGGATAGGTAGTGTAGAATTCGTAGGTTGAGTTGCTTAGCTCGAGTTGCTCTGTTCATGGCAGATATTTCTGTTTCCTCGTTTTCTGATGTGGAATTCAGCGAGTATGGATGTGAATATACAATACTATGTTTCAGAAACATTCACCTTATGTTGCAATTCTCCATTGTAGGAACTGTTCTGAAATAAACTGCTTTGAAGTGATGTAAGTCAGTCAAGTAGACGAACAAGCTTGGGAGATGCCGAAGCCGAACAACAAACGTAGAACAGAAGCGGCTCTTTTCTTCCTTCCGCTTCTTCCGATGATCCGACGAGTGGCGGCGGTGGTACTAGTAGCTGCAGCTACGATGATACCGCGATTCACGTTTCAAGCCTTTCATTCCTGCTGCTGCAAAACCTGCTCCACCTGCTGGTACTAGTAGCTGCAGCTACGATGACACGGTTTCAAGCCTCTCATTCCTGCTGCTGCACAGCCGCACCGCGGAATCCCTTACTGACAGTCTGACTGAGTCGGTACTAAACCGCGGAGCTTTCAGGCTGAATCTTCCCCCCCTCGCCCGTGTTTCCCGCTCAAAAGACTCTCTCGGAATGGCGGCAGAGACGACAGGATCGCGGCAGCGGCGACTCTTGAACAGCCCCGCAACTGGCGGCGCTGATAGCGGCGTCCGTGGCGCCGCCAAGGGCGCCGCTGACCCTGTCCCCGCCCGCGCCGCAACTTCCGGCGGGTTGAAAGCAAGGGTCAAATCGGGGAGGAAGCGCGGGGCGTGGACGGCGGCGGAGGACGCGGAGCTGCGCGCTTACGTGGCAAAGTACGGCGCGGGAAACTGGAAGCACGTGGCGGATGCGACGGCGTTGAAACGCGACGCGCAGAGCTGCCGCCTGCGGTGGTCCAGCTGTCTCAACCCTAAGGTACGGGTGCCACAACTGCGGGGAGGGCGAGGGGAGGGGGAGGGGAGGGGAGGGGAGGGGAGGGGGAGGGGGAGGGGGAGGGGGAGGGAGGGGAGTGGGAGGGAATGGGAAGGGGATGGGGAGGGGAGGGGGGGAGGGGAGGAGGAAGGTGCGGGGAGGTTTGGGGGGGCGGGGGGGGGGGGGGAGGGGGGGGGGGGGAGGAAGGTGATTCTCTGCGGACGCGCAAAGCTTCCATCTACGGTGGTTCAGCAACGGTGGTCGGTGCGCGTTGACTGAGAGCGTCAAGAAAATGGGGTGTGGAAAGGGCGGAAGGGAGGGGGAAGGGGAGAGGAGGGGGAAGGTGTGTGCGGGAGGGGAAGAGGGCACGGAGGGTGGGTATGCGTAGTAAAAGGGAAGAGAGTGGGAAAAGTAGAAGGAACATTCCTTGGAATGCGAGAAATGTAATGCTTTTTCGTTCTTGATCTGACAATAGCCCCACCTCCTGCCTCCCTCCGCCCTACTTGCCCCCCTATTCCCCTCTCCCTCCCCCTATCCCGCAATGCAGGGCCACCAAGGGACATTCATGACAGCTCAGCCAATCCCCCTCCCAAACAGCTTCTGGCCGTGCCAAACCCATCCCGATATTTCAGTCGACTCAATATTCCGCCCTTTCCCTGCCTCATCTCCCCAACCCCCCAAATGCAGGTCAACCGCGCGCCATTCACGCCAGAGGAAGACACAAGACTGCTAGCGAGCGTCGCGTGGGGCTCCCACGGCGAAACCAAGTGGGCAGCAATCGCCTCGGCGAAACTCCCTTGGCGAAATGGTTACCAGATTCAGAGCCGCTGGCACAGCTTAGTGAAGAAGCAGCGCTGGTGGATCCACCCTCCCGCTGGAAGTGGCTCCTTGAGGGGGGGACTAAGGACTTCCCCCCAACGGGGAGGGTTATCAGAATCAGAGCTGCTGGCACAGCACAGCCTCGTGAACAAGCAGCGCCGGTGGATCAACCCTCCCGCTGGTGGTGGCTGCCCAGGGGGGGCACTCCCCCCCAAAGGGGGGGATGAAGGCCGAGGAGAGCTCCCCCCTCCCCTCGAAGGGGGCGGGGAGGGTTATGAGATTCAGAGCTGCTGGCACAGCCCAGCCTCGTGAACAAGCAGCGCCGGTGCCTCAACCCGCCTGATGCTGGTGGCTGCCCAAGAAGAAAGTCGTCAGCGGGGTGAAACACTTACACTAGTCCTACGTGTTTTGAGTCGACTCTAAACTCACCAAAGGGGGACAACTACACTAGTACTAGTGTTGGAGCTTCTGTCAACCTGCCCGCTGCCACCACTCGCGGAGGGTCATGGGCGGCAAACACCACTCCCGCTGCAGATGCACCGCCCGCTGCCACCACTCGCAGAGGGTCGTGGGCGGCAAACACAACTCCCGCTGCAGATGCGCCGCCCGCTGCCGCCTGCAATCGGTCCGCGAGAAAACCCGTCGCTGCTGCGGATTCTCGACCTACCATGACAGGCAGTGGAATGGTAACAGCTGCTACCCCAGGTGCTATCTCGGGTGCTGCCTCAGGTGCTATCTCAGGTGCTGCCTCAGGTGCTACCTCAGGTGTTTTCTCAGGTGGTGCGTCAGGTGTTTTCTCAGGTGGTTCCTCGGGTGTTTCGCCAGGTGATTCCCCAGGTGCCGCTGCTCCAATCATCACTGCAGCCTCTGCAGATCCCTCAGCCGTTGCTGCGTTCATCCTGACCCTCCAATCCGCAATCAACGGCCTCCCTCAATCCGCAAGCTCAGGGAAATGTTTAGAACCATCCACCCCTGCGCGTTCTTCCATTGCTGCTGCTGCTGCTGCTGCTGCTGCTGCTGCTGCCCCTGCTGCTGCTACTCCCTCAACCACTGCTGCGTTCATCCAGCCCCTTCTCTCTGCAGGCAACGGCCCTCTTCAAACACCTACTAGCCCTACCACCCGTCTCCTTCCCACCCTCCAATCAGACCCATCCACACGTACGCGTGCTCCCCTTGCTGCTACTGCTGCTGCCACTGCCGCTGCCTCTGCTGCTGCCACTGCTACTCCCTCAGCCATTGCTGCGTTCATCCAGGCCCTTCAATCCACAATCAACGGCCGTGATCAACCAGCATCAGCATCAGCATCTGCACCAGCATCAGCATCATCAGCATCACCAGCACCAGCATCAGCATTGTAGCTTCCTCTCTTCCCAGTTACCCCTCAATCTGCCTGCAGCAAAAGTGATTCCAGCCCGCACCACACCACCGCTCTTCCTCGACCCAACACCGCACCATCACCATCACCAGCACCATCACCTGCACCAGCACCAGCACCAGCACCAGCACCATCACCAGCACCAGCACCATCACCAGCAGCAGCATCACCAGCAGCAGCATTGGAGCTTCCTCTCTTCCTAGTTACCCCTCAATCCGCCTGCAGCAAAAGCGATTCCGATTCACCGGGTTCTGATTCCAACACCACACCAGCAACAGCATCATCAGCAGCAGCATCATCAGCAGCAGCATCACCAGCAGCAGCATCACCAGCAGCAGCAACACCAGAAACAGCATCACCAGCAGCAGCATCACCAGTAACAGCATCACCAGCATTAGCATCACCAGCAACAGCTTCGGAGCTTCCTCTCTTCCCAGTTTCCCCTCAATCTGCCTGCAGCAAAAGCGATTCCGATTCACAAGCTTCCGGCCTTTGTCTCGTCCTTTCCCTGCAACCACCCGCACATGCTTCCAGCACACATGCTGCTGCCGCTGTTACTCCGACAAGGCTTGATGGGGAGAATGCTGATCAGTCAACACTTGGAGGAGCTGACATGCTAGTTCGATCCCACAGCGGCAACGGGTGGATAATGAAGCGTGCTTATAGCGAGGCTTTTGGGCCTGAGGTTGCTGAAGTTGACACCGCTGAACCCCATGCTGCTGACGTGGCCCATGACATGGCACAGCAAGAGGGCATGGAACAGAGTATGGCACAGTATGGGGCTGGTATAACTGAACACAGTGAGGCAGCATATGGATGTGTTGAGCGCTCTGCAAAGCGGTTGAGGGCTGAAGCAGAGAGATTGACCGGTTTCAAGACGCCTCAAGGGTGTTCTCAAGACATGCTGCAAGGGATGCTGAAAAGCGTGGCACTGGGCAAGACACAAGCCACAGCACGGCATGGGGTTAGTGGCATTTCCGAACGCATTGATGGATGTGCCATGTATGGATGTGCCATGTATGGATGTGCCATTCCTACCGCCCTGGCATCCCACGCCCAAGCAGCGGGGGCAGCAGCACGTGCAGCAATGCAGTGGCATGTGCAGGAAGGGGTGGGGTGACATCTGGCATGTGCGATGGGCTGCAGATGATGCAGTTGCAGGGAGGTTGGGGCTTTGCTGGAACAGCAGAGGAGGCAGCAGCAGGCTCAGGAGGTTCAGTGGGAGAGAGAAAAGAAGTTGCTGCTCTGTGTGCAACAGGGGAGAGGAGATGGGAGAGAGGAGGGGGGAAAGGAGAAGAGACAGCAGAGACAGCATCAGCAGCAGCATCAGGAGCATCATGAACGGGAGCAGCAGCCACTGTACCAGCAATTGGCTGTGCATGTGCTTGCAGGTCTGCTGATGAAACATGGCTGAAGCACAGAGCTAGGTGTTGCAGTACCAGCACCATCAACAGCAACGGAAGCAGCAGCACGAGCCGCAGCAGCACGAGCCGCAGCAGCAGCACGAGCCGCAGCAGCAGCACGAGCCGCAGCAGCAGCACGAGCCGCAGCAGCAGCACGAGCCGCAGCAGCAGCACGAGCCGCAGCAGCAGCACGAGCCGCTTTACCATTCCTAAGTTGACAATAGTTCTGTACCAAATACCAAAGATGGCTTGCTGAAATTTGGATAAATAGTGCAGAATTTGTGTAAATCCTTACTGTTGGTTGAGTTGCTGTCCTCGTGTCAAACCTTACTGTGGTTGTGATTGTGAGTGCAATATTTTTTCTTACTCCATTGTTGAGGTGAATGTACAATGCTATGTATCAATGACATTATTCTCACTATGTAGTAATTTCCCACCATATGATCTCAACATGACTATCCCAATTTTTAAATTTACTTTGGTAGGGGCCGCGCGAACGCGAGCCCCCTCTGCCACAAATTATGACGTGCATCACCGGGAGTTCCGGCGTGCTAGGGACAGGGCCGGCCGTAGTGCAATGGCGGGCCCGTCCCTAGGCCATCGGCCTTATTGATCACCGATTGACCCCGCCCAGGTAAGTATAAATTTCCAAGATACGTAGTTCCATTTATGAGGCGCCGAAGTGATTTTGTACATTCGTATGTTGTGGGTAGCATCTGCCACGTGTCGTTTCGAGATGGTTGGTTCGGGACTCAAGAAGCTGGTTTGTCTGGGGACCTCGCACCTCGTTATCCAGGAGACGCGGGTTCGATCCCTGCAACAGTCAATATTCCTCACTTGGAACTTCGTACTTCACGCCACTTGGTATCCGGTGCTTTCACCTGCTCGTCAATTCTAAGCGGAATGCATATCTCGCGAGTGCATCTAACGCGTTCGCATCTTTTAAGAATCTCCGTCGCGACTAGCTTTAGAACGGATCTAGCCAACGCAGTCCGCAATTGTAGCTCTAAGAACCTAACCGCCCAATCCGGTTGTGCGTTAACGATTCAAAAGCAGAATCAACAGCGACAACTTTCGCCCGCGTTTCGCGTTGTTACTCCTCCGCTTTCCCCTTTCGCGGAGCACGCGCGGAGCATTTTCAGCCTCTCTGCTGGATCGCGGACAGCGGTGAGACCGGCGGAAACAGAGGCAGGGGCGGGGTTGGCGGAAACGGCGGAAGGGGCGGGAATGGCGGAAGCGGGGCCGACGGGGATGGCGGAAACAATGGCGGCAGGGGCGGGAATGGCGGAAGCGGCGGCGACGGGGGCAGCAGCTCCTTCCGCGGGGGTCAGCACGATTGGTCCAGCAGAGGCATCGTCAGCCGTCGATTTCTTGATGATGATCCAGCCGCTAAAGGTCCGGCGATCCGACGGTACAGAGGCTAGATTCACCTTATCAGCGCATACCTGTGTTTGAGATCTGTGAACAGTCAAAACAGTTCGGGAAAGTACGATTGCTTGTAACCGTTATCAGAATTCTCAAAAGCGAGACAATCATCAGAACGAGCGCGTACCTTTGCCCGCGCCCCTCCAGGAGAGCGATCGATTGCGAGGCGGTTTGCGCGCGTGGCGTGTGGAGGGAGATTTTTGCGGCACGTATTTCTGAGTCGATAGTCAACAAGCTTTTGAGTCACTCAAAAACGTCGCCATCTGATGAGTCGGTTTTTGAGTCGACTCAAAAACCGACTCATCACACGCGTATTTTTGAGACGATAGTCAACATGCTTTCAAGTCACTCAAAAAACGCCGCCATCTCCCTCTCAAAAACAGGGACGGTTTGCGCGCGTGGCGTGTGGAGGGAGATTATCGAAGCACGTATTTCTGAGTCGATAGTCAACATGCTCATGGGGCCATGCGTGATTTTTGAGGCACCTCAAAAATCGTCTCATGGGGCCATGCGTGCCTCCCCCCCCCCCACTTCCCTGTCTCTCTCGTTTTGAGGCGCCTCAAAACTGAGACGATAGTCAACATGCTCATGGGGCCATGCGTGCCCGCCCCCCCCCCCCCCCCCCCACTTCTCTGCCTCTCTCCTCGCCTCCCTTCCCTCCCTGTTCCTCCCTAAACCCTGTCTCTTCAGACCCTGAAGCGCAAGGGGTGGGTGGGTGAATCGGCGAGCATTCTTCTTTCCCAACACATTCTCCACTCCCCACCGCTCCCTTCCCCTCCCCCCATTGCCGCCCCAACTCCCCACACTCTCAGACATTAAAGGGGAGGGGATGGGTGAAGCGGGGAGTGCAGGGGCCAGAGTCGATTGAAGATCGTTCCTCTTTCCCAGCCCCTTCCCCACTCCCCACCCTCCCCTGTCCCCCCATTGCCCCCCAACTCCCCACACTCTCAGACATTAAAGGGGAGGGGACGGGATGGGTGAAGCGGGGAGTGCAGGGGCCAGAGTGGATTGAAGGTCGTTCCTCTTTACCCTTTTGAGGCGCCTCAAAAGTAGGCGAGCAAACCTTATTTCCAACTCTTTCCCCACTCCCCACCCCTCCCTTCCCCCCATTGCCCAACCCCCACAATCTCAGACGTTGAAACGGACAGGGTGGGTTAAGCGGGGAGTGCAGGGCGCAGAGTCGATCGGCGACCACATGCACCGCATGGCGCTCATGGCGTTTGTCTTGGCTGGAGTGGAGGGGATCGATAGAGAGAGGTGAGTGCGGGTAGTGAGGAGGGGTGTGTGGAAATGAGGTGGGGGCTGAGGGATTTGGGAGGTGCAGGGCCCTGCCAGAGTCGATCGGCGACCACATGCATCGCATGGCGCTCAGGCGTTTGTGTTGGCTGGAGTGGAGGGGATCGATAGAGAGAGGTGAGTGCGGGTAGTGAGGGGTGTGTGGAAAGCAGGTGAGGGTTAGGGGTGATGAGGTTACGGGGAGCTGGTGGATAGACATGCACCGCATGGCGCTCCACCCAGCACGAACGCCATCAGGGCCATGAGAGGTGAGTGCTGGGTAGTGAGGGGTGTGTCGAAAGGAGGTGAGGGTTGCAGGATTTGGGTGGTGCAGGGGCCAGAGTCGATAGGCGACCACATGCACCGCATGGCTCTGATGGCGTTTGTGTTGTCTGGTGTTGAGGGGATCGACAGAGAGAGGTGAGGGGAGGGGAGAGGGGGGTTGAGTGGGTGGAAAGGTATGGGAGACGGATGGGAGAGGTTTTATGGGAAGGGAGCTGGGGAGGGCAGCGGGATAGGATACATATGACAAAGAAATCGCAAGACAATAATGTCCTTTGTGTGTGTGTGCCTCGTGTGTCTGCGTGTGCCACGTGTGTGTCTGTGTGTGCCACGTGTACATATCCCGCCTTGTGTGTATATCAACAGATGCATCAAGATGGCAATTGTGCATGACGTGGCAGAAGGTACGCACTCAACCCCTCTCAACCCCTTTCCACCTGCACTCAACCCCTCTCCACCTGCCATCCCCCTCTGAAAATTCCCTCAAATACTCCTCACTTCCCCCGTTCACAACAAACAACCCCACTCACGTCTTCCTCCTGCCCCCTCTCTCATCTCTTCTCGTCTGCCACATCCTCTGTTCACAACCCTTCACACACCGTCCCTTTTGAGTCGACTCAAAAGTCACCTCGACTCAAAAGTCAGCTCAGTCGACGCAAAAGGCGACTCAAAAGTCAGCTCAGTTGACGCAAAAGTCAGCTCAGTCGACGCAAAAGTCGACTCAAAAGTCAGCTCAGTCGACGCAAAAGTCAGCTCAGTCGACGCAAAAGTCGACTCAAAAGTCATCTCGTCCGCCACATCCTCTCTTCACAACCCTTCACACACCGTCCCTTTTGAGTCGACTCAAAAGTCACTTCGACTCAAAAGTCACCAGCTCGACGCAAAAGTCGACTCAAAAGTCAGCTCAGTCGACGCAAAGGTCGACTCAAAAGTCAGCTCAGTCGACGCAAAAGTCATGCTCAGTCGACGCAAAAGTCGACTCAAAAGTCATCTCGTCCGCCACATCCTCTCTTCACAACCCTTCACCACACCGTCCCTTTTGAGTCGACTCAAAAGTCACTTCGACTCAAAAGTCACCTCGACTCAAAAGTCACCTCGACTCAAAAGTAACCTCGACTCAAAAGTCGACTTAAAAAGTCTTCTCGTCTGCCACATCCTCACTTCACAACCCTTCACCACACCGTCCCTTCCCGACTCTTCTCCGTTCAGCAATAGCGGGTGACATCACACCGGCCGTGCGGAGTGGGTAAGGGTGAGAAGCAAGCATCACATGGTGAGAAGCAAGCATCACATGGTGAGAAGCAAGCATCACATGGTGAGAAGCAAGCATCACATGGTGAGAAGCAAGCATCACATGGTGAGAAGCAAGCATCACATGGTGAGAAGCAAGCATCACATGGTGAGAAGCAAGCATCACATGGTGAGAAGCAAGCATCACATGGTGAGAAGCAAGCATCACATGGTGAGAAGCAAGCATCACATGGTGAGAAGCAAGCATCACATGGTGAGAAGCAAGCATCACATGGTGAGAAGCAAGCATCACATGGTGAGGTGAGGGACGCTCTGGGGCAGATGAGGGACGCTCTGGGGCAGATGAGGGACGCTCTGGGGCAGATGAGTGACGCTCTCCCTCCCACACCTTCTCTCCCCGCACTCCTTCTCTCCTCCCACACCCCTTTGCTCCCCTTCTCCCTTGCAGCAATAGCAGGGGACATCACGCCATCGTGCGGAGCGGAGTGGGCAAGGAGGAGAAGCACCAAATGGAGAGGGGGCCTCTGTGGCAGATGTGCGCTGCTCTCTCCCCTCCACGCCTTCTCCCCTCCCATACACCCCGTCTCCGCTGACGCCTCCTCCCCCTCTCTCCCTTGCAACAATAGCCGGTGACATCACACCATCCTGCGGAGTGGGCAAGGAGGAGAGGCACCAAATGGAGAGGGGGCCTTTGGGGCAGATGTGATTGAAGAAGTGTTTTGAGACGTCTCAACAAATCCTTCAAGCCTTTGGGGCAGATGTGCGCTGCTCTCTTCCCCTCTCCTTTCCAGCAGCAGCAGGCAGACTGGTGACTGTCTGATGATTGCCTCTTCACCCTCTCTCCCCCCTCCTCCCCCTCTCTCCCTGGCAGCAATTGCAGGGGACATCACGCCATCCTGCGGAGTGGGCAAGGAGGAGAAGCACCAAATGGAAACGGATGCTCTTGAGAAGATGTGTGGTGCCCTAGGCCCCAACCGCAAGGCGGCAGGTGAGGGATAGGAAGGGCGTGCGGAATCGGTAAGGAGGAGAAGCACCAAATGGAAACGGATGCTCTCGAGAAGATGTGTGCTGCTTTGGGTCCCAACTGCAAGGCAGCAGGTGAGGGTGAAGTGAAGGAGCATGTGAGAGCTAAGAGGAGCATGTGAGGGCTAAGAGGAGCATGTGTGGGCTGAGAGGAGCATAGGGCGGATGTGGGTGTGTGTAGGATGGGGAGAGGGACGCTCTGGGGGAGATGTGCGAAGCCCTGCGACCAAAACGCAAGGCAGCAGGGGAGAGAGAGGCAGATGATTAAGTTGAGGGAGTGAAGCAGATGAAAAAATTAGTTGAGGGAGTGAAGCAGATGCGTGCTTGTATCTGTGTCACGAGCACCGCAGGGGGAGAGGGACGCTCTGGGGCAAATGTGTGCCACCCTGGGGCCCAAACCGCACGGCAGCAGGTGGGTGTTAAGAGGAGAATTTTGGTCTGTGTTGTGCGGAGTGGGCAAGGAGGAGAAGCATTATGTAATGGTCATATGGAGAGGGACGCACTGGGGCAGATGTGTGCTGCTTTGGGACCAACCCGCAAAGCAGCAGGTGAGTTGGGATGATAGAACGGGCATTTCCCCACCCGCTCCCCCCCCCTCGTCCTCTCCCACCCGCTCCCCCCCCCTCTTGCCCGCTCCTGCCCCCCCTCCACACCAGCCGAGATGCTCACTCTCTGGGAGGAGTATGAAGCGAACGAGACAAACGAGGTGTGCCCTTGCCTTGCTCTCCTCACCTTCCACTCTTTCCCTCCAACCGCTTCTCCCCCTCCCCTCTCCCCCACCACCAGCTGAGATGCGCGCTCTCTGGGAGGAGTATGAAGCAAACGAGACAAACGAAGCCCGACTGGTGAAGGATTTTGATAAGGTGAGACACACACACACACACACACACGCACGCACGCACGCACGCACGCACGCACGCACGCACGCACGCACGCACGCACGCACGCACGCACGCGCGCACGCACGCACGCACGCACGCACGCACGCGCGCGCGCGCGCGCGCGCACACACACACACACACACACACTTCCTTGACCTGTGTTACATGTCTTTTGTGATTTTTTTCAAAGGTGACCTGACATAATCACATATTCACATCTCTTCATTTCTCCCCCTTTTTTTCTGTTTTTTCTTTGTCTTTTGCAAATTGCCCATCCTCACACGTGAAACTCTATCTTCCCAATTACCATGAAATTCTGTCATGTGCCTAAAGATGATTTTGCAGAGTAGGGAAGGACTCGAACCATAGCAAGCCGTGTAAAATTTTTCATGTGCCTAAAGATGATTTTGCAAGCACATGAGTACAATCTGATGTTAGATCAACTCAAAACTCTCTCTCCATTTCTCCCCGTTTTTCTTCTTCTTTGCTGTTTCCAACTTACCTATCCTCACACATGATACTCTATCTTCCCAAACACCAGCTGGAGATGATTTTGCAAGCACATGAGTATGAGCAAGGTGAGCTATACAGGAGCCGATCATATCAAGAGAGTCATGCTTCCCACTTTACCTCCCACCCACCACACACACAACCCTTCTGTCATCTGCTTTCCTGTTGCTTTCCTGTGGTGTTGTTGCTTCTTGAGGTGTCTCAGTGGTTCGGACTCGTTTTTTCTTTTTTTTTACGTCTCAAAACTTTCTGAGGTGTCCTAATGGTTCACACTTTTTTTTTTCTGCCCTTCACTCTCAACCCTTCTGTTATGTTCTCTGTCTGACATATATTTTCTGTCTCCTTCACAACCCTCCTGTCTCCACACATGCCACTTTTCTTTCTCCTTACCTCTATGCAGTGTACGCACACTCATATATCACTTTCCTGCCACGTGCACCTTTTTATCAAATACACTGATATCACCTTTGTTTCCGCTGCACCTGAATACGCTCAATTGCATCATATGCTTCCCGTGCTGTTCCATAACCCATCATGTGCACCCATTTCTCGCCGATTTCCCCTTCACCCTTGCATCATGTGCTTCTCGTGCTGCTGCGAAGCCCAAGACATGGAGCTTCAAGAATTCTTCGAGTCAACAAAAGGTACTGATCATTTCGCATATGATCTCAGTGAGCAAATTGGAGGGGAGTGAGGGGGGGAGGGGGGGGGGAAGGGGAGGAAGGTGGGGGGAGGACGGGTTGTCGATTCGAGTGCTTCCCATGCATAGCCCAAGGCATGGAGCTTCAAGAATTCTTCAACTCAACAAAAGGTACATTGACTAGAAGAAGGCATGGAGTGTCAAGAGATTTGAGACGCATTAGACAGGGAGCTCTAAGAATCCTTTGACTTGACAAAATGTACACTCATTAGCTCACATAACAGTGGGAGAGGGGGGGGTGGAGAAGGGGGGAAGGGGGGGGGGGCATAAGGGTGGGGGAAAAGGGGCTAGAGAGGAGAAGGGGGTTTGGTGTGAGAAAGGTGGCATGCTCTCCATCACTACCTTTGTGTGTGTGTGTGTGTGTGTGTGTGTGTGTGTGTGTGTGTGGGTGGGTGGGTGGGTGGGTGGTGGGTGGTATGCTCTCCATTCCATCACTAATGCTTTCTAATGGCCTTATTATTTATGCAGATCGATGGCAAACGGATGTGGGGAGGTTAGTGGCTGCTGATATTGTGGCAAGGCGGAGTAAAGGAAAGGGAGGTATTGGAGGTAAGGGGGTGTATTTGAGTTAGACAGTGCCTCAAAACAATTAAGGGCGAGCGTGTGTTGACCTGTAATATGAAATGTCTTCGAATGGATCAACAGAGCTATGTAAGTGTGAATGGATAGCTTGTCTCATGATTTGGTACAGTTTTGATACATTTGTATATTGTGGAGGTCTGAGCCATCTAACACATCGCATTCTCATATCGGGGATTTCTGATGCGCTCAAAACATCCAAAGCAAGATCACCAAATCTCTGAATGCGTACAGAACTGTTGTGTTCTGGTACCGAAATTGATAGTCTCAAAATAGTCATGAACTAGCACACCCCTACAAGAAGGGCTAACATACAAACTGATAGCTAAACTACAAAAGATGCTTATAGACAGGAAGCACTACACTAGGCTTCTAGCATCACGTTTGTTGTACGAAAGAAGTACGTTTGTTGCCAGTGGTAGGTGACTAATCGGTTACTCTCCTGCCGTTACATCCGCGCCTGAAAAGCACACGTGAACCCCTGAAATGTCTGGGTGGGCCCAAGAACCTGCGCAGCAAGGACACACAACAGGTTGTATACAGTACCACACAAGAACGTTTCCATGACCCCCGTGACCCGTTTTCCCTGACCCGTAGCCCCTATTTATCCAGACAACTTTCTCCAATCCCATCCACATTTGTACATGGAAACTTCTTGTGAGGCATTAGGGCGCGTTTCTATCCTGTGTCAGACACGATGCCAGACACGAAGCTGAGATTGGGAAGACCCTAAGGGACTTGGAACGCTGGCAAAATTAGGTTCGGAAGACACAAACCGGTCAGACACGAAGCCAGACACGAAGTTGAGGTTGGGAAGACCCAAAGGGACTCGGAATGCTGGCAAATTTAGGTTCGGAAGATACAAACAGAGTCACTTTGTGTCTTCCGAAGCTTGACCTGATGTCTGACACGGGATAAAACACACCCTCAGTCTTATGATAGGAAGGTGAGGCGTCCAGTCTGGTATGCTCCAGCATCATTTCGCCCCAGAAACTATTTCCGAATTCACCGGACGGCGAGGCGGCGACATCACTGTACGAAGAATATGCAGGATCTTCATCTGTTGTCAACATGTGCTGTAGAAAGATGGCTGGTGGTGGTGGGTGGATTTGTCCTCTGCCTTGCACCCACATTACGTGGCACGATCCGTCCCACAACAGTCCCTCCCATATACAGTAGAGCAGTCAACGATGCCCGGTGAGGTCCAAAATTTTGCCATAAAACAGTGCCCAGGGCGTACAAACAAGGGAGATCCAGTTGCGGGGACGGGATCGAAGATGAGGATTTCTAGATGTACATCTTACAGATGTATAGTGGCTCAAATGCTCTCTGGTGACGCAAAAAGTAGCCTTGGTGTGAATTGAATCCTTCAGAATTCCATCAAGGCTTTATCCCCGGTACGAGGAGGGTGCTCTTCGGGTTCGCCCACTTCGCAAAAACAATGTCACGGCATGGCGGTAGCGATGTGATCGATATTCACTGCATCAACATCAACGCAGCTGCAACTGTACACTAGATTTTCCTTTCGGACAATGTTTCCTGATGTTTACTTTTGTACGTTGATAGACATTTTGTGGTTCGTGCCAGGATTACTTCCCAACCATGGTGCTTATTTAGCATGAAGCATTTGTATTCATTCAATCAAACTTGCAAGTAAAGCGTCGACTGCTTCACATAACCCTATTTTTAAGCGGTAAAGATATAAGGAAACTTCAGTATATCACCTCAATGCGCTAGTACAATAAAATGATAACGTACTACAATTGTACATTACGTTAATGTGTACCATTGTAATGCTGGTTTAGTTTGAGACTGTAATACACACTCCCGCATCCATTAGCATGTGCTTCGATAGAATCGCTGTAAAACATTTGGCTCCATCTATCCCGCCCAATCACTGTAGGAATTACGCGACAATTCTCCCAAACATTCAACCGAATCACTGGGTTTCGCAAACTTCAACGGAGCACGTGTTTTCGAAGCATGCTTGTCCAATTTCCCTTCTCAGTTGCCAGCCGGTCGAGGCCACTGTCAACCTGGACGGTTGCTCCAAAACTTTCCGCTGCAAGCAAGTGACTTGTTTCCTCTGAGTTCGTGTGGAGCGAGGGCGAAAAGAAAGCATCTGATCCGATCCGACAGAGTTGTTGGCGTGCTGGTGGTTGTGGTCGAGTTCGACGCACAGGCTATCAGATCCGATCATCTGAATCTGAAACTCAAGCCCGGTCAAGTTCGTCGTGAAATCCTTCCCATCCCGCAAAGAGCAAACCTGAAACCCTCCCATCCCACGGAGGGTATCGTCTGCTCCAACCGTTCTTCTGTAGCTGTTGATGTCTCACTCTAGATCACTTGTTGAGCATCAGAGTTCAAGCAGGCTTCTTGCTTCGTTGACGCTGGCAATTTCATGTGAGTGCTTGATATCGCTGATGACGTGGGTGTGGCAATTTCGCTCTGCAGCGCCGGCATGCGGAGGCAGACTCGAAAGAGATTATTAGGAGAAAACGAAATAATTTGTTAAGACGAAGAAATTGTTTCTCCTACCCGCAGGCGGTCTGAGCTCACAACCATGATATTTTTTCTAAAGATTAATTTTATAACCTTTCTAACATGCCTCACTTTCTGAAGGTAATCCTCTCTCTGCCGCGGTGCGTATGTCTCATTTTTATCGGCGTATGTCCCCGCCGGGCGGTTGATAGAAAAAGTTACAGCCGCTGTGACAAGTAGTAATTATCATGATCAGTGCTGGAATTAACTTCTTTGAAATTGCAAATCCACTGACGTATGAATGAACCTATAACCTCTTCGTCCCTCACATTTCCTTCTCCGAATGTGACGCCCAAATTCTCACGATCTGGCAAGATCATCCCTTTCTTTTACTACCATTCCGACTCCTCATTTACTTCGAAGATTTGTCCTTCTTCTCTCTTCTCTCTTCCTTAACCACATAAGCCCTCTCATTCTCCCTCTCCCTGCTTCACCCTCGCTTACAAAATCGTCCGTTTATCCTTTCTAACCCTGCTTCACTCTCTTTTTTTTTTTAAGCGTCCTCTCACCCTCGCCCTCCCTGCTCCATTCTCCCATCCCCTTTGTGAGTCTTGGCACGGTCTCTTCCAGAGAAAAAACTGTGTTAGAAAGGGAGGAAATGCATCTTGCTCGTCCTCCCTGCTTCACTCCGTCCTACAGAAAATAAACAAGAAAAGAAAATGGGAAAGAAAAGAAAAGCTCTTTAGCTTCTCTCCTCCCCGTCCCCACTCCCTCCCCTCTCCCCCCGGACCCGTTTTCCCTTTCTTCCCCTCTCCATTGCCTTTGATAAAACATACTCTTGGCAATACACAATCTACAGGTCTTCTGTACTCGCTACAAGACGCAACTACCAACACAGCCTCATTATACTGTACAAGCTAGTCGCACCCACGCGGCCATAGCTGTAAGGCTGTAAATAATCGTTACTACGTCACCGCTACCTCCCCCAGGTGTGACCTATAGTTGTTCCGGAATGGAACACTCTAAGGACGGTCGACCGATCACAGCAAAGCGGCACTGGCCGGCAAGGTTTGGCCTAGACGATGAGGACAACGGGGGAGGGGAGGAGGAAGGCAGGAGGATGGAAGAGAAGAGAGGGTGCGAGGCGAGGGAACGGGAAAAGGGGAAGAGAAAGCAAGAGGGGGAGAGTGAAAAGCAGGAAGGAGATTTCAATATGGGGAAGGAAGGGGAAAGGGTGGAGGTAAAGCAGGAGGCGGCGGAGGGTGCAGAGCAGGGAGAGAGCAGCAGCAAGGGCGGATGGAGAAGGTCGGAAGGACTCTTAGAGCAACCCCGAGCAGCCCCTGGGCCCCAGCAGCAGCAGGCGGAGCATCAGAAGGAAAAGAATCTTGAGGCTCCTCAAAAGAGTGCAGAGCGGGGAGGGAGTAGCAGCAAGGGCGGATGGAGAAGGCCGGAAGGACTCTTAGAGCAACCCCAACAGCAGGAGTTGGAGCACCAGGAGGAGCAACAACAGCAGGAGGAACGGAAGGAGCGACAGCAGCCGTCGGATCAGCATAGACAACAGCAGGAGGTAGCCACAGAAGCATTTCTAACGCCACCATTGGGTAGTAGTAGTAGCAATGACAGAGGTTCCGGTCTCTCTGACGTTCCATACGCGTTAGGGACTGCATCACCGCGAGAACAGAGCATTCTGGACGAGCAGCAGTGGTGGAAGGAGATTTTGGGAAGTGATATTGCCTTGGGAGCTTTGGCGGGAAAT